GACAGATGTGTGGTAGGGTGCTCTTTCAAGCTCTTTTTGTTAATGTACTACAAGTTCCTCCCAAGAAATAAGGGTTAGCGAATCATACGCATCAACACAATCTGTCGAAACTCTGAAGCAAATAACAGCATCGGAGCCAGATCCGGTGCCACGGAGCTTAACCTACGTGTGCAAACAAGGTCGTCACTACTGTTGGCGTCACAGCCAATGATACGGAAGTCGTGTTGAGCCTGTTCATATCGATCTCGTTTGCCCGCCAGGTCCATCGATATGTTCGGATCTCGGGTTTCTGAGGAACCTCCTGAGAACGAGGCCGCCACGCAAGTATTAACGGGAGCTTGGCCAAGAAATAACATTGCCATCAGGGGCATGATGTCATGCCATATGGCAAGGGACAGTCTTGGCCCACAGTCCACGAATAATATCGGCTAGGGAAAACCACTGCTGTATTAGTACTAGTTGCACATCTTACCTAGCTTCAGGCTAGTGGTCCGTGCGCGCCTAATGTAGCACAGAGACACAGTGGATGAGATTGGAAAAAAAAAACACCAAAATTTTTATGCAGGCTCATGGCCATTTTGAGCCCCTCCATATCCCCGCTTAGTACATTCATCATCAACAATCATGGCATCTACAGACGCGACAGAGCTGCCGCCGGCTGGTGAGTGGGATATAGAATGATAATCAGATCTTGGAGCATCTTTTTATTGACCCTGAATAATTACAGCAACCCGGCAGTCCAACTTCGAACAAGCCGTCGCATGCGCCCTACACCTATGGCCGGCCCTGACCCTCGCGGTGCAGAATAACTGGGGAGGACCTGACTCTTCAGACAAACGGGATTGGTTTGCTGGTGCCGTTGTCGATCTTTTTTCTGAATTTACCGATGCGCAGCCCGGCGAGACCACCAAGGCCACCAATGCCGCTGACGAACCGGACATGGAAGACGTCGAGACAGTGCTGTTGCAAGTGATGATCGACGAGTTCGAGGTCAACATCGACGATGATTCTGGTTTGGAAGTTGCCAGATCCATTGTCAAAGCGAGATCACAGTGCGCCATCGGCGACTTTAACGATGAGGTCAAGACTCTGAACGAACGATTCGCGAATCGGAAGGGCAACAAGGTGGATCAAATGTTTAAGAAAGCCGAGGATCAGGACCAGGATACAGACTGGGAGTCTGGAGACAGCGACGAGGACGATGGAGACAACGGAGGTGATGTGGAAATGGACGAGGCACCACCACTGGTGCCTGTCCGTAAGGAAAAGCCTGCCCCGGAAGTCGACGAGGATGGCTTTACCATGGTCACCAAGAAAAAGAGGTAGACCTAGGATAGCAGAAAACCTGGGCGAGGAAGCTATCGCCACGGGAGGACATCCCACTCGACATAATCCAAAAACAATAGGTACACCACAACGCTGTGCAGACTCGACATACCGAATAAGCGATAGCAAAGCCAAACGCCAAATTGCCCAAGTGCTAGGAAACAAATTATGCACACAGATATATGGAGTAGATGCGGCGCAGAATTATTCCCAGTCTTCGTCACTGTCTTCGCCCTCGCTATCCTCGTCGCTGTCATCCTCCTCGTCACTATCTTCGCTCTTCCCCTTTTTCTTGGGGTCTTTGGGGCTATTTGGTGTCTGGGTTGGTAGCTGGCTCGTCTTTCCTGAGGCCGCGCCGACAACATCATAGCTAGCGTCGGTTTCAGCTTCGGATTTTTCATCGTTAGATTTCCTCGACTCATCAGGCTTCGGCGGCTGGATTGTGGTCGATGAAGCCACAGACGCGGGCTTCTTTCCCTTGACATTGGCAATCGACTTCTTGGTGGGGGCAGGCTTCTCAGATTCTTCGTCTTCTTCCGAATCATCTTCCTCTTCCTCCGAATCGTCGTCATCCCAGGCTACTTCGTCTTCAGCGGATGCAGCTAGTAGAATGTCAGAATTATGAAACCAGATAAATAGAAGATACAATACAGCAAATACAAAGCATTGTTTCGCAGCACTTTACCTTTGAGGAGATCCCTTCGTCTAGATTCAGCTGTCTCAATGCCGTGACGAAGGAAGTAATATCTCTTCCAGAAGTCGGCGTAAGGAATCTGGTCGGGGACGAGCTTCTCCATAGTTGCGCGCAGCTCGGGGTATTTTGCCAAGTCGCCGCTGATGTCCTCCGTCTTTTTATCAATATCAAAACCCTCAGTCCACTGTTCGTATTCCAAGGCAGATGGGTCTTTGGTAAAGCTCTCTGTCGATGTGTGGATAACATGAAGCTGTGCGTCGAATCTCGAAGTGTGAATCACCCGCTTTCCCTGGGCATCCTTGCTCTCAAACATGACTTGGCTACTTTCGGCCGACTCATCTGGAGGTGCAACGCTAATCGCATCTCGCAGAAAATCTCGGATGTTGCTTCCAAATTTAAGCAAAGCTTCGTCTGCAGCATCTTCAGCGCGTTGAAGATCCTTCAAGCGCTTTGAAGCCTCGGTCCTTAGTCGCGTAAGCACAGTTTCGGACTCTTGTGCAGAGGAGCCATCCCCAGTCGCCGGAGCCGTTGTGTTAGTCGGTGTCCTCTGGCTTTCTTCGGCGTCATTGCCAGCAGACATGTCGGGGATGATGGTGGTCAGAGAGAGAGAACGAGTTCTATTGACGATAGTTTCTCGCAGACTAGTAAATCCCTTCTGCGCATCTTCGCCGACCTCTGCAAACTCCTTTGAAGCTTGGGTGTAGACCGATTCGCCCTACAGCCACATCAGTATCGACTGCAAATAGCGGTGATGCGGCTACACTCTGGTTATCATACCTGTTTAATCACATTTCCAAAGAATCCTCCAATCTTGGCACCCCATGGGCTTGCAGATATGGCCTTGTAAGCTTCCTGGATGTCATTGTTCAGAGAATTTTGCGACTGGTCCTGCTTCGAGCTTTCCCCCGACTCTTCGGTATTCTTAGTATAGGCTTCTTCCTGGATATGGTCGTATGCGAGATCCATGGTGTAAGCGATCCGAGTCCGGTGACGGTGCGGGATCTGAACAAAACTTTGAGCTCTCTGCCCCCTTATTGAAGAGCCAGTATGTGTTTCGGAGCTTGTTCAGAGGTGGATATGGAGGTCAGCACAGCTGAACTGGCGTTGGTTAACGAGGCTAACGGATCTCCTCTCCTGCGTTAGAGGTGGGTGGGCGGGGGTGCAGGCTGCATCACGTGACTATGCAGCCAAGCCGTTAGATCTCAGGGTCTACCCTGTAGAATCCAAAATAGAGTCCCATGCCGAGTGCTTTTGCAGCATTCCTCTGTAAAATTATCCATTTCTATCAATAAGAGATTTAATACATCCTAGCTATGTAACGTAACTGAATAGTCACGTATTCTGGTCATACAAAAGGGTAGTGGTAGTGAACTTGAAGCGAGCATTGGATTTAGAAGTATGTAGTACTGTTTTAAGTGTAGTGTGCATGGATTGTCCCCTCCTCTTACACGTTATATGTACCGGTACATTTAATCTTGGAATAGGTTTAGAAAGTGGTACACTGCCGCATCAAATTGATATAGCTTGTATCACTGGTATTCAAATTATTAACACTGGCCCGACAGCCATTTGGAATATATAACAACCTGTTGCAGATAGATACCAAAGGCGATCAAAATACAGCAAGCCAAAATTGCATCATATTCTTCGTCCTGCGCGCTGTATTTTCTTTTTCCTTTCTTTACTCATTTTAAATTACCTTTTTTTTTACTGTTAGTGAAGAGGCGTATTATATTGGGCACACTTTATATCCTAAATTTACGACCAATGCAGATACTAGTATACGCAAACCACCTACATTCGATTCATTCCAACTTTGCCATTCACAACCTGGTTCTCACCTAAACGAATAGTATAACGGATTTCGTGGCGCAAAAGTTCACATCGCCGGCCCCTCGTGACCCAATAGATGGATACTCTCGAGTAAGCCGCCAGTTGATGCTATCTGGTCCAGCTGGGGATCCATAGCTGAAGGCGATATTCAAGGCATTGCAAGACTTCGTATGCGGCTTAAACCGGTTATACGACTGCCTTGGCATATACCCGGATGCTCTGCCAACTTTTTGGTCTTATCCGAGACAATTACTGCACTCTAGACCGATGCATGTGAAGCGTCGATGCTTGGATCAATCTCGGCCCGCTGAGATCGGGTACGATAAATTGCAGCCTATAGCTTATCTACGAAGCGTTGGTGTACAAGATCGGAAGATTAGCAATGTTTGTCTTGCCATATAGATAGAGTATAGCTAATAATAGTTTTCAATGCCGTAATAACGGTTTTTGGCATCATTTTGGGTGACAACTTTCATAGAAGTGCATGCTGTCCAGCTAATTGACTACACCAGGATCCTGTAGAACCCCTTTGGTGTGACGAGTCTATGCCGTCATCATGCATGTTAGGGGCATTTACTCCAGAAACCAAGATCTACTAAATCGCTCCATGCCTTGAGCTAGAATGACCCCGTCGTCTCCTTGTTCTCGATAGCCTCACAGGACGACGCGGGCTGCTTGCAAGCCTCATCTTCGATCTCCTTCAAAAACCAAGATGCAGCGATCATTTTCTTGCGTCATCGCTCCCCAGAGTGGAAATTGTGGAGTAGAATTGATTTAAGCTTTGGCTACGGGATCGTATAATGACGTACATACGCTGCTATCATTGGCCGAGGGCGCCATTTGACCCACTTATACCGCAGATTCGCTGCCAATTGCATCTCAAGTGTTCCTGAGAGCGACTACCAACGGCCACAGGGACATGTTTTCAGGACATGGAAAATGTCCTGAATGAATCGTAAAGTGGACTTACTGGTGAGATACCGTGGCTTGGACGACCTTGCTTTTATCTATTTATACCTCGAGATTTCCCCTGTTGATCAAAATTATTTCTCTCATCATCACAACTTCAGTCACAATCACATCTCATCACCCAACAACACAATCAACCACCTCACTTTCGGTTTAATACCTACCACAACACTTCAAAATGGAGACCGCCAAGCAAGCTTTCAACTACGTCGCTGAGACCGTTCAGGGCGCTGCCTCTGGTGCTAGCAAGGAGACCAACAAGGAGATTGCCAAGAACGACAATGTCAATGTTTCCACTCGGTAAGCCGGAGCAAATATCCCGAAAATCCGTAGCTCATAGTGCAGTCTGCTGACAACTCGCAGTCTTTCCGCAGCCAAGGATGCCGTCGGCGACAAAATTGACGAATCAACGCACAATGGCAAGGCCGAAGCTCACAAGCAGCTGGCTGAAAACAACTAAATAGGGATGAAGGACCTCGAGGCCTTCAATGGCGTTCGGAACGGATCATAGCGATGGAAGCCTGTAGTCTACCAGGCATGAATTGATATGAATTGAATTTTCGCACACTTCATTTCTCTCTCCCGTGTCCGATGATAAATATGCGTGAATTTGTTACGACCTGTAAAAAGAGGACTGTAGGCCTTGCAAGTGCTTCGCAGGATAACTGTGCTGCTCAATTGGTGGAGAAAACAACCGCAAAATGTTCAAGAGCCATGCGTGGCTCGCTCTAGGCAAGGTAATTCGTAACCATCGTATCTGCATGTCATGTATCAAATAACTGCTGCCAACCTGTCTTTTTATCATGTGCTTCGTCGCGGTGAGTCTATCGTCGCCAGGTTTCTTCGTATACGGTGACTAGAAAGTTAATTGCGCATATACTAGCGGCAATGGGAAAATGGTCAACTACTGATAACGGACAGGAAAGACAGAATCCGTATGGAAGAAATAGCCTTATTCAGCTAGCCATTTGCCAATCCTCGGCTTCGCAGCGGGGTAGCTGGTAGCAGTAACAGTGGCGGTTTTGCGTGCAACATAACCTAAACCGTAGTGGTAATGGCAGCTGCCCGATGCTCTCCCCAAATGTTGCAGCTAGGTACGCATCCATTGTGTTATTCATACCACTTTGAATCACTATCGCAATAGTTTGCGAAGGATCTGAAGTATGATTAGCGGCGCATGCAGCGTATTGACCAAAAAAGATTCAAAGCTCAGAGCATGTTGCCAAGAAGAGACCCACTTTTCGGTGTTATTCGGGTCAGGGTCTTTTTTTTCCGGAATGGGGTGCAGAACTGCTCCCTTATCTCCACCCAACAGCTTTCAGTTAAGGCGGAGATTGCAGTAAGCGCCGTATGGCTGTGCGGTCTTTGGCAGGCAGGCAGCTAACAAAGCGGGCGTGGTGAATCCTCGCCGTGGTGCCTCTATGCTTTGCTGGGCTTAGCCTCCCGGAAGGGCGCTGTTGCGACCCCCTGCGGTCTGACCAGAGTTGCGAGAGAGAAAAAGGGTCCCGCGTATAAGTGGCAATCAGTGCTTGACCACCAGACTTAGCGTGCGTGCACTGGCATATCACCTCATGGGGGGGGCGACGGGCCGCTGTACCTTTGTGCAGATTACTGACGATGGCGTGTATTATCGCTGGGTGCTCATAGCTTGAGCGGATGAGGGGTGATACGGCCAAATTCTCGAGCAGGGCGAAGAAGACACAGTGGCAGTGAGCACTGGGTATAATCGGCAGTTTCTTAGAGGTTTCGGGTCGGACAATGCGCAAATGCCGAAAGGAGCACAAGCTGACACGGCTGGATTAGCACTGTATCTCGCAGTTAACGGCCAATTCACGTATACACGCCGGATACGGAGGTGCAAGACGCTGCCGTGCTTGCTTAACAAGTAGCAGACATGTATGTGCCGAACTCGTATGGACGGGCAGGTATCCCTGGCTGCCCATGTCTTGGAGGTAAAAGTGCGTAACCCGTAGTATTGGCTGTATGCAGCGAGCAGACACCGCAGAGGAGGGCGGTCTTGGGCCTCAGAGGGCAGAGCTTTGTTAGGGCGTGATGGTGCCCGGATATGCAAACAGGAGATGACGAGATGTCCAAGTCGGCACGGGGATGGGAGGATGGGAACAGCGGGCTATCTATCTATGTATCTGTTGCTGGTGTTGCTCGTCCATATCCATCGACCGCAGGAACTGCCGTCCGGTCGACTCCCCAGCGCATCCCGTAAGCAAGACACGAGCTTGATACCGGCATCAGAGGCCATCCAGGCACAACACAGTGCGCGCTGCACGGCGTGCGACAAAGTCTGGCAGGGCCTCTGGACCGACACCGTGCCGTCGGGGCAGTGCGGCGAGCGGTCAGGCCGAGGGGGCCCTCTAGAACGGTCCAATGGCCGACCTAGGCGGGCGCTAGCCAAACACCCCATTGGCGCACGCCAAGCGGGCTGAAGAGCCGGAGCCAGCGTCTGTAGCGCTCCCCGCCCTTCTGGCCGCTTACAAATGCATCAAGATTCCTCATGGAACTGCAAACATGCTATCGATCCGGCCATTTTGTCTGCCCATTCGTCCCCTCTCTGTTGCTGCACGAGGCCACAGTGCGCAGAGCCCCTTCGTGCCGCCGTCACGGCCTGTCTCTGCCAGCGCACGGAAGCGCCTAGAAGACCTTTTCTGACTCAGGCAGCAAAAAAAGTCGTCTGTCTTCCCTTACATCCGCGGGGCTCCACACTGGCTGCTAGAGCAAAACGATACCGTGCAGGGAGCGCTACCAACAAGTTTCTCGCATTCGCCTCCCAGCCATCACCTTCCGCCAACCAGCAACCATCATCAGCACGACATTGTCCTGGCCGCATCTCCTGCGACGCATTCCCAGGCAGCGTTTTTGCCGTCCATCTGCGTGTTCGTCCATCTGATATCTACTCGTATTGTCCCCTCCTGCTGCTCTGCTCTTGAGACTCCTGTCTGTCCCTGGACCTCTGGCGCCTAGCGTCTCGCATTTCAAATCATATCCCCGCCACCCGCGGCTACCGACTGGAACTGAGCGAGATTGCGCTGAAGGACTGACAGAGATTGGCGCTCTGGTCTGCAGTCCTCGTGGCAGCAATATCACCATTTGAACTGGATTTTGCTCTGCTTCTTTTCCCCTTCGATCTTTGTTCTGGACTCTTGTCGAAATGGCCACAACCGGTACTGGAGGTGGCTCGTCATTGCCACCAAATTTCTTCCTGACCCCGCAGCAACAGAACCTCCTCTTCACGGCTCTCAATGCGAACAAGCAGCAGCAATCGAATCTGAAGAGTGGACTTTCGTTGTCTCCCACTTCTTTCAAGCCAAACCCCCTTCAGAGCCTTGACAGCGCTGGGTTCCAGGAGAGCCCCTTCCTCGACAACTACGACTACGACTTTGATGACTCCGGTTTTGATTTCTCCTTTGCCAATGAGGCCGCCCAGGCCAACATGATTGGCGATGTGCCTGATAGCGCCATGAGCGCCAAATCTGATTCTACTGAGACCGAGAGCCCGGAAAAGAGAAGCCACCCAGATGACGAGGAAGACGATGCTAGTCCTGGCAATGAGTCAAAGAGACACGAGAGCTCTGACAAGGTGCCTAAGAAGCCTGGCCGTAAGCCGCTTACCTCGGAACCAACTTCAGTACGCTCAGTCCATTCCCGTTCCTATTAGAAACTGAAGAAGTCTGTTCACTAACAAAAATCTACTTGTAGAAGCGCAAGGCTCAAAACCGAGCCGCTCAGCGTGCTTTCAGAGAGAGAAAGGAGAAGCACCTCAAGGATCTTGAGACCAAGGTTGAGGAATTGGAGAAGGCATCAGAGGCTGCCAATCATGAAAACAGCATGCTTCGCGCTCAAGTCGAGCGAATCACTGCAGAGCTCAGCCATTACAAGCAGAGGATGTCGCTTGTGAACAACAAATCTACTCCACAGCAAGCTCGTGCCCAGCCCTTTGGCTCCGCAGCCGTCAGCAACATCAATGATGTGAGCTTCCAATTTGAGTTTCCCAAGTTTGGCACCCTCCCTGGACCGCCTGCCAAGACGCATCACAAGTCCATGTCGCAGCCCATTAGCCCTAGTTCCCAACATACAGCCAGCCCGGCGGCCAGCCAAAACAACATAGACCGTGTGGCGCAATTCTCCCAGCAGGCGGCGAGGAATGCGCAGTTCAAGGAAGATCTCGCCAAGTTTAGCACTGGAGGACCGTTCAGCTTGCACACTCCATCGATGAGCAGCTCTACTGCCACTGGATCAAGAGCCAGCGTGGACTCAGTCAACTACAGTGGAAACAATACCACGAGCTCGCCGTCGGCTTCCTCTCACTCTAATGTGGGTGCAAGCTCATCGTGTGGCACATCTCCTGAGCCTTTCACCCAGTCCCCCATGGGCTTCAAGCCTGTTGATACCCTGACTACCATTGGCGAGGAGCATCCGTCCATGTCTACTGTAGATGGGCCATTCTCCCAGTTCACTGGCCTTGATTTCAGCAATAACAGCTTCGACTGGCTTGTCCAGCAGAACAACGGCGGCCAGTTTGACCCCCAGCTGTTTGGCGATTATCGTGAACCACAAGAAAACGTCATGACTCATTCGACATTTGACGACTTGTTCAATGACTCACTTGAGGCCGATTTCTTCACTCCTTACAACATGGCTAACAGCCCGAACCAAAACCACAAGAAGCTGAATCTCATCGATGAGATCGATGCCAAGCAGAACGCGATTGACGATGAACCGAGAAAGGAGAACATGAGCTGTAATCAACTCTGGTATGTCATACATCACATGATCACAACAATGCAGTTATACTAATATTTTTCGTTACAGGGAAAGGCTACAGGCGTGCCCCAAGGCGCAAAATGGCGAGTTTGATCTGGATGGCTTGTGCTCAGAATTGACCAAGAAGGCCAAATGCTCTGGAAGCGGGCCCGTTGTTGCCGAGCAGGATTTCGACTCTATTCTCAAGAAGTACATGGGTAAAGAGGCGGCCGACTGCTCGGCTGAGAGCCTGGGCATATCTCTAGAGAAGACCAAGCCTGAGACATTGGTGATGCCATGATTTATCAGGAGTTTATGGCATTACACTGGGCGCATACTTGTACGTTTAAAAACCGATTTTCGGTCGAATAAAGAGGACACAAAGAATCCCTGGATTATGGCGTTTTGAGCAAACAGAAGGGCGTAGCCAAGGCCAGCGACCCTGGGCTTTTTCAAGCATTTGGATGGATATAGGACGAAAGGACAATCTCGTCGATTTTTGAAGCATTAATCATTTGGTGCATTTACTCCTATTTTTTTTTTCTCTCTTGACATTTACGATTATGGACTGGTTGTTTTTATCTCTCTACTATGAATGATTATACTTTTTTTTTTATCTTGCATTGAAAAATCCTGGTCTTCAGCTTTTTTCTTGTATTGCAATATAGGCTACCTTTTCTCGGAAATCAATTTTGGGGATCAAATCACTCGTTCACGCAAGGCCGATTGGCCCTTGGATTATTTTTGCTGCTGCAGTTTTGTTTCAATATCTTTTAGGAATTACAGGTATATATATGCTGTGGATAGTGGGAAGAATGCTTACTATTTTTTACCTTGGGAACCTCATCTCTTTGCGCTTATGATAGATTCGTAACTGAGACGGCAGTTGTGAAACTCGGTTATACTACGACTAACCATGATGTGGAGAGGCAAGCTGCTCTAACAAAAGGCCATTGGAATAAACGTGCCATCTACATCATCCAGAAAATAAAGACATCAACTCTTTAGATTCTCACCATTCTCTCTCTCTCTCTTTCCGTGTTTGTCTCCCCTCTTCCTCAAAAACAATTAGCACCTCCCAATACGTACAATACTGAAAATCACGGCATTCCCCAACACGGGAAAACGCTTCACATCATTCATCCCATCCCCATCCCATGCATGTGGCGAATTTGTAGTGGAAGTTCCCCCCCCGACTCAACCAGCTAGCTCGTTCTAGGCAACGGGCTCAAAACACAGTCTCTCTTCTTGCCCCCTTCTTTCTTTTAGTGGGTGGTGCCATTTGCTTTGATAACTAACTCTCGCGCGCGGGAAAAGCGGCGTATGTGTTCATTGACCCTTTTTTAAGGTTATCAAGCCAATGATTTTTTCCCCCTTATCTTTTACCCCGGAGTTTTCCTTTTTCTCGGGATTAATCTTGCTTATACATGATTGTCTGATCATTTTAGCCTAGTTTGGGCCGAGTCATGGGGTCTCACGAGTTCATGAGTGCCGAAGCAAAACAAGCCACTGCGTCATTATATCTCGTCACTATCGTACATAGTAGGACTGATTGATTGAGAATCACATTGACACTGCACTAGCATATGCGTCACGACAAACCTCGTTGGAATCCCCTGCGAAGATGTGTCATCACCAGCCATACCGTGCGACACGCCCGTGTATTTAGTTTGTTATGCATATATGTTATTTGTATCATAATTATGGCCAGCTACATAAAACTACACTCTGTCTGTCTATGTGATATTAGACCGAGCGAGTCCAAAAATAAGTTTGTTCATGGTGTGTACAACTACTGAATGATGCAGATAAACCATTTGATGTTTCCCGCTAAAAACCGCCTGCTTGTTTCTTCCCTGTGCCGCGTCTAAAGATATGCCAACGCCAAAAAAGCTCGAAGCAATGAAAAGTCGAAACGAGAGCAAAACAATTTGCTCTATCCAAGAAATAGGATAGTAAAAAAAATTGAAAAAGAGAGATGAAAAGATGAAAAGGGCCTGGGGATGTGCGTATGTAATTTCCCCTCAGAATGGAGAGTATATAGTACAATGAGATAGGTATCGACGATCGAAAAGGCATGCCGGGCGTCAGAGATATGAAAATGTCAAAGAGACGATATACGTATGCCTCCTTGGACGTTTCATAACAGACTCGAACCAGGTGAGGTGGAAAAAGGAAATGGAGGTGTACGTTCCGCTTGGTTGACATGGCCTGAGTGATTCTCATTCTCACGAGTATCCCAGGTCCAATCATGCAAGCCGGCCCGCATAGAATTCAGAATATCCGTCTTCCGTTAACTCCGTGTGAATCCGTTAGCCGTATCGCGTACTCGTTTTCGTCGTGGGTATCGCATCCGATTCGTTGTCCTAGATAGAAGCTGTCATGTCGCAATTACGCCGCAATCTCGACCCTTCAGCTAATGACCACTCTGGCCCCTTCTTTGCCCAAAACACCCCGTTCCTTGGGCCTGGGGCTGTTGTTTCTTCCCTTCTTGCTCTTCAAGAATCCAAACATACCGCCGGAGCTTTCGTTCTTGGATTCTGCGGCGGTATTGGCATCCTTGGGAAGAGTTGCGTCTTGACGAGCGAGCTCAGACCAGCTGCCTCCGCCGTCTAGTGTCAGCTGCACCCCGCCAGTAGGGCTGGTTACTCGCTTGCTCATTTGCGGTGATCGGGGTACGTATTGGGTTTGTCCAGGATATGCGGAGGACTGTGCTTGATTTGGATTTCCTCGCATATCGTTGCTGACGGTTGGTTCCACGGGAGGAAGGGGATATGTCACCGGCGGCTCATTTACCGCAGGCACGTGCGTAACTTCGTCTGTTGTAATGGCCTGAGGTTCCATTGAAGATGGATCTCCGTCTTCGCCTTGAGAAGCCGTAATTCTATTTCAGAGTTAGCATGAGATTGGCTGGTTTGGATGATAAGAGGTAATTGCGAGCTTACTTCTTGTAGGCTGCAATGGTATAGTCGAATGGGCGGAAATCCGTCTCAATCATTCTATACAGCTCATCTTCGCGGATTTCCTGGTCCGTAGCGTCTTCCTTTAATCGCTCTCTAGGTTTCTGTCGCCTTGCGCGAGCTTCCAGCGGCGCCTCTTCCAGCAGCAGCTCTTCCAAGTCGTAAGTTGCATCAAAGTTGGTCTTGTCCGATGAGGGAACGAAAATAGGCTCGATGCGTTTCTGCTCGAGCAAATCGAAGTTGATGGTTTTGAAGAAATCGTTGTAGATGAAGCTCTCCCATGTAGAACCAAGTCGGGCGTTGGGATTGGGCTCAAGAGCGGCACGGATAGCGTAAAGACATGTCAACGAGACGGGAGGTTGTGTGACGGGATACTTTGGCTGAGAAAATTGAACCTGTTGGCTGAGCGAAGATTCGCTGTTGCCCTCGAAAGGTCGCTGGAGCGAAGTTTAGCTATACTGCTTCTTCTCTTCTATTCGCAGGGAGAGATGGGCGAAGCATAGGCATACCTTGTTGTAAATACACTCATAGAACAAGACACCCAATGACCACCAATCGGCGCGGATATCGTATCCTTTGCCCGAATAGACTTCTGGGGCAAGGTAGGCCAATGTTCCGGATTTGCTAGTCATGATGCGCCCGGGAACAATGTCAGAGGCCACGTTCTAAGCAAAGAGTCAGTCAACTTATGCCACCTTCCATGATCTCACATCTTGGGAGGAGCCTACGAAATCGGTCAAATGGACATGCCCCTCGGCATCGAGAAGGACATTGTCTGGCTTGACGTCTCTGTGTATGATATTCTGGCTGTGGACATAGCGCAAAGCACAGCCCAGTTCGGCTATCCAGAATCGGACGGCTTCTTCGGTGAAGGTCTTTCTGGAGATGTGAAATCGCAAATCGCCACCGCTCATGAGATCGACCACGAGGTACCTTGTAGAAATGCTGTCAGTATATATCGTGGATTTGGGCAGCGCAGCACTTGGCGGGCGGAGCTCACATGTACTCGATATCCTGAAAGCTGTAGCGCAAGTTACAGATGAAGGGATGGTTGACATGCTCGAGCATTCGTCGCTCGCGAATGATATTTCGAACACTTTCAGACTTGACAACTATTTGAAAGAAAGCGATCAGTTAGCTATGCCATTTCTGGCCCTCTGCAGATTCAAGGGGCAAATGAGATATTGTGCTCAACAGCACGGTAGAGCGCTTGGTGGTTGCTTTTTTGCGCACCTTCATCTTTACGAATATATTTGAGCGCAAATGTCAGGTTGGTGTCTTTGCGCTCGACGATGCGGACCTTGCCAAAGGCGCCTCGGCCGACAACTCGTAGCAGGCGAAAGTGGTTGAGGTTGGCTATTTACAATTTCCTCGGTCAGCGCACTCGGTCACGAGAATGGAAATGGAGATGCGGCAGCCTTCTCTGGCCCTCTTGGGGGCGGCCAGCGACCTTTGCACCACGCGCCAGACACGTGGGAGCGGGCAAAAGGAGGGAGGGACGCTGTAGGCCGCGATTCGCTCGGGGGTTTTTGCACGTACCTTCGCCTGTCAGGTCGACGGGCTTTCCCTGGCCGTTGCCCATGATGAGGATCGAGGGAGGATTGGAGGGCGAGAAAGTGCAGCTGGTATCGTCAACGATGGCGAGAGGTCATGCTGTTCGCGGTTTGCGGGAGATGGCAGTCCAATGCTTGACTGGCAGTCCTTTTTTCAGCGGTGGCCGAGGAATCGGCTGGCCAGTGGGGGGGCGTTTTGGAGCACGCAGAGTCGTAAATGGGCAGACTAGCACGAGTGGGTAGGCGGCGAATTGACCGGATTCTGATAGTGGTGAAGCTGGCCGGAGGTCTGTTCTGGGGCCCCAGTGCCGGCTTGTTTCGCGGGTTGGCGGGCGTGCGCTTTCTCGAGGCGCAACGACGACGGCGGCAGCAACGATGATGATGATGATGCAGTTGAGAAGCAGCAGCAGCTGAGATGAAGAGGAAAGGAATCAAAAGGCGGACGCTGCGAGGACGAGGATGCGTGAGCGTGAGAGCAGAACAAGCCTGGTCTAGCCTAGGAGACGGCCAGGCAAGGGTGCAGGCAGAGGCCGATGATCAATGCTCGCCCCAGACTAGCCAGCAAGCCCGAAAAGATGCGGGAGATTTGATGGAACGGGGGTAGAACGTTAGTGGGTGAGGACGCCCTGTATTAGTGGAGATGCGCCGGCAGTAGAGGCAGCACAGAGCGCGGCCGCGGCGGCCGTGGCCAGCGAAGGGCCCTGGAGCCTCAGCAGGCGAGCGCTGTGGCAGCTGCAGCCTGCCCTGGTGCAGTGGTGCGGTGCAGGGACCCGTCCCCCCAAGAGGTACCCGACAGGTATCCATGATGTGGGCTCTAGCCAATGCTGCTGCGTCTGGGAGGGTTTCAGGGAAAGCAGCCAGAGCTTGAAGATTGCATACATGTACGTGTGCCATGTCGGCGTTGCTTGTGGCCGGCCTCTGAAATCCCAGGTACTGGGTACAGATAGATACCATACTCCTATACTACATGCGGCTGCTGCGGCAATTATTATTGGTACAGAAGCATTTATCTCGGAGCAGGCTGTTACTTGTGCCCAGCGATAAACCAGTGGATACTCGAGCACGGAGTCAATATGTGCGTCCCCGCCTGTAACATCTTCTGGTGGACATTTCACAGGGAGACTTGACGAGTCAATAAACTGGAGCAGAGCCCTTCGGCCGTTGCTTGATAGCACCCAGCATGTGCAGCAAGTCGATGCTAAGCCCAGATGCCATTAGCACCCCCATACTTGTACCTGATAGTCCCAGCAGACATGCATGGGTTCCGACATGACGCAAGGGAGATGAGCTGCAAAGCCACTGTCTTATCCTTTTTCTTTGTTGAAGCGGGCGAGATGGATGAATGCCAACAAGGCCGCAGCGTGCAGATACGGGAGTCGCAGGAAGTCTCACTTGCATAGATTTACAAGCACATACGACAAGTAGAGTAGCACAGAAGAATGGAAGCATTAATACATTGCCAGAACGAGCCGCACATGTAAGAGTAATAGTGGCGGTGTGTCGCATCCAGGGCCTGCTTTGGACGATACAGAGACCGCGGACAGGACAAGGGGAGCACAAAACAGCAGCTGCGAGAGCAAGCGAGGCGCACAATTGGCAGCAGGGAGCACCCGTGAGATCCGTTTTGTGCTGCCCATTTGCCATGGCAAGCTGGCCTGCTCACTCGCATGATATGACGGCAGCACTGGGCAGATCCATCCGACGGCGTGGACGCACATTGTTGGTTCCGATGGCTGGAAACATGGGGGAGAGGGGGAAAGGATCTGCTTCTGCTGCTGCTGCTGCTGCTTGTACTGTTTGAGCCTAGGTTCAGAGTATGATTCTGTTATTGCCTTGTGCCAAGAGTGATATATTGACTTTGAAACAGCATGCTCCGAAGAAGCTGCGCATAGTATTTGCGCCGGTGGCGGATAGCTTGGACACTATTGAGGTGAAATCGATTTAGACCGACCTCAGCTCGGCCATCCATCGAGTTCAAGCTCCTTAGCTTTATCAGGACCATCAAGTGACATAGATAAGGCCGCCTGGGGGATTGTGATTACCCAGGTACCTCCTAGGTATCTATTGAAACTGGCTGCACGTTTGAGTTGCAATTGATACAATATAGAGTCCATCTGAGAGTGCATGTAAATAGGCAGTACTAGATACCTACTAGTACCTCTAACGGCAGCAGCATTGATAGCGCTGCTTCAAGCGCTGCGACCACCAGTAACTCGAATAAGATGCAGGCACTAAGTATGCCTACTGCATCTATACCGCATCTATTTTTCTCTTCAAGCATCTTTTTATTTTACTCTCCTACCATACTCAGTGATGCTGTAAATGGAGTGATTTGCACCACACATGCATCTACTGTAAGTGACGGAGAGCTGATGGAGGGTTGGTGGAGACGAACTACTGCGCGTACCACGTTGCCAAGTTTGCTCGCCTCGACCCGCGAGTTCTGGAATGGCGTTGGAAGCTGCACACCTTTTTTTGCTCCCCTTGACCATGTCTCAGTTTCCCATGCCACATTCCCATGCCTCAAAAGCTCGATGAATCAACGTGCCACCCGCTAGCGGCTTGCTCAGCAAGCGCAAGCCCTACTTGATGATTTTTTGTCTCTTCTTTATGCTCGCCACCCGTGTGCATCGAAGAGAGACAGACGGGTCCCGGTGCCCTGTGGAGAGCCAAGCATGGGGCGCCGGTGAGAAGTGGTCGGCGAGTCCGGCGGATTCAGCGAGCTGACCAACGCTGAATGACTGCCAACATGATGGAACCCTTATTCGCAGAAGGCTCTTCTTAGTGATGGAGCCGGCTAGTCGTTTGGGGCCCCAGCGACGACCGGCTAGCAGCAGCAAGCTCGTGGTGCCTCGCATCCATTTGCTGTTCGCTTCGGAGCAGAGTTACTCAGAGCATCCTAGTGCGGTTCCCCGTCCATTGTTCCATAAGGCGTGAATATTCATGCCATTGCTACAAAAGACATCTTGACGCTGATTGCTGACCGTTGGGCGACGAGCAAAGTATGCACAGGCGCAGGCATTAACGTGAAACACGTGGGTGGGCAGCGGCTGAAGGGCTGAAGGGAGGGGCCGAAAGCCTTGGCTCGTTGGATGCCGGTTCGAGACTCTGACGAGTAGACAGCCTTGATGGATAGAGCTGCAAGCTGCCAACAAGCCGGTCAGCCAGATGGCTGGGGAGGGCGAGTGCCGTTGCGGCGCTACAGTACAGGGGAGCTGCATCTGTTTCGCTACGTCTGGAGTAGATGAAAGCGTGCGGCCTTCACAGTTGACAAGGAGCTAATCGTTTGCCATGCAGAGCAGCCCCAGGATTTCTCGGCATGTGGGCGCGGAGTAACTGCACATAGCGATAGCAGTGCGATGTCTCAACGTGATGCCACCTCGCTGTAGACACGCTACAGTGCAACATCAAATGCATTGCGCCGCTGGAACAACATCTCCGGACAATGGCGAGCTCGTGGCCAATCATATCGCGATGCAGCTTGCTCATCGTCCTTCTGGGGGCAGAACAGCTCTCCCTTGCGCGCGCTGGAAAACGCGGCGGGTGGGGGCTTGCCAGAGGATGTATGGACCTCCAATTACTCTAATTGAATATGCTTGCCAACGGGTTTGGAGTGCAGCCATGAAGCAGATCATATCTTCCTGAACCCTTTCATCTTACGAATCATTCGTCAATGCATGCAGATCAGACCTATTGGCTAATTGTTGCTTTGTACAGGCAGAGAAGTATTTGCTGCGACCTTTGTCAGTCAAGCAGCAGTCTATCTCCATATTCTGCTCCATCTGTGATACGTCCCTGCTATCTGCTACGCAGAGCATCGATCCGCCATCCGAAAAGAGGCACAAGCGGCAAGCAATAGCCGTCTGTTCCATCAGACCGTGCAGTTCAGCCCAAGCCACACGGCAACTTGCGTGTTCAGCACTGATGCAAACGCCTCGTCCGGAGTATTTCCCTGGCCTCGGTGCACGAAATCCATACAGTATGCACCACACTCCGTCTCCAGACACACTACTGCATACCCGTGTACATAGTATGAATACCAACGGGCTAGGGCCAGTAATACCCCATCAGCTGGCGTTTTGGTTCCCATCCCTGCTAGCCCACGTGTCACGCAGATCCGCGTTGCAAATACGCTGCTATCTGGAGCGTCACGAGATGCTCTCTCAAGCCCAGCGCCACACTAACGTCAGCTCTCTGGCGTTGATTTGCGCCTGCAGATGTTAAGCAGAGAGCCAATTCGCAACGCCCTTACATGGCAATCTGCCTCTATGCTGTTTCTGCCCCGTAACCCCCGGCAGGGCTTGCTGCTCCGTATTATTTCTTGATAATAATACTCGTGATATTCTGGCTGAGTCCTTCCTCGTAGCAAGGCGTATTGTTTTGGCTCCTGATTACTATTCTCACACATCTAGATGCCGATTATCTCGCTTTCTCTCTGCAGCTTCAAGTCGTGAATACGATAGCTCATTCATCGCTACAGCCCTATTTGGATTCTTCAGTAATGCGTGTTGTTTTTACGTACTTCACATATCATAGACGTAATAGAATCTACGCAGGATTCGTATGGGCTTGCTGAGGCGAAACCGTGCGTCAACTCACGCAGCCGTCGCTTCGTCGCATCCGAATTACGAGCTTCTGTAGCTTTGTAGCGTATATTCTCAGCGCGGCTGAGGAAGCTAACACCGCGAAGAAGGTAGGACGAAAATAGGACGAAAATAGGATCAATTGCCATCACAAATAGCCCATTGACATGTTTGCCCATGCCTACGTCCTCCTTGTTCCCGTAAAAGCGTGAGAATGGTGAGGTCAGATACTAATTGTACCTTTTTGGTAAGGGGGCCGACACCAAGGAGTGACAGTCTCCATACTTAGGACTCATTCGACAGCCTCACTAGCGGCGATTGATCATGGTAGACGGCGAACAGCACTCACTATCTCGATAACGAAATGCGTATCCTGCTTGGGACCAAGGACTTCAAATGATGCCACTTTGAGCCTTGTTGTGTCTTAGACCGTCTGGTCTTATCTGTCTGCTTGTGCTCTCACAATGCACAACATACCTACCCCTATTTCCCAGCCAGCCGTACTCCGTACAAAGTATACGGAGTAATTGTGAAGTGCGCCACTATCAAGGTGCCACTAATCAGCATGACTCGTATATCACATTCTGCGGGGAGGGTATGGCATAGATATGCCGGAGTCATATTAAACTGCCGTGTTTACGAAATGCTAGCCTTAAAATTCACATGCAATGTCGATAGATGTGTGATTTCTATAAGGCTCACCGCCGAAATAGGGACATTAGCCGGTTACTTGGCCGAAAGGAAGCAGGGAAGATGCAGCTGCATACGTCGTAGGCGAATCCGAAAGGCACACGGCCAAAGTATGTAAGAAGTAAGAGAGATAAGATGCTGACTAGGAGCTCGAAGAGTTAATGAGTACCGTGGCAACTGCCGGTTTTGGCTCTTTGGAGAAGTTCTCCCCTACAGGTGGTTATTTTGAAAAAGCTGCTGGGTACTGTGTTATAGCTGAAATCTCCCTCCTAGGACTCGTTGAAGAGAAAGGTCCAACAACTACGGTATATGCCTGGGGTTGGTTGAATTTGCCCCTTTCTTACCTATAATCTATTAGGCAATATCAGTACCAAACCACCCACTTCTTACATCGCCCGTCGTAGAGCAAATTACTGAGGTTATTGAAGCAATTATTGATACAAAATATTTTCAGAGCCTACAATGTGTTCATGCCTATAATGCGTTCATCATCCAAGCATAGTGGCGCGCAAGTCATCGCGACAGTTGGACTCTTGACCTATTTAATCCATCTCTGCGCATCTGTACAGTTGTGTTACATACACCAAGTCCTGAGACCGCCAGATTGGCCGGCAAATTTAACCACTGCTATGCAGCAAACTTCTCAGCATTGTTAACTCGTTAAAGAGGACAAGATACCCATCTCTCTAGCAAATGAAGGAGCTTTGTTTCTAGTTTCGAGTCCGAGCTCGCTCACAGACTTACTTGCGCATATTGTATATATATAGCATGTGTGTCAGCTCGCGCTTGGGGCAGATCGACATTTCCCGTCGACGAATCGCTCGGATAACTAGGTGGTCTGTTCGTCCACTGCCTGTATTACCGTCAGTGCTGCAGCTGCAGCCATCTGCAGGGTCCATCTGTATGCGACGCACACACGCGCGCACAGAGGAAACTTGTTTGTCTGTGCTGGCGGCACCCCCGAAACCCCCTATTACCCGTAACGGGGAGCTCCATTGCGACGGTACGGGAGAGCTTTTCTGCACTTCAATTGGATGTCATACGTGAAGGTTAGTATTACAGACGCTGCTGAACTTGGCAGCATTGACAGAAGTAGTAGTGTTACGTTATCTCGTCAAGGCCATCCAAGCAGAGCAGGCGGTCGTATAACAGTGTCGAAGACCTGCGTTATGTGATGATAAGTTCCTTCGTCAGCATGGCTTATGCGAAGTGACACTAATATTCATTATAGTCGCTGAGTTGCGCTCATCTCTGTGAGAACTGCAACAGCGCAAACAACAGTTCGGGCCCCTATTGGATGTTGTAGAGGGCTGAAGTTGCTTTGCTACACGTTACAATATCTACTGTATTAACCTGCTACCAAGAAAAGCAAGAAGCGAAGGCCTTTGATGTGTCGGTTACGAAGGATCATTTAAGCCAATTAGTGAGTTACATATAGCTAAATTTGGCATTTATACGCGATGAGCCAATACAGCGACCCTGTTCTCAAATCTCACATCCAGTAAGCAAGTTAGGTTATAAACTGCTATGACGGTTGAAGTAGCATGTTTGCCGATCACGCGTCTTTCCCAAGCGTCTTGCAGTATATGCGCTAAACGTCAGCGGATGGTCAATTCAAATATCACATGAGGAAATAGAGTCGTAGATACAGTTTATTTTGGAGAATCCCGGCCATGGCTTTGGACCCTTATCCAGCTGTTTTGTTGAAGGTTATGATGAATTTCCCAAGCCGTTCAATATACAGTACATCATGACGTCAACTTCAGCACGAGCTTCGCGAAGCGTCACTATGACCTCAAGCATTCAGCGACATGAAGAGAATAAATATGAAATGCAAAGAAGCCAATTGGACTCCATTTTGAACAGACATCAACATTGAACACTTGATTGCAACCGTCATGGCATCTACAGCTCGTCACATCACACAGCTTTCGCGACGCTGCACAGCGGGCATCCCCCGTCTATATCACGCCTCTGCTGCTCTTCGGCTCCCCTACAAGGACTCCCAAGATCGCGAATCCCTCAAGCCGAGATCCAACAATGGCACAAGGTCGGCTCGAGACGACGATGTCTCGGACCAGAAGGACGCCGCGTTCAACCCTCGCAAGACGGATCCGGAGTCGGAACTTGAGGCGGCTGGCCGAGGCAACGAAACGAACCCGCTGAGTGCGAGCGGTGCGAACCAGGAATTCAACAAGCCCATGGGAGAAGGAAAGTCTGCGCATGATACGGGTCCTGGCAAGGAGACCAGGAAAGGAGGGAGGAGTGGTGGAGGAAGTGCGCCGAAGAAGGGGAAGCCGCCGAAAGGTGATCTGTAGGGGTTGAAAGCATCATTCTATTGGGGTGGTATATGGTTTCACAGGACATTTTATGAGCTCGGATGAGGCATATCGGAGGCTGCAAAAAGGGAATCACACATGGAGATTTGAGCTTTGTATGGAGCATCTCGAATACGAGTTCCGAGCTCGGTATCGTCGTTTCTGATTAGCATCATTCTACATAACAGAAAAGGGCAACTCCGCAGAAAGGATCATGGTTAGGCAAATCATCGTGGACCTCTTTGGCCTTTATAAGTCAAGTCACATCTGATTAAGTTCCCGGTATCAACGTTACAGTCGCCTAGTCTCGGATAAAAGCATAGCTGAGAGGGGAGAAGGCGGGGTACTGCGGTAATCGAGCGATCGACATGCTATATAAGCTCATCATCTTGTCCGATCCCGGATATAAAGCGAATTGAAGTTGGGGAAATTTGTTAAATAAAAAGTCATCAATACAACAATCTATCAGCAAAGTAGGAAAAAAAGAGAGAGAGAAAAGAGAATCATTGTCATCATGACTGAAAGTCAAACCAAGTTCGCGTTATATCCCAGCCTTGACGACCGCACAGTCGTCATCACAGGCGGCGCGCAGGGTATTGGAGCTCAAATGGTCGAGCTATTCTCCCTGCAAGGCTCCCAGGTCATCTTCCTAGACGTCGTGGATGACCGTGCCGCGGGAGTAGTTCAACGGATGGTCGAATTGAACGTCAAGCACAAGCCCGTCTACCATCACTGCGATGTCATCAAGATTGACGAAGAGCTCAAGCCCACGGCGGCCAAGATTCTGGCACAGTTTCCAAAGATTGATGGACTGGTGAATAGTGCTGCGAGGGCCATGATGAAACCGACAATGGACATCACGACGCAGTGGTGGGACGAGAGCGTCGCGGTGAATCTGCGGCACCAGTTCTTCTTGACACAGGCCCTGATGCCGGGCTTACTTCTTGCCGCGGGCCATGCGTCCATCATCAATTTTGGAAGCATCAACTGGGCGGTCCCTGGGCTGGGCCAAGTGCCTTATACGACGAGCAAGGCCGCAGTGGTGGGGCTGACGCGGACGCTGGCGCATGAGTTTGGTCCACAGGGCATCAGGATAAACAGCATCATGCCGGGATCGATCGCAACAGAGAGGGAGATCAAAGAGGTGCTGACGCCGGAGTATAAGGAGAACCTCTTCAAGAGTCAAGCTATTCAGAGACTGATTCAGCCGGTGGAGGTGGCGAGATTGGCGCTGTGGTTGATTGCGGATGATAGTGCGGCAGTAGTGAGCCAGAGCATCAGAATCGACGCCGGATGGACATGAGAAAGCTGTTTATAGAATGCATGTGGATTTTAGATGACTAATGGCTATAAGCAGAATGATATTTATAGAAGGTGTCAATAAGATTCCTGATGTAGACGATGTGATTCGGTTTAGAAAATAGTTATATGCCCCAAGTATTCGCTCTCATAGTTCATCACGGTATACCGAATTGTCAGATTAAAAACCGGCTACGCCTTTCTACTGGAGCCAACAGCATCCATTCGCCTTGCCAAAGTTTCTGCCGCTTTTTTTACTGCATCATCCACTAGTTGCGTAAATGGAATCTTGTTGACTTTCTGTTCCAAATGCGCATAGTATCCCGCGAGGATATCCTGGTTAATGTTATATCCGTACGACAGCCTAAATAAGTCATTGAAGCAATGACTCGGTATCCAAACCAAAGGAGACGAAGTTATGACTGGCTAGTCATATGCCTAATCTGGCTACCAGTTATGGCATTGGCTAGATTACTGCTCGATGGTGAATGAAGATCTTGAGAAAAGCTGAACATTGTGAATTCGCTAACATATCGTAGATGGATAATATTCCTGATATATGCTTGCCTCTTCCATGAAGGGAGGGCAAATAGTATTACCTAGTTCATCAATAGATATAGCCTTTGGGAGATTTAAAAATGATCTGAAAGACGTAAAAAGATTTATATATAAAGAGCTGACTTCGCACATTGGAAAAGCTAATGCAAGGTTGATAGTAGAGAGCTAAGTAATATTATCTGCTATAAATAAAGGCCTCGGGGAGAGTTAAAAATGCTGTGAACATAGCGCCACCAAGCCTCGTTATAGGTATTTCTAGCACAGGAGCTGAATACATGTAGGTGGCCAGTGACCTGCTCCGCTGTGTTCATCCCATTCCACAGCACTATTAACCATCCATAAGGCCATTAATTATAGCAGATAATGATACTTACTTGATTCGCTGCTAACAACTTCCAATGTTATTTTCCCTGTAGTCTCCAAGTTCAAATAATAAAGCTATCTGGTGCCTGAGAAAGATGTTATGTAATAGGAGAATACCTTTCGAGATCTAGAACAATGTCCCGAGGCCCATAGTCCCGATGAACATTGCCAAACGCTGGTGCAATCAAGTTTACTTCTGCATCCACAAATTGCTGCGCCTCCTCAGTAGTCGTCATGAGCCCAGCCAAGCCAAGCGTCTTCCTGGCTCTGCCTCCATTACCTTGCTGTGACCACGACAATATGCAGCTAGCTCCTTTGTCTTGGCGAGATTTTCTGATGCGACATATCTATCATGATAGGGTCGAACGACAGCAAGCACGCCTGCTTAACCATATCTTCATCTTGGCAGTGATCGAGATGCACTGCCACAGGGATAGAGGCTTGGCGTGCGGCCTGGGCGGCGGCATGGACTAGGATGCCGTTGGAGGACGGGATGGTCCAGGGGAAGAGTTGGATGATGAGAGGTAATTTTCGCCTCTCTGCTACTTTGACCGAGCCCCAGCGCTTGTTCTAAATTGTATCTATCAACCATGATGAAAGAAGGAGTTTTAGAAGTTTTAGATACAGTATCCTCATTGGATGGAATTGGTTGTAACGTGTTATGTATGGCATTAAGCTTACCCAACACCAGCGAGGACGCTATACTTGCCTTGGTCAATCGCTCGCAAACTGTGCAGGGTTGCATTGTCCTCTAACCGGCCCAGCCCCATCGTAACCATAATACGAAGCCAAGATTGTATGTTGTTTCCTCTTCTAATACACTAAACGAGAGCTATATTGTCGTTGCAGTCATATTTACAGTGTCTCATACGGCGTAACCTTCCCCTCATTCATCAACCGAGTCTGCGGACCTCCAGGTCTCCGCAAATCCGGCCCGGCGTCGATTTGCGACCGGGGCCGGTCTTCCTAAACAGGCAACTGAGCTCGACATTTGGAAAGTAAGAGACTTTCGCTTATTATATATATAGACCTGTTAAACTATCAGTTTGGCTGAACACCTTTTACTATAAAATGGATGCAAGGTTGTTGAGTCGACTAAGATAACCCGCAAGTTTCTTGAGCTGTGGGCGACAGATGAGCCACGCCGCCCTTGGCAGATGCGATTGCTCTGTAGCTGAAGTTGACCCACTTGTTCATCCTGGCTTTGCGCAACCTTTGTGCAGGTGACTTTGCGGTTCATAAATGACTCCCCTTTATTTGTCTAGAGAACAATTCCATTGCAAGTAGCTAGAGTGCAATTCAAGAGGCAAAGTCTGACCATTTGGTGAGGCGGTCCAATTTCTCCCAGGCGCCTACATCCTCAGCATATCCCGCTGCTCTACAATATTGAACCCTGCAGAACGAGCAATACGAATGATTCGGCTATTACAAATAGTTAAGGAGCCGGGACATCCGAGGCTATAGCTCCGAGATGCAGCTGAAGATGTGGAGATGGTAAGATGCATTTATGGGCGTCTGGTTCATAATCATGTCAACGAGGATCTCATGATTCGACACACCTGGTTGGACATGGGCTATTATTTAGCCGACACTATTAAAACAAGGTACATGGTAGAAGAGAGGTCAATGCCATAGCTTAAAAAATGTAAGAAGTATTACGTTTGTGACGGGGTCGTGCTTTGGAACTAGTTATTGGTCCATCAGCATCTAGACAGATACTAAATTAGAGAGTAAACAATTGCCGATGATATTGCTCCATAATGGTTTCCTGATTCTTAGAAGATACTTGTACGACAGTGGTCTAAAATCCGCTGCGCTCGAGAGAAAATATAGATCGGCTTGCGGTTGTTATCCATTTGTAGCTTCAGATAAAGAGCAAGCCATCTGCTTAAAGTAGTTTTATACCAGAGTATTCACAAGGCTTCTCTGCCTTTGAGAGCCGTATCTAAATTTTCTCAAAACATCGCATTTATTCTTCATATATTCGTTGCAATCAATTTGATGCTTACTGAAACAAGTTGTTCGATCTCACGCAATCAACTCTCAGACCGAGATACCTTCAGCACCTGAACTAATCCCCAAAGTCAGAGCCCACCATTGTTTATTGACATCACGCCCTGCGGTGAACAAGTCAAATCATAAAACGAAGCTATCGATATGAAGCCATCTGCCTTTGATCGAGAGCCAAAAGCCGTCACGCACAAACCAATCACCTGGAGGCCGCCATAAACGTGGCGCCATGTCCATCGGTAAATCATCCGCTGCTGACAAAGGCCAAAAGCCACCCGACGGTTTGCGCACTTGCACCTTATAAGCACGATCAGCACGAATTTTGGGGCCTGGCGGAATCAAGTCCGGCCTTTTAACGATGGCCAGCATCGGCAATCTTGCAAAGGATGAACAGCAGGTTACGAAGGACTTGTTTGGTGCCCGCCTTCACGGCGGAGTCTGGGGCATGTCGGGGAAGCGGGCCAACCTGTTTTGGGGGCTCTTGGGGACATGACTCGCGGCAAGGATTTAAAGCGGGTAGCGGCTCTTGGCATTTTTCTTCTTCTTTTTGGCTTCTAGCGAGAGAGAGGAATAACTTTAATCAAGCCATTTTGCTTGGCTTTTTCGCCTCGTCAAGCCGTTGGGCGGCAACATGCAGCTGCATAAGATTGGATGATGCTCTTGTGGCACTGAGTCGGGACTGGGATTAGGTGCATGCGGCTGAGCTTTTTCTTGTCTTTTTCCTTCCGCATATGGTCATTGTGAAGCATTTAGCTCACTGGATATACCACTAGCCTTTCGTCCATATAATTTCACTTTGATAATGATACGAGAATGCTTTGAGAGCTTGGATTGCAACATAATCTTTGATAGAGACTTCAACACAGACACAAGATCCGGGGTAAGCCCGCCAAGAGACTGCATCCCGTTTTCCCCAAAGTTGTTACGTTTTTCTTTCATTTTTTTACTCATAGAATCAAGTTCCCCGCGAGGTATCATCTGAGGAGATCCGTGTCTTCAAACCCCCCCCCATGGAAAAATATAGCCATCACCAAACCAAGTGGGGGGGAGGCATAAGAGTCAGAAAAATGGAAACCCACCAAAACTCTCTTGCACCGCCAATACAAAGCCTGCTTTTGAGAAAACAAGCGCCGTATTGTATGAGAAAACTTGTTCCCAGCATCTCAGCAACCCTGTCTTTAGCTTAGCAATTACCTAAGAGCAGCCCACGGACTGGGCCAGCCACCCTACTAAGAGTGGGCTTCGTCGTTTGCGCCCTACACATCTCCCGGGATTAGCAACGGTCCATCTGGGTCCTGGATGGAACCCTCGCCATGGAGCCTCGCGCGGACTGTGCCTTGGCGGCCAACGAACCGTCGTAAATGGTGGATACAGACGCCTTGCCTCTCATACGAACAAGAACTGCCTCAGAAATAAGACGGGCGTCTTGGCTAGCGGCAGTACATAGCTTAAAGCTGTGGTTTATACTGTTTTTGTATGTTATGGGGAGAACCGTTCCATGTCCAGGCCCCATAATCCGGCGCAGGGTCTCGCGAAATGGGATCACTTTTACACAAGCTTTCTGGCTCTTGCTCTCCGGTCCCGGCTATCGCAGAGCTTTTTGCCCACTGACTCAGGTATCCGCTTTGTCTGATTATCGAGCTGTTGGGCCAGGATTGTTGTGTAACATCGGAGAGGGCTGTTAGTGTTGCAGCATCACCACAAAATTATAAAGTGGTGTTGGCTCCCGGTTCCCTCTATTTTACCCTTCCTTCTGCTCCCCTTGTTTAGGCTGTATAATCGAATGCTTCTAGAAATATTCTAGGCCTACCCACCCTTGCATAAGACATACATAACCGTAGTATAGTACGGGAAAGGCTGCTTCTAACTCGCGGCGCCGAAAGATCCAAGTGCCGCCGCCGCCAATTACAGCCCACGCTACGGAACTTTTTTTGGTACTTATACCCCAAATTCTCCAAAAAGAGAGACAAAGGAGTGCAGCAGAGAAAGAAAGAAAAAAAAAAAAAACACATACAAAATGTCCCGGCGAGCAAGCTCGGGCGACACGCCGGAGGAGAAGGGCAATTATGGCCAAGAATCCAAAGCCGTGCTGGACACTGCGGTGGTGCCTCAGTCAGACTATGTGAATGATTACGATGAGGAGGATTTTTGGACCAGAAATGGACTCAACGCAAAATCCTTCCAGAAGAAGCACTATGGCCTGGGGTTGGTGGAGTTGGACCGAGCGATGAAGACTCGACACTTACAGATGATTGCCATCGGAGGCTCTATCGGTGCCGGTTTCTTTGTTGGCTCTGGTGGTGCGCTGGCCAAAGGTGTAAGTTACAACTTAATTATTCAGAGAAAAAGGAATCGGAGATGCTCACATGTTGTTTAGGGCCCCGCTTCTGTTCTTATCTGCTTCCTTGTCGTCGGCTTCATGGTCTTCAATGTCGGTAAGTGTTAGACCATTTTACTCCCTGCAAACAATACTTTTTTTTTACCGACTTTCATGCTTATACATTCGAATAGTATATGCTCTTGGTGAACTTGCCATCATGTATCCCGTTTCCGGAGGTTTCTACACCTATGCAACCCGCTTCATCGACCCCTCATTCGGTTTCGCCGTCGGTTGGAATTACTTCTTCCTCTGGTTCATCGTCTTACCGCTCGAATTAACAGTCTGCTCCCTCGTTATACAATATTGGAACCAAGACATCAGTGTTGGCGTATGGATTACCATCTTCTGGGTCGCCATTATTCTGATTAACATCTTCGGAAGCATTGGTTATGCCGAGGAAGAGTTCTGGTCCTCGGTTATCAAGCTCGCCGCCACTGTCGTCTTCATGATCATCTGCTTCGTGCTTGTCCTTGGCGGTGGTCCTTCGAGCGGCAAATACAGCGAATATGTGGGAGCTCATTACTGGCACAACCCGGGTGCCTTCCGCAATGGCTTCCGAGGATTCTGCTCCGTCTTTGTCACTGCGGCTTTCTCCTTCACCGGCACCGAGCTTGTCGGTCTCGCCGCAGCCGAGAGTCGCAATCCGGTCAAGTCACTGCCCAGCTCCATCAAGCAGGTGTTTTGGCGAATCACGTTGTTCTACGTGCTTGGTCTCTTCTTTGTCGGTCTTTTGATTCCCTCGGATGACCCCAGACTCCTCTCTAGTGCCGCTTATACCGATGTCAAGGCCTCGCCTTTCGTTCTCGTTGGTCTTTATGCCGGACTGAATGGTTTTGACCACTTCATGAACGCAGTCATCCTCATTTCTGTCATTTCCATTGGAGTTTCTAGTGTTTACGGCGGTTCACGCACTCTAACTGCCATGGCGCAGCAGGGATATGCCCCCAAGCTCTTTACCTACATTGATCGCTCCGGCCGTTGTCTTCCCTCTACTATCGTCATGCTTCTTACTGGAGCCCTCGCCTACATCAACCTGAACGCCTCAGGACCTACTGTTTTCAACTGGCTGCAGGCCCTTTCTGGTCTTGCTGTTCTCTTCGCTTGGGCTGCCATCTGCCTGGCTCATATTCGTTTCCGCGCGGCATGGAAACATCACGGACACTCTCTTGATGAAATCCCATTCAAAGCCATTTTTGGCGTCACCGGTTCTTGGATCGGACTGTTCATCTGCTTTATCGTCTTCGCTGCTCAGGTATGTTTCGCCCTGGTTTCAGTATACATTCCAATTGAGGCTAACCAAATTTCCAGTTCTTCACTGCTATTGCACCCCCTGGACAGCACGCTCTTAATGACGTCGAGGGCTTCTTCCAGTCATACCTTGCTTTTCCCATCGTCATTGCCTTCTGGGTAGCTGGATATATCTGGAAGCGCACTGGTTGGCTGAAGCTTGACCAGATCGATGTTGATACTGGCCGCCGTGACCTGAACTGGGATGAGATCCGCGCGTATCGCGAGCATATCGCTACCTTGCCTTCGTGGAAACGCCTCTATTATCATCTATTCCAGTAATGGATGCCGTAATAGCTGCCTCAGGAAAAAGTGGCTGTAACATGCTTCTCAGTTTCAAGTTTGATTAGAATAAATTAATCTATGTACATATAATTTAATAATTGCAATAACAAGAGCTCTAAAGCCTGCCTCTCTCTCTTTCTATCGCGTATTAAATGTATGAGTTTACTTGATTCGCAGTAGCCGCTTGCATCAAATCCTTCGATTGTAGTCGGCGAAAGGCTAAGCGCTACTAATCTACAAACACCTTCAGAAACGCCTATTAATTTCTTCATAACCCACGAACCATCTACGAAATTATTGATAAATTGATGTGTCAGGTATGAAGTGATAATGCAATGCGTAAAAAAAAAGAGACACTGGTGCTCTTTTCTTGTAAGCAGAAATTGCGAGAAGTACAAGCAAAAATTTGGCAGTTTGCAGAAAAAGTATACTAAGTAAGTACTATAAAGTAAGTACCTAAGTAGGCAGTAAGTAATGCTACTAGTACTTTTCTACCAACATGAATTATTTCCAATAATGATGCAAAAAAGAAACATCTCCAAGATAAACTCTTGAACAACGGGTCTGGCCGGGGATTGAACCCGGGACCTCTCGCAGAACGACTTGGGGTTTTCCCTAAGCGAGAATCATACCACTAGACCACCAGACCTATCTGTTTCTTGAAATTTTCGGGGCGTAATTCATTCATGAACACAGCAGAATTCTGCACAATGCAGACGGTGGATCGTAGATCTTGATTGTGGATGCGTGTGGATGTAGAGCTTGACTCAAGCATGGGAAAAAAAATCTTCAAAGAATAGCAAAAGCTTTGGAGCGGTATCGGAGCAGACCGCGGTGGGGACCGTGCTCGGAGCACATGCATCACGGAGTCGTCCGTATCGGAAGCTGGTTTGGTTACATTGCTCCGTATTATGCGCCGAGAGTGGATGGAAAATCTCACCATGAAGATTCTTTGTCGAATACGACCCCTGGAGACGGGAAATCACTAGTTGTTGTGAACTGCGAATTTGAGAAAAAAGAGTATGTGGCTCTATCAACTACATGGGAAATCCATAGTTGCTTTGGCACACATGCTCTCAAACTACATGTACATGTTATTAACTGAACTGGCAATACGAGTTTACAGGTCTCAACACTCAGACAATGGAGCTGATGCCCATGTTCTTTTCATTTACTAAATCAACCACTAAACTAGCTGCATGACACATGCTAGCTTCTTGTCTTGTTTTTTTAGAAGCCGTCAAAATAGGTCCCTGTCTTGTCTAATTTCCACACGCCGCCGCCGTCGACGCCTTCGCCTGAGACGCTACGCTAGCATCATGGCAATCCCGTCAACCATCTCATCACACGAAACTAGTACGCAAATCTTAGCCTCAACACCTTCATATTAATTTTTAAACAGCTTCTTCTCAGAACTGTCATACAGCGTGAGGGTGGAGTGCTCCTAGTGCAGTCCTTCGGGCAACGCCGCTGTACCCTTGCCAGGGTGACGATCATGTCATCGGATATAGTAGCCTCATAGAGCGCGGATGGCCTAGTGGTCTAACTCCCAAGGTGTAGACAGTCTCATTCTTGTCATGGACGTGGTATTCATTTTCCATCATAACTTGGTGTATATGTTTCTCACTGTTCGCACTCTTATCAAGAAAGCAATGTCATGGAATATGATACTGATCGCTTCCCTTGTAAAGTTTGTGTTCTCTTTTCATCATTTTACTTCGAGATCAACTAGGACCAAAAAATCTTTGCTTGTATTATTCTCACTGTGATCACCAAGACAAGTAGATGGCTCCGTATAATTGAATTGCATGGGCTTGATGGGGGATTTTTTGCGTTTTGACTTATTGAAGCTCGAAAGATGAGAATACGCTGACACTCGAAGAGGTCTGTACACATGTTCTGTCAAGTCTTGCCATAATGCTACAAATCAAACGCTAAGACTCAAAAGAATAGTGGTGTAATACCACTGGCTCCATCAACTTATTTTGAAACGTAGTGAATCGCATTCGATTTCAGCCCAGTAGGTCCAAAAGGGCAGTCTAGTAACTCATAGTTTTAGTCAAGTTATTCGTTGACAAAGATGATTGAAATGCCGTCATAATTGCCCCTTTCAACGGTAGGTGTATTAGCTGCGCTGAAGAACCATGATAGGGCGTTTGTCGACTCGCAACGGCGCTCAACCTCTTTCTCAAACCAATCTTGCTAACTCTATAAAGACTGTCAGTTAAACTCCAAGAACAACAAATATGCAAATAAATTTTCAAGCGGATAAATGAATTATTCTTTAGTCTATTTCACCCGGTAACTTCCATATGTGAGATGCATTCTACTGCGCAGAGCATAGGGGTTATTACGGCTGCGGCATGAGACGAAATTAATTAGCGCGTATGAATGGAAGAATGAGCGATTGAATGGCAGAGGCTGCATGAGGCAACAACATGTCTCCCGTTACATATTCTTTGTACAATGTTATGTTTGTATGAATAATACAACATTAATTGAATTCTGAGCTTTCAATCCAATTCACCTTGGCGCAATTGAAAAGTGTTTATGTTCTACAGCACTACACAGCGCCGATGTGGAGAATTAAATAAAGAGTATTTATCGCTGTCAATTGGCATAAAAGAGTACTCTTATTTTGGAATCTTTAAAAATGAAGAAAAATGACTTCGATTTGTAAATTCCATTCTGCCAATTGCCTATATTCAAGAACTTAAAATATCTCATACTACATGCAACAGAAACGCTTGTAGAGTACTGATATTGCCATAATTGCAATGCGGCTTCAGAATATAAGCCAATTGGAATGAAAATTAAAATAATAAGATGAATAGCCGCAAGTATTGGCCGTATGTGTTTTCAGTGGGGAGCTTCTCTCTGTGCCCAGATTTAGGTGGTTTTTGGGGCGCGAGATCGGTGTGGATAAAAGTTTGTCAGGGCCCGTGACTCACTACAGCTAAGCTCAACCTCACATATTTCAATCGTCATTCCTAGCCCCAAAACGCTCATACAGCATACATCAAAAGCCAGCCAGGTTTAAACGGCAATTGGTATATTGTCACCCATTATCAGAGACATGGCGTCCCCAGATCCGACTATTGATCTCCACTGGGGAGATTATCGTGGTGGTAGGATACTACGATGCGTTTGTTCCTCATGTATAACATGTTCTTACTCTGCGTTTTTTAGCAATCCATGAGATATTTGCCAAGAATGCCAAATCCTTTCCCGACAGAGAGTGTGTCGTTGAAACTAAGAGCTCACAAAGAAAGGAGCGCTCATTTACATATCGCCAGATCCATGAGGCTTCAAACCTACTAGCTCAGCATTTCTTGAGCCATGGATGCAACGTTGGAGATGTTGTCATGATATACGCTTACCGAGGGTTGGTACTCTCTGGCTGTCCTTTTATTTGCTTTTAGTTGCTAATTGATCCTTCTAATAGCGTTGAACTCGTGGTGGCCTATATGGGTGCTCTCAAAGCTGGCGCGACTGTCAGTGTGATTGATCCACAGTATCCTCCTGAGCGCCAAACGGTGCTATTAGACGTCGCCAAGCCTAGATTCCTTGTCTGCATCGAAAAGGCAAATGAGGAGTTCGGCCCACCTTCTGACCTCGTCCTGAAGTTTGCCTCGGAAAATCTGAGCCTCAAGTCTACTATTCCAGCGCTCGAGCTGTTAGATGATGGCGAGCTGAGAGGAGGGTCTGTCGACGGCAAAGACACCCTTGATCCCTCAGTATACAGCCGAGAGGACCCCATCAATGTTCTCATTGGACCTGATTCCATTCCTACTTTGAGTTTCACTAGTGGTTCGGAAGGAAGACCAAAGGTGCGACTCCTCCTCAATCCAGGGGCATTGCTCTGTCGAGACGATGGCGTTCCCTGGATTAGCAGATTCAACCCCGCAGGAGCGTGCTAATAGCTTAAATAGGGTGTCCAAGGTCGCCATTTCTCTTTGACTCACTACTTTCCTTGGATGGCGGAAAGATTTGGCCTCTCAGACCAAGACAGGTTCACGATGCTTTCTGGAATTGCCCACGACCCAATCCAGGTGAGTCACTGTTTGGTCTTTCTATCTATAATAGAATAATCTAACGACACGCCATTCATAGAGAGATATCTTCACGCCACTTTTCCTCGGTGCCAAAATTATCTGTCCGCCGGCAGAAGCGATTGCTTACGAGGTCCTGGCCGAATGGATGAAGGAGAACAGCGTCACTATTACCCACCTGACCCCCGCCATGGGCCAGATTCTCGTTGGAGGCGCTACTGCTCAGATCCCCTCTCTTCGAAATGCGTTCTTTGTGGGCGATTTATTAACTAAGAAGGACACAAACAAGCTGCGCAATCTTGCGCCCAACACAAGTGTCATTAACCTTTATGGGTCGACAGAATCGCAACGGGCGGTATCTTATTTTGAGATTCCAAGCAGGGCACGGGAGCCTCTATTCCTGGATACCCTACCGGATATCATCCCAGTCGGCCAGGGTATGCAAAATGTTCAGCTCCTGGTTGTAGACCGCGACGATAGGTCTCGATTGTGCCAAGTCGGTGAGCAAGGAGAACTGATGATTCGCGCTGCCGGACTTTCGGAGGGCTACCTTGGAGATGATGAAAAAACTACATCTCTAAACAGGGATAAGTTCCTTCTCAACTGGTTTGTGGACCCAACCATATGGGCTCAGCAGGACAATGGTAAGAGTGCTGCTGAGGCTTACAAGCCATGGGGTTACAAGGGACCGCGAGATCGCCTGTATAGAACCGGTGATCTTGGCCGGCGCCGTGAAGATGGAAATGTAGAGTGCACTGGAAGAATCGATTCGCAAGTCAAGATCCGTGGCTTCCGAATCGAGTTGGGAGAAATCGATACACACCTTTCACAGCACCCATTTGTTCGCGAAAACGTCACTTTAGTTCGCAGAGACAAGGACGAGGAGCACACACTCGTCACTTATTTCGTTCCTGAGACAAAGCGCTGGTTCGAACACGTTCAAAAGGAAAGTGGACAACTGGAGCCAGTGTCACAGGATGAGTCGATGGGTCAAATGCTTCGAAAGTTCAAGTCACTTTCCGAAGACTGCAAGAAGTACCTCGCTACTAAGGTCCCCAAATATGCCGTTCCTAGCCTCTTTATTCCTCTGGCTCGCATGCCGTTGAGTAAGTCCCTCTGCCCTTTCTTCTGCTCTGTTATGAAGAGAGCTTTAGTCCGTGACTAACAATACAAATTTCAAAGATCCCAATGGAAAGATAGACAGACCTGCACTTCCGTTCCCCGACGCCGCGGATCTTAGCTTCCTAGCGAAGCGACGAGCCTCGTCCGTATCTGTAAACCTGACACCAACACAGACTCGCCTAGCTTCGATCTGGGCCTCTGTGCTTCCAAACAGCTCAGCAAGAATGTTTAGACCGGAATCTAACTTTTTCGACGAGGGAGGACACTCCATCCTTGCACAGCAGATGTTTTTCAGCGTGACCAAGGAATGGAAGGACATCAATCTGCCGATCAAGGTGATATTCCAATCTCAGACACTTGAGGCTCTTGCCGCAGAGATCGACCGTGCTCAGGACCCCATCGGCCTGCGTCTAGATGCGATGCCCCTCGATGGAGACAAGAATGTTCTGGACGAGGCGTATGCCGCCGACGCAAGGGACCTCACAAGCAAAATCCCCAAGTCTATTCCCACAGCAGGCGCAGTCACCTCCCCTCGCGTGCTTCTCACCGGAGCCACTGGTTTCCTAGGCTCATATATTGTGCGCGAACTCCTCGAGGGCCCTACCAAGGCAAATGTTATCGCCCTCGTACGAGCCAAGGATCCGGCGGATGGTCTCGCTCGACTAGAAAAAGTAATGACGGCCTACGGCTTATGGTCTCAAGAATGGGTAACTTCGTCTAGGCTTGAAGTCGTGGTGGGAGACATTGGTAAGCCGCAGCTTGGCCTTTCCCAGGATGTTTGGGCTCGCCTTTCTGCCGAGGTCGATGCTGTCATCCACAACGGCGCCCAGGTCAACTGGATGCTGCCATACTCAAGCCTTCGATCAGCCAACGTACTCAGCACACTGGCCTGCATCCAGCTTTGCGCCTCTGGAAAGGCTAAGAGGCTAGCATTTGTTAGCTCAACCTCTACGCTGGATAACGACCACTACGTGGAGCTCTCTAAGAAGGCTGGTGCCGTGATGGAAGCGGACGACCTGGAGGGAAGCCGAAAGGGCCTTGCCACAGGTTATGGACAGTCCAAGTGGGCGAGCGAGCTCCTGGTTCGTGAGGCCGGACTTCGTGGCCTGGCCGGTGCCGTCATTCGTCCTGGCTATATCACGGCTGATCCAGCATCCGGCATCTCTGTGACAGACGACTTCCTGGTCCGACTATGGAAGGGATCATTACAGGTGGGTGGTCGCCCGGATATTACCAATACGCTCAACGCCGTGCCCGTCACTCAGGTCAGTCGTATTGTGGTTTCCTCTGCGTTCCACCTCTCTGCGGCAACTGGACAATCTGTAGCTGTGGCACAGGTCACCAGCCACCCGCGCTTGACGCTAAATGATTGGATTGGTGCTCTTGAAGTCTATGGCTATGAGGCCCCCATAATGCCTTACCCAGAGTGGTCCGCAAAGGTCAAGGAGTATGTCAGCGACGATACCAAGGAGGAGCCTCACGCTCTGCTACCCCTCTTCCACTTCGTCGTGGGAGACTTGCCCGGCAACTCCATTGCGCCAGAGTTAGATGACGCTAATGCCCTGGCGGCGCTGAAGCTCTACGAGAACGAGTCGAATGTCTCTCATGCTGTGGATGTACAGTCGTTAGGCGCGTACTTGGCGTACCTGGTTGCTATTGGATTCCTCCCTCCCCCAACCGGGAGCGGCAAGACCCCGTTGCCAAAGCTGGACCTGGCCGCATCACAAATCTCGGCTGCTAGCAGCTTTGGCGGCAGATCTGCTAAGCCGTAAAAGCAGGGGAGAAAAAAAAAATTAGAGAGACAGAGTGGGTAAAAGCATTGTATAATATTGTCGGAGACTGCTATAGAGCAAGTATCCTCCGTAGTCAAGGTATCCTTTACAATTGAGATATCTTCTGTGACCAAGGCGACGTCGATGATTGGAAGTAACCTAAGCTTGTAATAATTCTTAGAATTGTGATCAACTATGTGATTTTCACTGGTAGAATGCTCGCAACAGTGTTTTCAGTATAAGCGGCCAAGACGTGGATTCAGATGTATCGATAACGCGATCTCCAGTGACAGTTTTTATATCCCACGACAAGGAATTAAACCCACCTCTCCACCCCAGATTTAAATATCAATATTTGAATTTAGATTTATACCCTATGTTATAATATCATCGACTTTACAACTAAGGGTTCCAATATACCAATGTAGCGGTGATTTTGAGTTGCTAACCTGTAACAGCGACGTTTCTTATCCAGCAACTGATACCGCTTAATCTTCGGTAAAATATCCCAAACTTACGTCACACCTCCAAAACACAGTTCCCAAAAACACTCTCACAGCGCGGCATCGGCGAAAGTGAGCTTCCGGGTCTCGGGTTTTCATTGGCCCATGTCGCTTTGGCTGCGCCGGCAGTAGAAGCTTGGGAAAAAAAGTGGGCAGAGCCAGAGCAGAGCAGAGCAGCCTTGCCCAGCGCCTCTGCGCTTCTGCCGGTTCTCCTCGTCGTGGGCCAATTTGCTCCTCCTCCAACCCGTTTCTGGCGTGTGACACAAGCCTCGAAGTCTGCTGTGCGAGGCCGATCTCTATGACGCCGCATCCTGTGCGCTAGACGACGTATCAGCCGCTCCCACGAATAGACCTGCTCAGCCAGATTCTCGTGTTGACGAATCTTGTGCTCGCCGTCGGCTTTCTCTTCCTCTCCACGCAGCTCTGCCCTCGTCAGCGGCCGGCCGGCCTCGGAATCTGCTCATCATGGCCTCGCAGCAGGTGCTCTTTGCCGAGACCATCGCCGGCATGAAGAAGGCCTTCAAACGGAGGGCGTATGGTGAGCTCCCTACAGACGTTTTGACACTCGCCGCCAGCTGAATCACGCTAACCTGGCTGCCTCGCCCACAGAATCCGATTCTGACTCCGAGATCGAAAGCTTCACCAACCGCGGCAACAAATTAAAGAAGAGGGCGCGTTTCGCACACAAGGGACAATTGATGCCCACGGCAGGGCCTGGCGCTTACAAAGAGGTACTTGCTGCTGAATCTCAGCTGGGCGAGGCGCGATGGCTAATCTGACACAGTCTGTGGAGTACGCCGGTGTGCGAAGGTCCATCATCCATCGCAATTCTCCCCTGGTCGACGATGACGGCTACGAATTCGATAGCGACGATGACGACGCCCGCATTGAAGAGGCTATGCTATCGGCTGCAGAGTTGGATCCGTATGCAAATATTCGCCTAGAACGTATGTTTCGCGAAATTCCGCTGGGACAAGGCCGCGCTAACTTTGACAGACATCCTTGCGCCGCTCACTGCTTCAACCGACCTGCCAACCCACCCCGTCCTCTCCAAGCCTTTTACTTCCAATACCCTCACAGAACTAGTGAAGCAGAGTTCTCGCATAATGCAAAAGGAAAACCGATCGCTATGGCAGGTTCGACACTTGTGGACCTCTCTTTGTGGCGACTCCACTTGGGTGCCATGTTCAACCATGGTCGGCACGAACGATATCGATTTTTATACTGAAAAAAGCGCTGCTCGCCAGTCTCAAGATTCCACAAAGACAGGCGAGGGGGCATTTTCACCCGCCAATTTAAATGGTGCGACCAGCAAAAACGATACGCCAGGAGCTCGAGCTGCAAACGGATCAAAGGCATCGAGTGAACACGGTGCTGCCATCTCGGCGTCTGCCGATATGCCCATGGACGATGCCGATGCCGATGCACCAGAGAAGAGGAAGACACCTCCCAGGCAAGATGAGATGATGGAAACAGACGACGGAGCTTCCAAGGACCAACCCAAAGCAGCGGACGTGAAGCAAGAAAACGGCAAAGACGCAGCCAATGGTGACACAGCTAAAATTACAAACGGTGCAGACCCATCGACCGAAACTGCGAGTCAAGGTCGTAAGAAGGGAAGCCGCCTGCCCAGCGAAGACGTACAGATGCAAGATGGTGGTGAACCAGCAAACGAAGCCTCGCATAATGGCGTAGAAACCAGCCAGTCCTATATCCACCCAATGTTCCTACCTCCCCCAAATGCCGCGCTCGACCGAAACCTTGGCTTACCCGATAACGAAGCTGAAGACATGAGGAAGCTTCTATCCTTGTATGTGCAGAAGCAAGAAGAGGTCTGCCGGGGGGCTGCTAGGCTCCATTTGGGCTTGCTGAGAGCTCAAAGACTTCGTAAAGACGTGCTGCATTGGTCAAAGGCAGAGGCACACTCTGGGCCAAATCGAGACATGTCTGATGGTGAGGACTGGTATGACAAGGAAGAATGGGGCCTGACAGAGGATCTCAAGAAGGGCCAAGACGAAGAAGAAGAAGATACCGCCACTGCAGGGAAGAAGACGAGAAACAGGCGGTAAACATGTCACTACGGGCGGCGTTTTTCAGGCGTTTATGGGGGAAGGGGTAATACTACTACACCAGCCACAAACTGTGGATGAGCTGATGATGACGATTTCTATATTGTGAGGGAACCTGAATGGATTTATAGATACCACACACTGGCCCAGTGTATCGACTGGATGAATATGGGCCTCGTCCTGGATGCTGGGAGCGCGGGAGAGGGGCGAAAGGCAATGGACTTTGTGCTGGATGTTTGGACACGCGAGCTATTTTTTTTTTTTTTTTTTTCCTTTCTTTTTCCCATTCTGCTGTTATCCAGCCAGTCTCATACATACATACCTGTAGCCTGTGTATTTTTAGGATTAGCGGCTGCATTCCCCTTGGCTTTCTCATGGGTTAGTGCTCATACGGAGTAGCGGGATTCTTTTAAATGATTTTTCTCATGCCCCAGCCCTATCATTTCACGTTGGCAGACGCGGCTGTTGTCGGGGGCTTAGTTGGAATTGACAATTTGCTTGTGACAGACGCCAATTTTGTTGAGGCCCCATCTAAGTGACCACGCATGAACCAATCCCCGCATCCGAACGAGTTAAACAGCTGCCCGCCGTTCCGGGGCAGAGCAATGACGCTATGAGCTTGCAGCTCTCAAATCTCTGGGATTGGATGCGGAATTCGGAGTAATAGACGCCACGTTTCCTTCTTTTGTCGCTCGTGATTGTGTAGATTTTTAAGACGTGTTTCTGTCTGTCGTCTTTCTTCCTTTCCTTCTCCACCCGTGTTTGTTTACTTTCCCAATCTATCTGCCTACACACACAAACTCGCCATGGCGTCATCATTCAGCATCGCAGACCTGGTCGACTATGTCGATCTGGACAAGAAGAGCCTGTTGAGTACGTGAACAAAGCTGCTCCGAAGAGAGAATGTGTGTGTGTCTAATATGATGATTTGCGCACCGAAATAGTCTCGGCAGGATCCATCATCTTCAATCCGCTGTTCTGGAAGTAAGTGGCAACACGGTTCCAGTCCTCCTTCACTTGCAATGGGATTGACTCGTTTACTAATGTATTCTGGCTGCAGCATTGTTGCTCGTCAAGGTTCGAAATAGCTCCTCGCGATTCGTGAGCCGCAGAGATACAGCTGACACTCAGAACCAATTCCGCAGAGTACCACAACAAGATCCTCACAAGGCTGTTTGGAGGCAACCGCTACACCGCCTGCTATGCCCTCGCAATCACCATCTTCTCGCTCGGCCTCGTCCGCGATTCGCTGTACAAGGCAGCTCTGGAGGACCAGCCATCGCACCCGCTGCTGACGACGCTGTACTCGCAAGTTGCCGGCTACGCCCTGTTTGCCGTTGGCATGGTCCTGGTCGTCTCATCGACATGGCGCCTGGGCATCACGGGCACCTTCCTGGGCGACTACTGCGGCATCCTCATGGATGAGATGGTGACGGGCTTCCCCTTCAACGTGACCTCGGCGCCGATGTACTGGGGCTCGACAATGAACTTTCTGGGCACTGCGCTTGCATACGGCAAGCCTGCTGGCATTGCCTTGACTCTTCTTGTGCTGGTCGTGTATATTGTTGCTCTGCGATTCGAGGATCCGTTCACTGCTGGTATTTACGCTAAGCGTGAGCGCGAGCGGGCCGCGGCCAAGTCGGGCAAGAAGCAGAAATAAATGAAATGATTCTTCGGAATCTATATTTGACTGCCGATATGTTCAATTGTACAAGTAGTAGTATTGGTCTGTTGATGATTACGCCGTATTAGAGTGGGACCAGGACAGGATAGAGGAGAGGGGATATATGGGCGGCGGCGGAGGTATCTGATCTGACATTTTAGCATGGCGTTTTGGGCGACTACTGAGAAAGAGGAAACCAAAACAAGTCTTTCAACAGACTCAAATGCGGTTTGTTAGAAGGAGGAGAAGGGGTTTTTATCGAAAACAGTGAACAAAAAGGTTGGGAATTCCACATATACCACTAGATGGACGGGTTGTCAAGGACTATGTTCGAGGGAAGAATCATACATATTCTCAGGCATGTTCTTTATTTTATAGCTAGATACATTCATGTTTTACATTGGGATAACAAATTTTCATCCTTGGAGTGCTTCATGACCTTGATGTCCCTTGAGGCTGGATTAGATGTGCACGAAATGGCAGAACGGGTCTCAGAGTCGTATTCCGAGCCGAACACCGGGATAAGCCCGATGAGCCCTTCTCTACCACTCAGAGGATTTGACTCATTCACTATTCAATGCAGCATTGGTCATGGTGTCTTTGATTGGCACTGCATACCTTGTTGTACAACATTCACACATTTTCGTTTGCTGTGATTAGTGCAGACAAGCAGTAGCTGTTATGATGTAAAGATCGCCAATATCTCGGCTTAGTGAGAAAAAAACGGCCAGACGCGGGTACCAACCCAGTCTGGGGAACCGAGATGCCAAAACGCGAGCTCATCTGACCTGCACCTCATTTCGTGGCTTTTTTATCTCCTCCGCCACAAATAGTAAGAGGCTAGAGGACCCGGATGGCCTCCACCCGCAAGATAGCAGCAGAATCTTCCGGGGAAACCCGGTGTAAGAGGAGGCGGGGGCCAGAATTGGGTTCAGATGGTTATTTCGCTTTGCAGGGGTTACAGCAGAATTTGCTTCATTTACACGGAGTATGCGTCATGATTAAGTGGCTTTGCAGCCGTTGGTGCCTTTGATCCGTGATTATATGTAGAATACCCAGAGAGAGAGCTGCTGCTCGGCATCATTTAAAGAAGCATTCATTGCATTGGGCTGCTGACCTGTCGCTGCTTTCTGCTCAGCTTAGACAGCTCTGCCTGCAACCTGTGCCTAATGACATATTAATACCGGTAGTCAGCTGCAGCACGAAAAGAAATAAGCTCTTGGCTGGCTTTTTGATCCTTGGCAGGGCTTTGCTCTCCGGCCTTTTGCCTGGTTTTCCATTCATGTGATTCGCGGGCTGGAACCACAGACAGCATTCCTTTTGTCGGCGTGCATCGCCGAGGCGGATCATATCGGCCGGAACAGACTGCACATTTCCATCCGTCCAATCCTTTGCATTCTCGGATTTGTAGTCGAAAAATATCTGCATCCGCACGAAGAAAAAGAGAACGAAAGAGGAGGATAAAGAAGAGAAGATCGGACGGTCATTGCCTGGCTGTGAGGGTGTTTGCCAAACCAGAACTCGGGCCGCGCACCGGATCCAGGTCTTTCCGGGCAGATTCGGGGGCTTGGAGAACCGATGCCGTAACTGATTTGTGGCACTCCCGAGCGGGTGGCTCCTGAATTCTTCTGCTAGTTTCACCAAATTCTTATAGATTGCCGCACATCTCTCTCCTCTCACTCTGTCTTTCTTTCTCTCTCTCCACATCCAACTCGCCAAAAAGAATTAGCCAAGAAATAAAGAAAAACACAAAGACAAACCTGTTTCAAGAGGACATGTCTGGGCAACACCACACAAACACAGACGCCAGTCATTTGTCCCTTTCCGGCCAACTTTTGACCTCCGAAAACGCCAAGTCAGCTCAGCCGGGCTCCACTTCTGTCCTTCGAAAAAAGGCCCAGCGAGTTGGTTTGTGGCAGTGACCTCTCTAATACGAAGAAATTTCGATCAATTCTGGGGGGCCTGCATTTCTCTCCCTCTCTCTGTTTCCCTCGTGGGTTATGCGCTGCGCGACTCCGTCACCGCTGTCGTTTTGGCTCTCTGATTCATAGGGGCCAGGACAGGTGGAAGGGGGCTTGGGTTAAAGCGACCGTTTGTTTGAGGGAAAAAACAAAAGAAATTTAAGCTTCAAAGTGCACGTCAGCGGAAAATTTGTTGAAATCATTGCGCTGCTTTCTGCTTTGTTATTTTTTGGCGTCTGCTCTTTTTCTTTCAACCTGCCTTTTAGAGGGCGGGCGAGTGCGTGGTGACAATAGCGAAACGCCAACCTACAAAAACGACAGACAGAAGTAAGAGCCATGGACAGGAGACCCAACAGCGAGGGCGGCGGCAATGCCGCAGACGACTCAATTGGCGTCCAGGCACCGCCGCCAGCAGTGTCATCCCAAGAGGGGCGCACTGAGGGTAAAGATCAGAGCGCGCACATCGCCGCAGGCATCATGCTTGCGTCTGTTGGCGGTGATCACGATCGGACTTCTGTCGCGGCTTCAAACGGGCGTAGTTCGGAGACACGAGCCAGGACGGCGCTTGCGAGGCTGAGGCATGTCTTGATCACATTTAGCAGGTTCGTGGGGCCTGGATTCATGGTGTCTGTTGCGTACAGTAAGTTCCATCCCTCTCTCTGTATTCGTCATGACTCAGATTGGCCACGCCATCTTCTTGATATGATGAGAACAAGGCGAAAAGAAGAAGGATGGGAATTATATGACTGACTCCAATTCTTGCGCAGTCGATCCTGGAAACTACTCTACCGACATCGCTGCAGGCTCCTCCTACCGCTTCAAGCTCCTGTTCATCGTCCTGCTCAGCAACCTCTTTGCCATTCTCCTGCAAAGCCTCGCCATCCAGCTAGGCACGGTCACTGGTCTGGATCTCGCACAAGCATGTCGTGCCTATCTGCCGCGATGGCTCAACTACTTCCTCTACGTGCTGGCAGAAGTGGCCATCATCGCTACTGACATTGCCGAGGTACGCAATACTGAGCTGCTAGCTGTTGACTCCCACACGGTCCTCATCTGACTGACATTCTTCCATTCTAGGTCATCGGAACGGCCATTGCGCTGAATCTCCTCATCCCAAAACTTCCCCTTGTTGCTGGCTGCGCTCTATCCATCCTCGACGTCATGGCCATCCTCATCTTTTACCGCCCAGACGGCTCCATGAAAGGCCTCCGCATCTTTGAATTTTTCGTCCTCTTTTTGGTCCTGGGCGTTGTCGTCTGTTTTTGCATCCAGCTCTCGCTGATCAAGCACACCAGCGTCGGTGAGGTCTTCAAGGGCTATCTCCCCTCCAGCGCAATTGTCCAATCCAACGGCCTGTACCAGGCCTGTGGTATTCTTGGGGCTACCGTTATGCCTCACAGCCTGTACCTTGGGTCGGGCATCGTGAAGCCCCGGCTGAGGGAGTATGACGAGAAACACGGTCTCATGCCCCAGGACCCCGTGTCGGCAGCGTCGTCGACCATCGATGAGAGCTACGATAAGGTCGTGTACATTCCGTCTCTCGCAGCCATCAAGCACTCGCTCAAATATTCCATTACCGAGCTCACGCTGTCGCTCTTCACCTTTGCGCTCTTTGTAAACTCGGCCATTCTCATCGTTGCCGGCGCCTCACTATATGGGAATCCCGACGCCCTCACCGCAGACATTTTCGGCATTTATCACCTGCTCTCCGAGAGCATCTCGTCTGGGGCCGGGACAATCTTCGCCTTGGCCCTTCTGCTCTCGGGTATTTCAGCCGGCATTGTATGCACCATTGCGGGCCAAATGGTCAGCGAGGGAGCTCTTCGATGGAAGATGAAGCCATGGCTGCGACGCCTCGTGACGAGGTCTATCAGCATCACCCCTTCCATCATCATCGCCGGAGCAGTTGGACAGGTGGGCCTGGACAAAGCCCTCAACGCCTCACAGGTGGTTCTCAGCACGGTGTTGCCCTTCACCACATTCCCACTCATCTATTTCACTGCGCGATCCCGGTATATGACGGTACAGCCGGGTCGAGCTCGGCTTCACATTGAGTCCAGAGAAGACGAAGAGGTGATTCGCGAGCCAGGGATAGACATGTCCAACGGCTGGATTCTTATTATTCTGAGTGCTCTTGTTTGGTTACTTATTGCGATAATGAATGTCGCAAATTTGGTATTGTTGGGACTGGGCGATTCATAAAGAATCAGTCACAGCTGCGTTATGGCGATTATTATCATAATTTTTCTTTTCTTCTTCTTTTCTTCTTCCTTCAAAAGCATGTTGCATAGCGAGTTAGAGCTAGACCACGATACTGCGAGAGTCCAGTGGCTCTCAGCATTGTTTATATAGCAAGCAGATAATCTGTATTTACGTATGAGAAGAGGGCATGGCGAAGGAGGGGCTGAGGGTGGAAACATCCACCATGGCGGAGGACGCCGGTGCGGAGAGGTGACTGATGAGCCAGGATTGAGCTCTTGGTGTTTATTGATATATATATATATATATATATATACCTATATATAGAAAGAGAAATGTTTAGATGTTATTTGTACATATACCATATATCGACAGTTGATATCGTCATGCGATAAATGAAGTATGTGAAAAGTGCCTCCATATTCAGTTGATGCCGACCACTCACACGCGCTGTCACCGCTATCACAGCCGCTATCGCAGCTACTGGAGCTTGAGCTGCCTTCCAAATCAAGACATTGATCCGCTGCGAAATTGCAAATTATGGAAACACGAGCCCGGCTACAATTGAAAATCGGCGGACTCGAGACAAGAAAGATCCCCAACCAAGCCCCCGTAAAAAAGCGACGTCACTTATGCCCCCACCGCGCCATGGCGAAACAGCAGCAGCCCCGCGTTTGTTCAAATCGAGCCACGAAGGGTCGCTCGCCATTTAACTACGTGCTGCCAAAAGCCGCAGCAGCGAACCGTCGTCTTCGGCTTGTGCCAATCGTGTGGTTTGGCGACTGAGGCGGTGAATCCAAGACACCACCGCGAAACAGGCGACGGCTGCTCGATTGCGTTGCGCGACGTACAAAAGCGTTGCGAGAGCTGGTTCTTCTTAGCTGAGCTGCTCTGCGACGTGGCGCACTTTAGGATTGGAGCTATCGAAGCTGAACTGTCGCACACAGCGAGCTCGTCCAACCTCATACAACACGGTCGCGATCGGCAGAGATTCATTCTAGAAGCATCGTCTCCCTGCGCAAGAGCCCGAGAATCCAAGGCGTAGCCATCAACTTGCTTATTGCTTCCTTGCGTGGCCAGCTGAGCCTCACATCTGCAGCCCAGCATGTTCCAACCAGTACGATACCTATATCCGCTGCGAAGTCCCCCGACCCCTTGAGACCCCCCTACTAATGCCCAGTCTAGAAGAAGCCCTACTCCGCCGTCACGGTCACCATCGAGACGCTCACCTCCGAGGCCTACCAAGAGGACGACGTCGGCGGCATCCCCGACCTCGTCGAAGTCATCACCATCCAGGCCTCTGGCCCCACCGAGGCCGCGCGCGCCATTCGCAAGAAGCTCAAGTACGGCAACGTGCACCGCCAGATCCGCGCCCTGGTCCTGCTCGACGGCCTGATCCAGAATGCCGGCCCGCGCTTCCAGCGAACCTTTGCCGACGAGCCTCTGCTGGAGCGACTGCGCGTCTGCGGCACGTCTGATCTGTCCGACCCGGAGGTGAGGAAGAAGTGCAGGGAGCTGTTCAGCAGCTGGTCCCAGTACGCGAACAAGCCGGGTCTGGAGAGGATCGCTCGACTGCACAAGGAGCTACCCAAGCGCAAGGTTGGCGTCACGCAGGAGCGATCAAAGGTGCTGAAGGAGACGGAGAACCCCTTTGGCGACGAGGACGACGACGAGCCATCTTCTCCAAAGCCCTCCAACGCCGCTGGGCCGTCGTCATCCTCCCATAGCCGCTCGGCGCATAGTCGCGAAGGGTCAGCAGTCAACTCCCTCAAACATCACCAAACGCCTTCACTGTCTCTGTCTAGCGGTGGATCCATATTCGGTAGCAGCTCTTCTAGCTCCGACAAGAAGAAGAAGAGCAGCAGCAGCAGCAAGTCCAAGGGCAAGAGGAAGCCGTTTGATCTAGAAGCAGAAAAGGAGCAGATGAAGTCTGTTATTGCGGAGTCGTCGCTGGCAGCTACAAACTTGGGCAACGTGCTGCAGACCATCAACCGTGAGAAGGAGCGGATTTCCGAAAACAACCTGGCTGTCGAGAGATTTGAATCTTGCAAGCTGCTCCGTAGGAAGGTGTTGCGCTACGTATGTCGTCACAAGATACCCCACTTTACTTTTTTCAATAACTGCTCTCTTGTTGGAGAGAAGCATATATAGCTTGCCTATTTGCTAACTTGAACCCGCGGGAAATAGATTCATCATGTCGACCACGAACAGTGGCTCGGCCCTCTCCTCCACGCCAACGATGAACTGGTTCACGCCCTCATGACGTTTGAGCAGCTGGACCAATCTGTGGACGCTGACAGTGACTCTGATGACGAACTCGCAGAACAAGCTCACTTATACCGAAGTAAGAACTGCTGCTCCTTCACCGAACCCATATTTCCCTTCATTTCATCTTCTCTTGACTAATCAATGCTAACTTGCAAAATAGTGGCTGCCTTGAAAGGAAAAGAAGAACAGGCCGCAAGAGACGGCACCACCTCTCCAACCCGGGCCGAGCACCCTGACATCACCGGCCTGAGCATCAACTCCTCACCAAGACAGACTCCGCCGCCCCGGCCATCTACCAAGCCGGCCTTTTCAGCACCTCCAATTCCACCGCCGCTGCCGTCGAACCCGCGACCGATAGTGCAGGAGAGACAGGACTCCTACCAGTCAGAGGAAGAGGACGAAGACGATCCGTTTGCGGACAGAAACGCCATGTGAAACGAATTTGTGGAGCGTCTCTTGCGAAAATGATGTGTGCAAATTTCATCTATTCGTCGTTCTGATATCCCCCTCTGTTGTGTCTGGGCCTTTTTTTTTTTTTTTATATTGGTTATATTTTTTCTTCGATTTTACTCCTGGGAGACAGGGAGAGAGGGACGCTGCTGATATGGAGATCTTTGGCGGGCGATTTGATCGAAGCGGGCAAGTCTAATGATTCATGAGGCCATGATATCTATCATGTGTGCAGGTTTTGTATATGACTTTGAATCTAGTTGGAAATGATACAACAAAAATATTGCCCAACTTTTCCTCCTTTCTCGCTCTCTTGTCATAAATATGATTCACGCCCTTCGAATAATGCCGAGTTGACGGGCGTGCCCCTGACTCTGCATTGAGTGATGCATCTCTTTGCTTACCACTTTTCTTTTTAGAGCTATATATAATTTGATTCTCTTGGAGTAAATAATGCTTCTTTCATAAAACATTGTGCTCTGGCAAGATATGTAGATTACTAGATCCTTACAATTCAGACGAGACAGCATAGAGTGGTGATGACACTGTAGCTTATATTCCATGAAAAGACTTTCTACACCTCTAATCAATGTCATGTCAAGTACACAAACTATACATGAATTCTAATTCTACACCTGAATACATTCAAAAGATGCATATACTCAAAATCTCATTTCAAAACAGCCCCCAAGAAGAACGTCAAGGGCTTCAGGGTAAGACCATCTACCAAAATACTTCAACTGTACTTACATATTCGCCAAACTCAAACGAGAAAAGTACAATTTTTACATCATTCTCTCTTTGACATCAATATGTTTGCACCGAGTGGAACCATGTCTCGAGTTTCAGATCCTTTCGGAGACCAACTCAAACCTTACCCCCACGTCGAGAGAGAGTTTAGAAGAAAAAAAAAAGACAAGAGGAATCTGGTCCTCAAGGTACACGTCTCTTCCCTATTTGCTAGAAAATAAAGAAAGAAAGATGGCCGGATCGCGCACGAACCATCATCATCCACCTTGCTCGGAGACTTTTTTTTTTTTGATACGTAAACTTACCATCTTGGAGAGGGGTATCTTTTATTTTTCCCTCTCGTTGCGCGTGCAACACATTTTCTCTTCCTCAATGGGCGGTCTAAATAGGCGCTCCCGGCGTTTGCTCGTTAAGACTCGGCGTTAGCTTGGGCCGCCGCCGTTGGATCTTCCGATGGACTACATACAATTAGACACAGTCAGCACCATGGAGCGATCCTCATCGTGGCTGTCAGAAGACGCTAGCCAGGTGGCTGTTTGTATGTTCTTCCTCGGACAAAGTAAGAGACATCCCTGATGTCTGCTTATTTTTGGATATGTCACCGTTAAGGCAGCTAGACGATGGCAACGCCATGGTAGTTTGTCCTAGTCCTACTGCTGCTGCCCGGATTGAGTTTGGATAGATGTTTGGATAGATGGCCGTAGAGCATATTAGGCAGCAACCACACATACCTCCGCCGCCACTGGCGTCTGCTGCGTGTATTGAATGAAAGGGCTCCATCAGCAAACAATCAGACGTTGCCAGTAGGACTAATTGAGGGGAATGCAAAAGGCAAACTGTGTACCCCATCAAGTACGAAGTAGCTCCAATAAAGCACTCTCTCGTTTCATACACATGGGGTTCCTGAACGGCTAGAACTGCAAAGAGGATCTATCATTCGACGTTGGAAAAAGCAACGCACATCGAGCCTCCAAAGAACCGGAAATATGTGCACGATCTCTATCATTGCCACGAGGCAAAGACGGGTTCTGCCGCTGCTTCCCCCGGACGGGAGATTGAAGCTCAGGACAGAGAAGGGATCAAGCAAATGTCATCAGCTCCTGGTAACTTCACTGTCCTGAGTCTTTGAGCCAGATGAAGCGCTGTGAAACATGACACTGCGGTCGAACAAAGCGTCTGCCGCCACATGGTGTCGTGTGCTCTTCAGGGCAATACCGCATCTAGTCATCCCCTTTCTGACGTTTCCGAAGCATGGGGGCCGCACGGAGTTGCCGGGACTCATAGCTGGCTCTGTTTGTTGGGCAACCCAAAATAGGCAGTGCAAGGATGCGCGAGTAGTCAGCACTCACCATCCCATCGGGTTCCAAACTGCTGGATGCTTAAGAGAGAGTGAATGAGGTGGTGTTCAACGCGCTCCTATCCCTATCTTGTGAGCGATAGAAGCTGTACCAACCCGCGCCTCCCCCCTTCCCCCCTCCTCCTGCTCCATTGAAGCTGTTATCCATAATGACTGTTGATTGGGCAGTTCTAGTTTCATTAAGCGATCAATGCCAGCCTTTGTAGCGAATAGGTGGTGAGCACCTGTTGTATACTTTAGTATACTTCGAACTAGGATGAAGCCACCGAATGTACGGAGTACTCCGTGCGCCTTGGTCAATATTCGGACCCAGTTGACAATAGCAACAGCTAGTCGCCGGATTGGGCCTAAAGCATTGTTAATATGGTCTTGATCTGCTGCCCCAAGCTTCTCCCCGAGAACACTCAACGCTAAAAGCGCCTTGTGTACAACAAAACGTCGTGTCTGCCCTAGTGGTCCTAAGTGACCAGGGTTCAAGTCTTAGTACGTGTTGGTTTGCAATTCAACATGTTACCAACAAGACTCTTTTAGACAAACTCAATGGGAAGTCAAGTTACCTAGGTATTGTTGGTGGCGCTTTTGTTAGAAACTCGACCTGTGAGGATTTCCCTTTGTTTTGCTTGTTTATTTGATATTTCCAGGCAAGGACTCGAGTCTTTTGGACCGTCCGACTGTCAATGACGCTGCCCTGCGTGCTGATGCTAATATTATCCATTCGCCGAAAAACGGTTGCGACTTACCGTGCAGATCAGCTGCTGTAGTACTTAATATAATATCCTGGCCTCTGATTTGCGGCGACGGGGGGGAGCATGCGTGATGGCCATTCGTTTGTTTCATCTGCGTGGTTTCAAGATTAAAACTCTGTAGTGCGACCTATTCCTTGCATGCCCACCAGCCCTTTCGAGCGCGCCATGCGTCCTTGGCTTGCAAGGTTGAATATCGTGTTGGGAGGCTCATCGGATATCGCGATCCAAAAGCTAAGATGAGCCTTAGAGGGGTGTCTGCAAAGTGTGGAACATGCCGTGCTATGTATTTTTGGTTCGTGATCAATTTCCTACACGCTAATGTCGAGGCTGCTGAATGCAATTTTTAGGCGAACTACAATTTGTTGTATCAAATGCCATGAGCTGGAAATATGGTGAGCTACAACGTCCCGAAAAAAAAAAAGAAAGAAATGACGGCATTGTAGGCCTGTTGATCATCCATCGCGCAGGTGACCTTTTGTGTAGTGCTGCGGGTAGCTGTGAGATTTTTTCCCCCCTCACGATATGGAGTGGGTGGTCAGCCAGCTGAATTCCTTGGGCTGATCCACCACTTGTGTCCCCTTCATTATTGGTGAACCATTTCGAGCTGGTGCAACTTTATTTCTCACCTCACTATTCCCTATGCCAATTTCTTAAACTGTTGAAAACTGCTCCGTACTGTAGGACAATTCGACTGATGCAGAGGAACTCTGAAAAGAAAACCGCTCTACTGCCACGCTGTGTGAATTGTTGACTAGAGAGGGAAATATGGGCTTAAGAGCAGGAGGAGGCTGTGTGGAGGTGTTAATTGTGGCTATTGCCATGTACTAGAAGAGTTATTGCTAGTACTACTAGTAGCGTTCTTGCGACGGATCACGGAAGCCAGTAGCCGATCATGATGATCATACTCAAGCGCTCACCGGTATTGACAGCAAGGGGTGGAGGATAATTGTACCGTACTACCTACTACAGGTAAGTAGGTGTCCAGTTATCCATCCTTAATCTGCTCAGTAGCATTTGGCTCCGTCAGCCATGCGGCGCCTCGGTTCATTGGCTGCGGCCTAGGCAAAACTCGAGCTTCTCGAACTCTCAGAGAACAATACCCCAGTGCTGAACCACACATAGCGTTATTCATTTGTGCATATTGCTCCATATTGGTGCGTACTTGCGTCCCGCTAGTGACGGCGGGCTTCGTTGGAAAGCTGGAGTTAGTTAGGGAGATGCATGGGGCTGGGATAAGCCTTGTCTCACTTGGACAATCCCTACCAGCGGTCGCTGGCGACTAGGATATCGCCAGGAGAGTGGAGCTGAGTCGAGGGAGACTTGAGCCGAGAGAATTTCCAGAATCCTGCCACGTACGGCTAGAGCAATTTCCGTCAGGGATGCATGGACCATCGGCCACTCCTTCGCAGCCAACCAGAGGCGGAGACGGCGCTGTCGCGAAAACGAAACGGCACTCTTTGCAGCCCACCCCTGGCTCGTAACGGCGACAGCGGCGGCGGCCAGAGAAGAGGGAGAGAGAGAAATAGAAAGGGAACAACTGCACGGCCACGTTTGCCTTTTTACCATTACGGAGTGGTTGGTCGAGGTCAAGGGCGGTGGGTGGAGTGTTTCATGCAAGCCTTGCGAAAAGCGGTCATTCTCAGCACGCCTCTGGCCGTCTCGTCGCTGCCTGGAGAGCGGCGTGACCCATTTCTCCTGCTGCTGCTTGTATTGTCATGATGATGACGGCGTCCAACAGCACGTTTTTTTTTTTTTTTTTTTTTTTTTTCGCCTAAGACTTGCATGTCAAATGTTTGCTCGAACGACCGATGGGGCAGCACTAGAGGGACGGTCAGTCGGCTCGTGGCCTGGTGCATATACGAAACACACTTGCTTCTCTCCGTCGAGAATGTCACGGTGGCGAGATGCCAGCGTGGTCGCCCACTAGGCGGGACATCTGGGTCCAACAGTTTCGATCCCGGAGCTGAGTTTGTATATTGCACGGTGCGTACGCACTTATCCGCACGCGCGGGCCGCTCCATCTTATCTCATTTAGGATGAGAGATGTGATCGATTCCGTGTGCCAGACGCCATGGCGGGCGGCGAAGATGAAACGTGCGCCCACAAGCCGACGCATGCTGTACCTTTTGGATCGCGTGAGCATCGATTGTGCGCTGACATTGGAACAAGCGCCCGTTCTGTAACCAGATATATGCACGACAAATACAGGATTTTGCGATGAAGCGGTTGCGAGAATGGCCGATTTTTTTTTGTCGTCTCCCTTCAAATAACGTGGCGCCATTAGCTCGGCCACTGTGCCTCAGGCAAAGAACTCTACCGGTCCTAGTGCAGGTACTCGTATGTTTCAACGAAAGACAAGGCTGGGTACTAAGGTACCTAGTCGGTACATCTGGGGCGTCCCTCTGTGCTGCGCCTCTGTCCGGCAGCATGACCTATTTTGCATGATTGCTCGTAATAGAATTTGCAGGAATGGGGGATCAAGTGACGCCGGCCGTAGTACCAGCTTGCTGGCTTCAATGGACAGACAAGATTTCTGTTTGCAGCGCCTATTTCGTAGCCGCGATTGCCTCCGACTCGTTTCAGATAGTCTATCAAAAGAGTAGCTCGTGTATTAGTCGGTAGCACTTTTGTACTGGCGTTGGCATGTGGCACGTACCACCTCTTATTTCTATTATCATCGCGGCTAACGGAGCGTCAATCTGAATTACATCATTTCCGCAAATGTGTATCATGTATCCCTATTGTTGGGCCTGCGCCAACTGGTGACAATTGCATAACTCGAAGGAGGAGACTGCTATAATTGGCATGGGTGAACCTTAGGCCCAAGAGGCGTCGTCTAGCATGTGCGTCTATTGGCTGCACATCTCTGCCAGCCGGCCGAGGCCTTGTAGAACGGCGCTACTGATCGCCCGCCATGCGCACCTGAGGGAAATGAAATGCTGCAATGCAGGTTTTCTGCTGCATCTTGCACAGCTAGTTACAGCTAGTAGCAGTTGTGTCTAACATCCCGAGACCAAGTGGCTCATGGCTGGCTGCTAGGCAAGCTGGCGCCTCCCTACCAAGGGAGTAGGGATAATCTAATACTTGTATGTAATGGTAGCGTGCACTAGCAGGAGTAGGAATACGAAACCTATTTGGGTGTAAATGAAGCTGGCCTGGTGCTAGACAAAAAAAATCCTGATGCCGGCGCAAGGCTAGCCCTACGCTCTTTCATGAAGAGATGCATGGGCGCCGGAGCACTGCCTATTTCGCAGCATTCCCGGCCATCTGGGTGGTGGCTAATACCACCCCAGGAGAGAGAGGCACACACACACACACACAGACACACACACTCGCCCGCTCACTCACAGCACGCACACGCACTCGTCGGGTTCAGTCTCCGGCTCCCGTCATGCGCCTGACGGTGCTCGACCGGGGAATATTACAACGCACCCGCCAATCCCAGCACTGCGCCGTACGGGTGCATAGTGCATACTGTGCAAGTGAGTTGCGTGCGTTGCGCATATGCTTGAACGCTTCTGCAGGCCAGATGCATTTCCTCCTGCTTGCGCCGAAACCTCGCATGAAGCATGTGCTAATACCTAGTTGGCGCCTCAGTTGTAATAGAAACGCAATTGTTTGCGCTCTGCAACGTCACATCCATGGATTTGCCCACCAGATGGATGTGTAGGTGCTCATCTTAGCAGAATACCGTACATAGGCAGTAGTAGTATAGTAATACTCGTAGTAATACCAGGTATTACTGGTAAGCATGGCCTGGGTGAGACCCAAGCAACAACCGGAAGCGCCGCGCGCAGCGGGCTGCGGATGTGGCACCAAGATGCTAAGACTTAGGTGTACATATACAAGTAAGATGACGGATGGGCTGTCAGTCTCTAGTGGCAGCCGGGGCAAGAAGCGGAGTGGAACACGGCTCGGACGACTCCTGAAAATAGGATGCGGCGCGTATGGACTGTTTGCTGTTTAATTTCAAGGGAGAGGGAGACTGAGGAAGTCGACATGAGGTGCATTCAAACGCATCAATATTAATTACTATAGTACAAGTATGAGGAGGTACAGAGTAGTTGGTGTACTTGGCCATTGACGATTCCCTGCTGTTTCACGGCAAACATACACATGTACATAGCAGCGGTCTATCAATCTGGCATGGCAGGCAGGCATACCATGGCATGACATGGCATGGCTTGAGCCAGGGCCTTCAAGCGGCTCTGTCAAGCAACTTGCGTGGCAGAAGATCTTGCTGCCAGATGCTGCTACTGCTAATGTACTAGGTACTAAGGTGCTATTAATATCGAGAACCAAACATGAGGCACTAACACGGCGAGTTCCCAAGCAGACGCCGTGCACACGCCCAAGGTTCCCAACCAAAATAGCCATCCAGGACAGGCACACGCACACATGCAAAGTATGTCAGAATGCATCGATTGATTCACGCAATGCCTCCGTTAGGAGCTCTTGTGCACACCGCATGTAACCGCTGCTCCCAGTCCTCGTTCGCCGCAACGCCCAAAGAGGCATCAATTGGTCTCTGCCAGTCGATCCTTGCTGCGCAGTGGCCCTAGCGCTGGGCTAGGCTGCGCTAAAAGAGCCTGGCGGCTCCCCACCGCAATGAATCTTTTCTGGTTGTATCGGAGCACTGTGGAGTGAGACTTTTTGGCTTTGGCCCAAGTCCCGACGCCAGTGCCGCTGTACTGTGTACGGGGCAGGCAGCCCGGCCGTCAAGCAAGAGGAGGTACCGGCTACCTGTCCGGAGGAGGTGATTTCCACTGGCAGACCAACCTGCCTCTGCTCGTTTCTCGAGGCGAGCGAAGTGATCGAGATGCTGCATGTGTGTTCCAACCAACTCCTTTCGAACAAAAAGATAGACATCGTTTGTCAATCGTGCTGGCTCATACCTTTTCTACGCCCCTTCTCTCCTCTCCGGCGTGCTGCTGCTTGGCTATAATAGACTGCGCTGCACTGCTTTGTTTCCCATCCGTCTGTTCAGGACCTCTTCGCGGCCACAGCATCGAATTTGCTACTCATTTCCCACGCCAATCTGTCCACGTTCCAGCCTGGAAGCGGTTTCAACGGGATACCAGGCATTGCCTACATACAAATCACACAAATCCTGCAGATGAAACACAGCTAGACAGCTGCTTTCAAACACGCACAGAGCGCGGCGCGGCGCAATTTCAGGCGCTTTCATATACCAATTGGCAAACTGCACTGCGTAGGAGGTTCGAGCACTGAAGCATACATACCTCGACTGCGTTTTGGAGAGCCGCAACAGCGCCCGCCACCACCAAGCAAACTCGACGCAGGTGAGAGATTGCCTCTGCTCTCTTTCAGCTTCCTTTCATTTCTCTACTTTGCTGCCCTACATACAGTGCCTACCTATACTCGTATACCTGTACCTCCTGCAGCCTGGCGCACGCCCTACTCCAAGTATACCCGTCCTCCTGTCTGCACCCCCCCGTTTGCCTTTTCCTTGGCCCTAGTCTCTGGCGCGGCGCAAGGGTGAGCCGGTCCAGGAGATTTTTTGTTCCATCTTTCTATACAGGCCCTGCCCCGCCACAAGCCACCCCCCCTGCTGTCGCCCTGCACGCCGCCAGAGCCTGTCATAAAGGCCTGGGCCCCTAAAAAAAAAGTTACGTCGTTCGCCAGTTCCAGAAGCCACTTGCTTTTTAGAGGACCACATTTTGGCACCGACGTTCAATCTATTTTCCCACCCTTTCCGCACTTCATCCTACAAAGCCTCGCGTGGTTGCACCGCGGCTGGATCTCTGCTTCAGCTTGCCTTTCCTTTTTCCTTCCTTTCCCCTTCTTTTCTTCTTCTTCCATACTTCGCCTGCCACGCCCCTCACCCGGCGCCTTGAACCAACTCACCACCGTCCCACGACGCGGCTGACCGAACAGACGACAACAGCCTTGACGACAGCCCAGCAAACACCCTCAACGAAGCGCCCGTTTGCATAGACATGCCCTGGTCTGGCTTATGATCCCTCTCGCTCGCTAACTGGTCATTGCCTCCCGCTGTACAAGCCGACTCGACTCGTCTCTAAACTCATCTGCCGACGGGCTCCTTTTCCTCCCTTCGAATCCCGTGTATCAAATTTAGCGGCTCTTCATCTGCAAACGCATCGGTCTTTCCGTCTCGCATGCGAACACGTCTTACGATTTGAAGAAACGTGCCGGATCTCGTTTCTCCCCTGCCCGAATACTGCCTGGCATCTCTTGCGCCTTCGCGTACCGAGTCCTGTTGTCCTCTACCTTGCGGGCCCTTGCATACATATATCCTGCGACTCTGCCCCGCGCTGGCAACTCACTCCAAGCCATTGCAAAGCTCTCCGCGAACAAGTCTGGCTTCTGGTATCGACTCGCATAACCGTGCAGAAAACGTTGTGACAGTACGGTTCGCAACCCATATAAAAACGGCGCCCATTTCAGCCATCCCAATCTGGAAGCGACGACCCGAGTGCAACAGCGGGAAAAGAAGGAAGGAAAGTTTTTTCTCTCCCTTCGCTGGAAACCCATTCATTCCCATATCTTAGCCTCGCATCTTGAAAGGTAAGTTGTAAATGCTGCTCCTTTTTTTTTTATTTCAATTTTCCTTTTTCCTACTCGGGTCATCGTTTCCGAATAGATTAAACGTCGCCTGGGAGTCTTGGTGGGTGGCCCAAGCTTTTGGAAACCTGCAACTCCTGCCCAGGTTTGATCTGGTGGCGGATAAAGTCTCCGCGATGGCTTCACATGGTTGGTCGACGATGATACCAGGCATTTGCATATATAGCTACATTTATTACACTGCTGAGCCCACCACTAACTGAAAACATTATAGTACGTCAAGCTGGCTCTAATACATCGCCCGTTGGCCCTCTATACGATGTTACCTCATACGCTCTCTTCGTCCGCAAGGCCGAATACTGTCATGTCTTCGGCTTCGCCTGAGGTCATGGATATCACAAACATGCTGAACAACAAAGGAGGTGCCATGGCACATGGGCTTGGTGGAAGCATGGCCGATCACCACCAACAGCATCACCACCTCGGCCTCGTCAAACATGAGTCTGCGCTGGACCGGTCAGGATCACCGCACATTTCTGAGCATTCTTCTTACTCCGCACACAGCCTGCCTCGCGCCTATCCCTCGCCAACCGCCATGCAGACTCCTATGCAGATGCAAAATCATATGCATAATGCTATGCAGATGGGTGGCTTTACGGACATGTCCGGCATGGGAGGTGTACCAAGCATGGCTATGCATCACATGCCTCAGCAGCCTCAGCAACAGCAGGCTCCTACAGCACCTGTTAAAGCATACCCCTGCAGTACCTGCGGTAAAGGTTTCGCTAGAAGAAGCGACCTTGCGCGCCATGGTAAGTCTAGCAAGGAGTGCGATTGAACCATATGAGGTCGTCTTTCTAACATAAGCATGTGCATAGAGCGTATTCACACAGGAGTCAGACCTCACGTGTGCGACTATCCCAAATGCCACAAGGGATTCATCCAAAGATCTGCTCTCACTGTTCACCAAAGAGTGCACACCGGCGAGAAGCCGCATCGTTGTGAGACATGCGCCAAGGTAAGCTATTCACTTACTAGGCTTTGAACTCAGGAGAAAACTGACTTGCGATGATGTAGCTATTCAGTGACAGCAGCTCGCTGGCCCGACACCGCAGAACTCACTCGGGAACTCGTCCTTACAAGTGCCCCTACGCTGATTGCCAAAAGACATTTACGAGGCGCACCACCCTCACACGTCATCAGAACCAGCACACCGGTACTATCGAAGAGGCCGCGGCGGCTACCGCGGCGGCACTTGCAGCTTCCAGGGTCAAGAACGGAAGCCAAGCTCGCTCCGATGGCGACCACATGTCCAATCAAGGCTCTCCCTTGACAACACCATCACCTAACCAGCACGCCATGATGTCCCCTGCCATGGACCTCTCTGGAGCCAACGGCCTCGGCCGACACCAGGCGGACTTTACTCAGTACATGACGCAGGGCGGCACTCTTCCTCCTCACTTGCGCGTGGGCAGCCCGACTTCGACCAACTCGGCCGCCAGCTACAACAGCGGGATCCGACCGACCTCGCACCCTACCGGCTACGGTCCTCCACCAACCTTGGAACCCAACTTGGAGCAGCACGCTGGTGCCTCTGGAAGCGCAGTTGGCAGCCCTCACATGGCGTCACAACTTGGCTGGCAATCCCCTCATTCTTCTTCACCATCTCATAACGGGGGAAGCTACGTCTATCCCGACCCTGATGGCTACCCCCCTAATCCCTCAATGAGCCAGATGTACTATGGCGCACCGCAACAGATGCGACGACCGCAAAGTGCCGAGCCTGGCATGGTGCACATGTAATTGGATCATTGTCGCTCATAAGGGCACGTTGATGTTTAGTCTGACATTCTTCGCGCTCATGACATTGGCACACTAACAATTTTTGTCCTTTTTCCTTTTCCCCTGTCTTTTGTCTACCTCTAGGACAGAAGAACACTTAGCTCGGAGCTCGAACACCATTGAAAAAATCTAGTGCATATTCATCGCACATCACCATAATCACTTCCCTAATTTTGACATCAACCACGCGTATGACTCGTTATCTTTTCCTAACTTTGTGGAGCAGAGACCAGCTTTCAGGTACGCTGCGGGCCTGCTCTACATAACCCTCTTGTCACATTTTCGTTTTCCTCGTTTTCTTATTTTCTTCTTTGTTTTCTTTGTTCTCTCATATAGACCTTGGGCGATAGATTGGCGGACCGGAAACTTGATGATTATGGACCGAGCGTTTTCATTAACACGCAAAGGGAGGCTAGGGGAAGAATGGCTGGAGTTTATATAAAGGAGGGCAGGAAAGGACACCGATTCGCTCGCCCACCCCTGTTTTTGGGACGGCATTTCAGCACCGGACTGGGAAACGGAATAACCTATAGACGGCGGGAGGGCTCTACACCACTCCTCGATGACACTTTTTTTTTCCTTTGGCTGTTGGCACATTATTTAGACCAGGGCGCATAGCACAAGGCGCACCCTTTCGCGAGAAATTGTACGGATATACATTACGACTACGCAATTGATTCATTGTGACGATATGTGTGGCTCCCTTGTCTTTTTTTTTTTTTTTTTTTTTTTTTTTTTTTTTGTGATTCTCTTATGTAAATTGTCGGTTCAAGCTTGCCCCCAATTAAATCCTCGTCTTCTTGATGTTATGCCTGGTGCGTGTATAGCATAGGAGCGAGAGTACATACATGTACTGGAATCTACTGTTGGCTTTTTTTTTTTTTTTTTTTTTTTTTTGTTTTGTGATCAACTGCCCCGTAGACTTTGAGTTTGCCATGGTGACATGCATCAGCCTGACACTGGGATGATCTGAGTGGTGTCAAAAGAGAGAATGGCCCTGAACGGATAAAGATTAATAAAACGGGAGGAGGGCGGATAAAGAGGAAGACAAGAAATAGGGAACAGGAACTAATGGTGGAAAAGTCTTTTATCGTCAATATTTTTTTTGATTAGTAGCCATCCCAGAAGGACTAAGGTAATACGACTGAGCAAGGAAGTTTGGGCAAAGAAGAATAGAGACGACGCTTTCCCAAGACGGGACTATTCGAGCGCCGCAGTGTGGCCAAGAAGCTCTCCTATTCGACGACTATATGGAACCGGGCCTGGGACAAGGCCTTCTCGCGAGTGTAATCTGGGGCATCTATTGACGAGGCTATTTTGTAATCATTGTCTATCTACTACATGGTGATGTAGCATCCGCTCTCTCCATTCCCTAGCACAGTCTATTTGGTTTTTCCTCAAGCGGCAGTATCATCCGGTATGGGTCCTGATTGTATGGAGCAGATACCACTTTTTCTTAGATATCTTAGTTATGTATAGGTAAACGGACTGGACGTCGGGTATCTCCCTCCATAACACTCCCGGGAAAAGGAAACGGTTCAGGCATTCCATGAAATATACCTGACGGGCACTGACATGCTTATTGTCACAATAGGAACGTGGGAAAGGAAAAGAGTCTCGGTACCGACTTCCGAAGGCTGTTTTGGGCAAGTCTTGATTACTCGTACGCACTTTATTTTGTTAGTGGTGGGGATCGGGGAGTGTCGCGGGCAGACTACCTGGGTACTAAGGTATTATAGAGGGCCTTTCAAGAATAGCAAAGATTTGGTAATTTCCCCGTAAGACAGGTGAGCTGAACTCCGTGGCGTTACGTCAAAAAATCCGAAACGGAAGATGCTGAGACAGACTGACGGGCTGTACAACGGACAAAGCTGGGAGCGAGGATCCATTCAGCTCCGTCTAGGATCACATTTGAAGGCCAGGGCCACATCTCAACCCTTCTCTGCTCTTATTCTCCCTGACGAACTACCTACTTGCATTGCCCAGGTAGCATCGCCTAGCTGCATGCATTGGTTCGATGACAGATGGGCAAGGGGGAGGGTTTAATTCAAGAATACTAGATCAAAATGGTCAGCGGCGCATACTAGCATCAAAGGGAAGAAGCTGAGAGTTATGTAAGCTTATATGAACGAAACTTAATCATTGACAGAAGAAAGGAAAAAAGGGACCCCATTGCAGTAATTCTGATTACCATGATTACAATATACAAAAAAGGCTGGTGCGGAACCTCCCGTCGGACATCAGAGCAGAGCAGAAACTCAATGTACAACATCAATGTAAGTACTAGCAGCTGTCAACAGCACAATTTCTCTGCTGGACCTCGAATCAACAAAGGACTCGTAACCGTAAAAAGCAAGGGATTTCCACAAAGTCAGCCAATGCCCGTTTCGGCCGTATCACGCACCGATTCGTGCGAGTAGGAACTGCTAGCACTGAATGAGAAGAGGGCGGCGATCGGATCAGTAATCCAAGATTAGTATTCAAACGCAATAAGTCGCTTTTCTTCCCACACTCCGCAACTTTCACGCTCGTCTTTGTTACCCTTTTTCTCTTCTTGGCTCTCTTGCTCTCGTCGCTGTCGCTGCTTCTCGCTTCCCATGCCGATGAAATAGTATTTGCTTGTTCGGGGGAATCGCATTAAGCCCGCTACCAGGAGCGTCGTATAATACGCCGAGCCCCGAGGTGGCATTCGGCAGTCTGGTCTCCATATTCCCCGGCTTATTCTGGCTTCAAAAAATGGCGATAGAAACAGATTGAATACTGGATAGTAATAGTAGTTAGATGGTAGCAATGCGAAATACGACTGGTAGTTGTAGGAATACGCAGAGCCGCGGTGTCAAAAGTCACCGCAGGCTTCTGCTTGGGCGGAGAGATTCTAATCAATAATCAAATCAAGTTAGTGTCGCGATTTCAGCTGGAATAGAGCCCAAGCTCGGCCAAATCCCTCCCGGCCTGGGTCCGAGTTGCGCCTCTTCCTCTCTTCCTTTTTAGTTTTCGATTCCTCTTTTCTGCTCTTTTCATTTTTTTTTTTTTTTTACTTTGTCTTACAACTCCTCTTTTCTTCTTCTCCTGTATCCCATCCATATATCGTGCATCGGAAAGCATCTACAGCGATTTTTCGGCCATCTCGCCAAAAAGAAAAGAAAAGAAAGAAAGGAATAAGCCAGGAATATTCTCCGTCGCCTCGCCCTATACGAGAGAGAGCTTATTATAGGCCTCCAGATAAATACTCCGTCTTGCCGGTACTACTGTTTAGGCTTGGCACATTTTCTTCTTTAGGGAACCTTCTTTAGGAATCGTTGGAGCCTCGATTCCACTGCTGCTTGGGCTATTTGAAATCTTTGTGGCGGATCGCGCCCGTTGCTGCTCCTCTGTCCCTCTTTTTATTTCTTCAACTCTGGGATTCGCATACACAGAGCGACACAGGGTTGATTCCGACGATTGAAAAGACCTGACTAAGACTGCCGAGCGGGTAAACCGAGGCTTGCAGGCCGTGTCAGTGTGTCGCATATTCAAAACGAGGGAAGCGGTATAAGAAGCAAACCATCAACCCCAGACGTGGGAGCGGCGGGCCCAAGGAACGAAGGAAGGAGTTGCTAGATTTCTAATTCATCTCCATCTCCATTTCCTTTTTTACTCTTATTCTTTTCGTTTCTATTTCTCAGCACTCCTTTGAGTTTTGACTCTCTTTCTTCTTTCTTCTTCTTCTTCTTCTTCTTTTTCGCACTGCGTATTATACCCAGAAGAAAGAAACGTCTTTTTTACTGCTAGTGTACCGCAACCGAGCTTGACAAACAGCATCACTTACCGAGGAAGCGATTCGGAAAGAGGAACTAAATCCCGTGGCTCAAAAAGCCAACAAAAAAAAAAGAACCTTGACTTTTTTTTTTTTTTTTGACAAATTACCATTCTTTCATTTTTTTACAATGAGTGCTGCGGCGTCGCCTCTTCCCAGCCTCCCTCCTCCGCAGCAGCAACGACCGCAAACCCACCACCTGCACATCACCGACGACGCTCGGCACCATCACCACCACCACAACCATCACCATCACCACCACCACGAGCGACAGCCGCTGCCGTCGGCCAGCAGGAAACCAACCGCGGCGGCGCTGCGACGCGAGAAGATGGCGGCGGGCCTGGCCACGAGCCGCGGCGCCGGAGGGCTGATCCGGCTGGATATTTACATGGATCTGCTGTGTCCGTGGTGTTTCATCGAGAAGCACAGCCTGGAGGCGCTGATGCAGCGCTACCGAGACGAGCATCCCGAGGTGCGCTTTGAGGCCATGTTCAGGCCGTATTACATTGCGCCGACGATGGCGAAGCGTATGTTTTGCCCTTGTTTCCCTTGTTTCCCCTTGTTTTCATTTGATTTTCCTTTTTTGAGATGCTTTGAAGTGAGAATGAGTGAGAATGAGTGAGTGAGTGAGTGAGTGAGTGAATGAGTGCATGCATGCGTGGATTGATGCACATGCCACTCGTCTCACTCGACCCCAGAATTTCATTACACATCACATCGACATGAAGCATCATGACCTCATCACCGCCCATCCCAACTCCACCACAATCAACTATCACCTGCAGTGCGGCACACACCCGCATATGCATTTCATTTAGGCAATGGGACATTCCCCTTTGCCCTCCTCCAGTAGCGACCCACACAGCAGCATATATACACTTTTGCTTGCAACGCACCGAAACCACTAACACGTTTTGTCCAGACGGCGTCGAAAAGCGCGGCATCTACGACCGCCTCGAGTCCCTCAACCCAAACTTCCTCTCCCGCATCCAAGTCGCCGGCGCCAAGCACGACATCGCCTTCTCCATCCGCGGCGTCACCGGCAACACCCGCACCGCCCACCGCCTCATCGCCGTCGCCCTGCGCGAGCTCGGCCCAGCGGGCCAGTCCGGCGTCGTCGAGCAGCTGTACCAGGGCCACTTTGAGGACGGGCGCGACCTCGGCGACGATGCCTGGCTGGTCACCGTGGGCGTGGCCGCGGGCATTCCCGAGGCGGTTGTGCGGTCCGGCCTGGAGGATGAGGAGGCGGGCAGGAGGCTCGATGCCGTGGCCCAGGCGGCGAGGGATGTCATGGGTGTCGAGGCCGTGCCGTGCGTGATGGTGCAGGATCGGTACAAGGTCGGAGGCTATCAGGAGGCCCATGTCTTTGAGAGCTTGTTTGAGAAGATACGGCTGGCGGGCGAGGGTCTGTGAAGAAGCTTGCTCTTATTGTTTTTTTTTTTTTTTTTTTTTTTTTTTTTTTTTTTTCTCTAGTGCATTGTCCCCCCTTGATATCCTCTACTGAGCCTTTTTCTTTTTTCTGTCTCTTATATAAGGTTTTATCATGGTCTTGGGTGGCTCTGGTTTGTTTTTGAAGGGCGATATATACAACTAGGTGTTCACATGCGGGAGGGAGTTTTCAAGGCGTATACTATATTATGGCATGGCAGCGGCCTGGCAATCCGTTAATCTTGATCAACTTGGTTTTTTCCTTAATTACCTATATGAATGCAGTCCAACGTCGCAATGAATAATAAAAAGGGATTGCAAGGTGAACTTGTAAAAGAGAAAAGGGAAAAAAAAAGAGAATAATATGTATTTCATTGCTCTATCTTGAACTGCTAGAAAGATACCTTGTGTATATATATCTGTATGTATGTATTAATCCCCAGCGCCTTCTCATGCATTCTCAAAAGGCGTTTCGATTCAAAAATCGGGTTTGTTTCTTTTTGTCTTTCGTCAAATAAAAAAAAAAAAAAAAAAAAAAAAAACAAAGCAAAAAAAGCAGCAAAACAACCAAAAAAAAAAAAAAGAAAAAGAAAAAGAAAAAGGCCCAACGCAATAAAACTCCATAAAACTCCGTCGTCTAATGAACCCTCCCTTTGCCCGGCAGTCCAGCCAGCCGTAAGCCCAAATTTCTGCAATCTTTGTGGTTTTTTTTTCTGTTTCTCTCTTGGTTCCCCCCTTTTGTCCCCCTTTTTCATTCTCCGAACTTAATCGGGTGAAATAAATGGACAAAATGAAAAGGGCATAAAAAGAAGGAGAAAAGAAAAGCATTTCGCCGTGTGCCCCCGTAATTATACTTTCTTTTTTTTCCGCTGATCCCCCCCCCCCCCNTACTCATCATGATGTACACCCAATTTTCAGCATCCCACAGTTTTTCAGCCCGACTGAGGAAAATCACCGCCTCATTCCGCTGTAATCGTTGAGCAAATGCGTCATGTGCGTATTCGTCGCCTTTCCGATGCGCTTGCCAGCCCTCTTCTTCTGCTGCTTGGGCTTCGTCGTCACCGCCGCCTTGCGCGGGTCGTCGCTCGTCGGCTTCTGTCCCACGCTCACCAGCTTGCGATGCATCTCGTCCAGGCTGGGCAGCTGCACGCGGCGCCACATGGCCTGGAACTCCGGCTCGACCGGGTTGTGCAGGGACGCGTCGTCGGCCCAGACGTAGCGCGGGAAATTGTCCTTCTTGGTGCGCACCACCAGCACCTTGTGCTCCTTCTCCAGCTTCGCCAGCGTGTCCTCGCAGTCGGGCCAGCCGTCCTTGAGGTCCTTGACCGACACGCCCGAGGCGTCCGTCTTGCGCTGCAGATGCGCCAGCAGCGACGTGGCGTCCCTGACCCCTGGGATGATGGGCCGGTGCTTGTACGTGCCCGTCTTCCACGTCTGCTCGCTCAGACTGGGATCCGGCTTCCACTCCACCCTCGGATGCCCCCTCAGCCCCTCCATCAGCTCCTTCTTGTGCTCCTCCGTGTAGTTCCTCAGACTCAGGTGGTCGATGATGTCCGTGATGGTCTTGGCATCGCCCTTCTTCTTCAGGTAGTCCACCGCAAACGTCATCTGCGTCTTGACCTCGGCGCCGTAGCCCGTCAGCTGCGGCTGCGAGAACGGCACGTCCGGCGCTACATCCCGCTTCCTTTTCGACGTCGGCGTATTGCTATCTGAGGCGGCCGAGGGCGATGGCGATGGCGGAGCGAGAGATGCGGCCGTCGCGGCCTTGATGCTGGATGGGTTTGAAAGCTTGGACGCGGCCGAGGCGAGACTGCCTCTGAAGACGGAGGACTGCTTCTCTAGATACGACGACATTGTTTTGGCAGAATGAGCCTAGCAGCGACTGCAGTATCGTAGAGGCTGAGAAAGAGAAAAGAGGGAGTTGTGATGGTTGATGGACAAGGTTTGAAGGCATCGAGCTTGTTCCGGCACGGCGAGGGCGAGGCTGAAGGGAAACCCGGCATGGTGTGGCGCACTGTGGCTGGTGCTTCTGGTAAAGTATGAGTAAGGATAAGGTTGAGTGCTGATTCCCTTCTAAAAAGTGTTGAGAATGCCACGCAAACACAGGCTCGAGACCAGGGGGTTTCATCCGATACTCGTACTCGGCAAAAGGCTTGTCTCTGCAGTACCAGCGCCTTTATATGACGTCTTCAAATGCCAGTCCCGAGGCATGTCAACGTCCCTCATCTGTTCCCCCGCATTTCGCCAATCTACTAAATGGATGTGAGCTTGAGTGTGATTGTGATTATGCGCGCATTGGCAATCGAAAATTGATTATCATAGATATCTAGCCCTGTATATTTCCTTTAAAAGGCATCATCTATTTCCCGTAACAATGACTCCGGATTGTCTAGTGCCTGAAAATAGTAGACACTACGCCATCTATACTTGCCACGCTCATTAAAAAATCCCAGATCCCTTCTCCGTAAGACATTTGCGTGGTTGAAAACAGCACCAAGATGACACAAATTATCTCTTCCCCAGCGGTATCATTTCTTGTCCCCCTTTTAGCATATGCACTGAAGCGCTAGCCCGTGCATTTGTCGTCGTTTTTTCTCCCCTTCGTTTACTCTATATCCCGTAAACGAGGGTTGAATTCATATCATTCATATGGGTGTGGTGCGATTAGGCGGACTGAGCCTTGGCCTCGGCCTCAGCCTGGAAGTACTGGAAGGCGAGGTAGGCGAGGAGACCACCAATGGCGACAACGCTGTAGATGCCGAAGCCGCCGCCAGTGGTGGTGGAGCCGTTGTTGGCGGAGTAGGTGTTGGTGTGGGCTTTGGGGACAGGGTCGCCAGGCTGGAGAGAGTCAGTGTTAGTGGGCGATTTTTTTTTTTTTTTTTTTTTTTTTTCACATGTGTCGCGAATAGGAGTCATGGGTGGCGCATACCTGGCGCTTCAGATCGCCAACGTGCAGCTGCGCGAGAGTCTCGCGAGCCTCGTCGCTGTGGCCGACATCCTCGAAAGCCTCGGTGGCATCCTGACCGGCGACATCGAGCAGAACCTCCTCACCACCACTAGATAGGAGAAAAAAAAAGGTCAGCCATTACTTAATTCTCCAAGATTCGCATCCCTATTCCCCCCTCCTCTTTTGAGGGGTCCAGGAACAAGGAGGGGTATAGCGGTCGACGCATTGGCATGGAAGGCAGGCAGAACGTACGGGTGCTCGTCGATGAACTTGCTGCAGTTGTAGACCTTGTCGTGGATCACGACGAAGATGTCCTTCTTGGTGTTGTGCTCAGCAACATCCTGGTAGGTGTACTCCTTAGACATGGTGGGCGAATTGGAAGCAAAAGGTGCTTTTTTCTAATTGCTGGTATTAGGAGAGAGATACTGAGAAAGAATGAAAGAATGCGCGGGCCACAAGAATGGATATGCAAGAGGGAAAAGGAAGGAAGGGAAAAGCACCTCGAAGGAGACGTGAATTAGCAAAGTCGGTCAATAAAAGGGACGGTGGGAAAAAAGAAGAAGAGGCAGAAAGCGCCGATGCGAGTACGAAAAGGTACCACGACAAATTGGCCTTGCCCATGGCGTCGCTCCAAAAATGCCAGCTAGCCTTCTCGTCCGGCTAGGCTGGCGCCATCGGAAGCAGCAAATCCGTTGGGTCCGCAGGGGTGTGGCGGCGCCAATCAGCGGCAGCAAAATTACCGCCTGGGCTGCTCTGATTCGCCTCGAGCGAGGGCCGTCGACTGATTTTGCTCAACGGCTCAGCACGGATCAACTTGTTGTTGCGCACCTCCGAATACAGCTTCCATCCTGTATTCCTTGGCTGCCAACTGCCTGGGAAAAAGCCACGCGCGGCACTTTTCATGATCAAACACGGACACTCGGTCGCATGTGTGTGAGCGGGAGGCCACACCACGCAGCCTTTTGACATCAATGCCTTGAAAGTTCGGGTGGTACTGGGACTACGGCGTCTACCTGCTAGTAATCGATGCTTGTCCCCTGCGCAATTCCACTTACACGACCCTGTTTCCATGCGTTCTCCTAAGATGAGACGATCCATATTACTGCTGTACTATCCCAGGTAATACAGCACTGTACTGTACATAATAGATAGACGTAACGTCTTCCCTCTGAGACAGATCTATACCAGGAAATGGCTTCATCAAGACAGACCTGCTCCACTGCAGCAAGGGCCTCTACCGTACCAAAGCACCGAGCAACTCTATCTCAACCTCGGGCTATGTATTGTCGGAGAGAGGCACATGATTGACACCAGAATAATACAATACATACAATACACTACGCAATAGGAACGCCTCGCAGCCTTATCTAAGCCATTCACACCCATAGCCCAAAAGTCGCAAGTGGGCTCATCTTAGCGTCCGGCCTTCCCCCCTTCCCCTCTCACGCCTCCGGGACTTGCTCACGGCTAACGACTCTCCATCCAAGCCATTGTTTTTTTTTCTGCTGTCTTCTCTTCTATTCTCCCTCTGCTTTCTATATAGATCTGCAATAACCTCCTTCTAGTCCTTTCTATATATATATGCCGATTCCTGATTCCGATAACCTCGGGAATGGGGCCGCTGTCTACCCCAGAAATTGCCTCCCCTAATAGTAGTGCTTTGTCTAAAATAATACTCCGGACCTAACATTGTCTTGGTCTTGGCTCGGCCATTCTACCAATCAGGGAATATTTGTAGCAGTTTCCCTCTCATTCCACGGATACTCCATGCAGTCAGACGGAAGACAAAGGAACAGTCTCTCGTGACACTACTCTATAGCTTAGTGTAGCTAACGCGCAGGGGTAAAGTGGCAGCATGTGCAAGGCAAGGTAGCCAGATACAGCTAGCAGAGGATGCTCTCAGTTCATGGCTCATATCATTCTCGCATCTCTATTAATCAATCAATGCTACATCTTTAACTTGGAGCTTCGTCTTCTTAAATGGCCTGGAAAATGGCGGGAAAAAACACTTAAACAAACAAATACATCATCGCTTTGAGCTGCCACCTCCAATGTCCTGTCCCAAGCGGTAACCAGTCACGCGGTCCCACTCAATCTTTTGTCTCGTCACCGGCAGTTGTCGTCGCAGACCCTTGAATGCGCCCTCGCTCAGGCTCACAAAGCTCTTGTTGAGATCCTCTTGGTACTTCTTCTCCGTCGACGCAATCTCCTTGGCAATGCCTGCGCCTGTGCCAGAGGGGATGGATGCGTGTGTGGGCTTGTTGGTGAGCAGTCGCACGTTGCCGTCTTCGTAGTAGTGCACGTCGACCTTGATCGAGCCCTCGAGACTTCCGGAGCTTGGGTCGAAAATGTATAGTGATCTCCATCGGCCATTCCTGCGAGAGAGCTGTCAGTATTCATACTTTTTTCGCGTAGATGCTGTGATGTCACTGAGGGTGTTCCCGTACCAGAAGTTGTTAGGGCTGTACTTGTTTGCAACGACGATAATGGCAAGCTTGGAGTCGGATTCAATGGGGTATACGCCAAGAGAAGCGTTGGGGAAGTGCTCTTTCACGTAGGCTCCTAAGCTTTTCAGTGTCGACTTGCTGTCATGCCGTTAGCTAACCTCGGATTACGCCTTTGTCGATTCGTCGCTGAGAACTCACACCAGGTCTGCTTGTGGTCCTTCCAGGACATGGCTCTGCACCGCACTGGCTTTCTATAACCCCAATTAGTCCATACCCCTCTATTATAATTGCTCGTCTTTCAACATGCCTGAGACGCATGGTCAACTTCGAAGCTAGAGGAGCTCTCAACATCGTAGTATCGGCCGCCGCCCAGAGAATTGTGTGAGCTGATCAAGACCTTTCCCGGCAAGTTAGCCTCCTTCTATGAATATAGCGTATATCTTTCCATTTATTCTCGGTCGTACCGGCTGGCTGCTTCCCGGCAGCTTCAGTGTGATAAACTGCTCTTCGTTGTACTTCTCAAACGCCGGCGTCAGCTCCGCAACAATGTTGGGCTCGGAGGTCAGGGCCTTGATGTCTGTAGATTCGCGCGTTAATGGTGATTCGGTGTCTCTCAATTAGAATCGGTGTGCTTCGTACCGGCAACGACATCTGCGAGCTATGGACCAGCATCAGGAGTTAGCTATGACGCGTGGATGGACGGGATCAGGCGCAGCTTTACCTCTCCAGGAGGGGCTCCCTCCACAAAGGCAGAAACAGTCTCGATGTGTGACATTCTGTATCTTTGGCTCTGGTATCTGGCACACGGGGATCTGGGAAGCAATCTCGGGAAACAAACAGCACTTTTAGGGAGCGTTGACGCACACCGCATACAGGGGAGGTCTATTAGGAGTTGAGGCAGCTTTGGGCGGGGCGCCAAAGCACGAGGGGCAGTCCGTCTCCATATCAAATCGCTAGCGGGGTACGTGGCCGCCGCTGGAGTCGTTTACTGGATAAAACGTACCATGTTACCAATACCGCTGCATTTCTAGTGGTAGGAGAGTAAAAGGAACCAAAAAGTTGAAGAGACGTGATCCAATTGAGAAGATATATCTTGAAGTTGCGCACAAGCTTTATCCACCTCATGGGAGCGCTGAACATTGCGACGAAGCGCCGGTCTTTGGGCGTAATCCAAAGGTGAAGGGAATGGTCTTCACTCGCAATATGAATAGTTTAACCGTGTAGCACTTTATTTCTATTATTCACACTATGCTAGAAAAGAAATCTCTAGGCCATTCATACATAAATATACGTTGCTCGCTCATCTCTTCCTTAATACTGCACTGTCTTTTTAATACTGTCGTAAATTCCTAGAAAGCAACCCTGTCAGTAATCAACTCTCTCTCAGTTTAAGGAGAATAATACTCACTTGCAATATCCGGAACGTGGAACTTCTCAAACATCAACGGGTTATGGATACTCCATCCAGCAACACGGGCCACGGGAGCTTCCAGCCTATTAAAGGTATCAGGGTTCTCTTGAATGGCCGCAGCCACCTCGGCACCAACGCCAGCATTCACCATGGACTCGTGGACAACCAAGACCCTTCCAGTCTTTCGCACACTCTCAAAGACAGTCTTCTTGTCCCAGGGGTAGATGGTCCGCAGGTCAATCAGCTCGACAGAGACACCCAGATCCTGCTCGATCTGCTTAATTGCTGACATGCAGTTATATAGCGGTTGGCCGTAGGAGATTATTGTGACATCCTTGCCCTCTTTCAGGACTTCTGCTTTAGACAGAGGCAGTTCGTAGGCTGCTACGGGGACCTCTTCTACTGCCGCTCGGTACAAGATCTTGGGCTCCATGAAAATGCAAGGGTCGTTGCTTCGGATGGCAGCTAATAATAATCCCTTAGCTTGTAAAGGAGATCGAGGCATGATCACTCTGAAACCAGGAACATGAGTAAACAGGGCCTCTGGAGACTGAGAGTGGTACAATCCACCATGGCCGACGGTTCCGCAGGGCATGCGCACAGTCATGCCTCCAGCGCTTCGTCCATTGGTACCCTCGTAATATCGCTTCTTTGCCGCCTCATTGACAATCTGGTCAAAGGCAGGGAAGACGTAGTCGGCAAACTGGATCTCGGCAACAGGCCGCATTCCTTCAACGGCCATACCGACGGCAAAGCCCAGAATGCCCTGCTCCGTCAGTGGCGTGTTGAACACCCTGTCGGCTCCGTGTGTTTCGGCCAGCTTCATGGTGCATCGAAAGACACCGCCAAAGGCAACATCCTCGCCAAATACGGAAACCGTCTCATCCTCTAATAAAGCGGTGTTCAGCGCGTCGTTGATGGCCTGGAAGAGGTTCATCTTCTTGGTCGCGCCATGGAGGACATCGGACGGGATCTCCTTGTTCCTCTTCGCGGCCTCTGATGTGTGAGCCAGCAGAGGAGTTGTCGAGTAATCAATCGGCAGATTCAGCTTCGCATTCGGCGGGTGTGTGGAATAGCATCGTGCCAGGTTCAAAGATATTGATTGAGGAGCTCGGGGATGCGCCAGCGCTCCCTTCAAGTGACGAACGGCCTGACGGTTCATGGCTGGCCTGGAGATCAATTTTTCTGCTGCTCTAAACGACAATTAGAGAAGAGTGAAGGGATACGGGACAGAAGGCATTGCGCTGCCCGGGACCAAGCAATTATCATCGGTCGTCGTCGGTTTAGACGGACAATGGCAGGGCGCTCGGTTTGCTGCGGCCTGTCGCGGGGTTGGAGCCGGCAGAATGCTGGTAGCGTCGAGGTACAGGGCAAGTATGGGGTAAGTATGGAGTATCGGCATTATGTAATCAAGCTGAGTGTCAGGGCCGAAAGCAGTGGCGTACATATGCAGTCGCTCTAATTTCACAGCATTTTTAATCCCCCAGAAGCTCATTTCTATTCCAACATAGGCTGCGAGGCTGCGCTTTGGGTCCTAAAGGCATCTTCATAGCAGTTTTAATCTCCCCAGAAGTCTTAAATTTGAGCTGTAAGGGCTTCTTTCTATTAATATCTCGCCGAGCTTTGCAGATCTTGCTTCACAGCCTTTATACTCCACCCCCGAGACTCACTTCTCTTCCACGCTACATTATAATATCGCCAACGGTTAAACCGTTTGATGCAGGCGGGAGTTAGGCAAGAAGTAAATAAATAAAAACCAGCAGCAGTGCAAGACCATGTTCAGATAGTGGATGAATTTTATGAGAGTTGGAACAAAGCGCCTCTTTATTGTAAGAGGCAAGCCTACTTATTAGGCGCCACTTCGTTTTCTGGCGACTATATCCGTACAAATACTTGAAAAACAAATTTTCTGCTGCAAGTCTATTTAGAGATGTAAGAATCTCACCAGAGGAGTTACTGAAAGACATTTCTCCAGGAACCCCCTTGGCACGCGAAAGTGCAATGCGGACAGTAGAATACGCTTTATTTTTCCCATTGCTTTAAGGAAAGGCCTTAAAGCGAGATCAATATACGTAGAATCTTCGTAACACTACGTACCCCCGTATTAGAAAATAGATAATAATGTGTTTCTTGAAAATCCTGCCTATAAGTTAGGAACACTATTTTTACTACCTATACGAGGGGCTATGCCAGCGCATAATTGCTTTGTTTACTACCTACTTGGCAGGTACTCGTATCTCTCTATTTCGCCAAGACTGTTCCTTGCAAAGCCAAGGCAATAGTGGGCTTCTCCATAGTCGACACAATAAACGCAGTATTCATCGCAGTACCAGAAGGCTATTATTAACTCCCAACAATGCGCACACGCCCAAAGGTAATCGCATGGCGTTATTGAATTACTCTTCAGAGTTAGAAGCCGCCACTGCAATCAATCAATGATTCAGGTGTTTATTATAGACTTTGCAGCTCTTCGATCCGGCGTGCCGCTTCCGTGCCTGGTGCCGCCCTCCCGGCCGAGTCTCCGAATTGTGGGACGTTGCCCTGCCAACAAACCGCTAAACTTGGCAAGCTGACCGCAAACCCAAATCAGTGACGTGGATATCGGTTAACACGGGTCGTAATGGCAGTGTTTTGTGGCTTGTAGATTGTTCAAATGCTTTCCCTGTTATTTATTTTGTTCTGCTTGGGCGCTTAATCCGTAGCAGCTAATGTGTTTTGCCTCCTGCAACCTCGCGAGCCGTAGCTCGGTCAAAATATCACGATGAGCGACACCGAAATACCACGTGCGCACCGCAGCCGCAACCGCAGCGCACGCGGCGAATCGTCCAGAAGAGACCGACCGCGGAAAAAAGAGTCGCGGACGCGGAGAGGGGCGAGCAGCGCCGATGAGGGAAGAGCCGACAGACGCAGCAGATCACAGTCGCTCTCGGCGGGGGCGCTGGCGCAACTAAACCAAGATAATGTGAGACAACAAAGACAAGCCGAACGAGAGCGGAGAAAACGGGATCGAGAGCGTGGAGAAGGGCACGACGAGAGAGCCCGAGAGCGCCTGGAGAGACAGCAGCGGCGGGAACGAGAACGACGACGAGAAAGAGAGGCAGAAAGAGATCGGGACAGGGAACGGGAAATGGAGTGGGAGCGAGAAAGACAACGAGAAAGAGAACGAGAGCAGCGGCGGACAAGAGCAAGAGACAGGTCGCCGAGCCCAGACCCAGAGACGGAACCTGTGATAATACCAAAGAAATACCATAAACCCGGCCGACAGAAGAAAAAGTCCAGAGTTGTTAGCGGAGCGGTAATGGAGGAGGGGAGATCTAAAGGATGGACATTTGGATTTGGAGGCTGGGGGAACGGGAACCATTCCCGAGACGGCAGTTATGATAGCCTAAGAAAGGAAGACTTGTATAGTCAGCCGGAGAAGAAGAAAAAGAAAACATGGTCTAAGAGAAAAAAATGTAAGTGCAAACCGGGGCAGTGCGCTGGACTCCTTCTATCACGCCGAGCGCTCACTAACAGGGCGTTTCTAGGGATCATAGGGGGCATCTGTGCCGTTATTCTTCTGATCATCATCATCGTGGCAGCAGTTGTCGGCTCCAAACACAACTCTGGAAGCAACAGCAACTCGTCTGGGCCCAGTGCGAGCAATAGCGACGTGCCGGCCAAGTGGATAAACACATATCTAGACCCTACCACTTGGGCAAGCACAGAGGATTTCAACACTACGTTCACGGATGTGATGGTTGGTGGCCTTCCCATCATGGGTCTTGACTCAAGCTGGGATGATTCCGCACAGGCAAACGATAATGTACCTGCTCTGAACAAGCCGTGGGGAAGCTACTCAAAGGCCCCCGCCAGAGGTGTGAATTTGGGAGGATGGCTATCCATTGAGCCTTTTATCACACCGTCCCTCTTCAACTATCCTCTTAGCGCTGGGGTGGTAGACGAGTGGACGCTATGCGCGCATCTTGGATCCCAGGCTGCGAGCACAATAGAAAACCACTATAACACATTTGTTACCGAGAGCACGTTCCAAGACATTGCCAATGCTGGCTTGGATCACGTCCGGATCCCGTTCTCATATTGGGCCGTTAAGGTCTATGACGGCGACCAGTATATCTACCGAACCTCATGGCGATATCTTCTACGCGGTATCGAATGGGCCAGAAAGTATGGCCTTCGGGTCAACCTTGACCTACATGGCTTGCCAGGGAGCCAAAACGGATGGAATCATAGCGGCAGACAGGGCTCGATCGGCTGGCTCAATGGTACGAACGGGAACCTAAACGCAGAGCGGTCGCTTGATATCCACAACAGCCTCTCCCAGTTCTTCGCGCAAGACAGATATAAGAACATCATCACACACTATGGCCTGGCCAACGAGCCGCGCATGACTTTCCTCAAGGCCAGTACCGTTGTCAACTGGACGGAAACAGCCTTCAAAATGGTCCGCAAAAACGGTTACAACGGCTTGGTCATCTTTGGCGACGGCTTTATGGGTCTGAACAACTGGCAAGGCCTGATGCAGGGCTACGATGGCCTGGTGTTGGATGTCCACCAATACGTAATTTTCAACCAGAACCAGATCGACTTTACGCACCAGAAGAAGGTCCAGTACGCATGCCAGGGGTGGACGCAGCAAGCCGAGCAGAGCCAGGACACGCGCACAGGCTACGGGCCAACGCAGTTTGCCGAATGGTCTCAGGCAGACACCGACTGCGCGCAGTATGTCACAAACGTCGGCCAGGGCAACCGCTGGGAGGGCACGCTCAACACGGGCAATGCAAGCACGGCGATCCTGACGCCAGACTGCCCGACCAAGAACAGTCAGTGCTCGTGCGACCAGGCCAATGCGGACGCGAGTAAGTGGAGCTCCGAGTACAAGCAGTTCCTGACGATGTTTGCAGAGGCGCAGATGTACAGCTTCGAGAAGGGGCTGGGCTGGTGGTACTGGACGTGGCAGACGGAGAGCTCGCCGCAGTGGAGCTACAAGGCTGGTATGCAGGCGGGCGTGCTGCCGCAGAAGGCGTGGGAGAGGAATTTTAATTGTGATACGGACGTTCCTGATTTTTCGAAGAGCGGGTTACCAGAGTATTATTGAATGGGGGAGTTTCGGGGGATGGGGGGCTATGAATAGTTTCGAAAGTATACCCTGTTGTTAGCTTTGATTTATAGAATGTTTGTCGATATCCTAGAAGATGGCTGGCGTTGATGGAGCTTTGATCTTGTTGTTGGAGTTTGTGTGGCTATATTGGGGTGATGATACTGATGATAGACGTGACGTAGAGGAGAAAGAGTGGATGACGCTGGAGTATGAGTATGGATTTGATAAAATGCTTGTTGTGTATATAAGTTTTTGGCTAAATATAGAGATACAATGGTTGCTGCAGCCAACTGCTGAATTAAATCCGATGGTATCGTGTTATTCCATGTCTTGTCGTAGTACCATTATTGGTAACTGAGTCAGGTCAACAAGCCCATAATACCCTATGTCCGTCCCGCGTGTAGGCGTTTAGCACTGCGCCAGCGTCAACATTTAAGCGGAACAGAGCTTATCTCCTTGAATTTATAAGGGCGAGATGGAAGATCAGCCGCAATACCCGCAATACCCAGGGCCTCGCTCTGCTGTCTTCCAGCGACATTCAGATACTCGGCATTTCGCGCCGTCGAACTGTCGCCGATTGAAGCACCGTTGTCCGTTGGAAAACAGAGGTTAAAAGCTTCTTTGCTTGTATAATACGCCCTTTAAGCCTTGGCCTCTCCGATTACTAACTCCGTACTAGTACCCACAGTATGTATAACAATCCCCATGTGGACGCAAGGGGACGAATATATGTAAGTAGGTGTTCACACTGCAGCTGGGATTCGGCAATTGCGCTGGAAAGAAAGAGAAAGGAGGAATAGATGAAGATGAAAATGGAAATAAAAATGAACAAGAAGAAACCGAAGTGAATCCGAGATTGCGGATGCAACCGTTTTCACGGCTGGCAGTGATGGTGCTTGATGGTTGCTTATGGTATCGCCGATAAACGGCCCACCTTGGCATTTGCTCAAAGAATGACGGAATGGCCGTATCGATGACAAAGATACACTACCATTTCCCTATTACTGCAGAAAAATCACCAGTGCCTAGAGGAGCTTTTCCCCACCGAAGGTTGCAGGGGCCTTGATTGTTGAAGGACGCTTACGGGAATAATCAGTACTAGTAGTATTACCAGCAGTAGCAGCTCTTTTTCGTTTGCTTTCCCTCCTCGCCCTTCGCCTTTGTTTGCCCGGCCGATGGGGAGGGCTGATTAAGACATGGGATTTGATTGCCCAGCCTGCTGTAGCTAGACGCGGGATGATTGGTAACCTCGAGGTCTTTTTCTTTTCTCCGGCCGTGGTTCGGAGAAGACCCTAAGCAACGCTATAGAGTTCGTATTTGCAGGAGCTAGGTTTATCGTGGACCGGTCAATTGATCATAAACGCTTCACCGTCACGTCAGCTCCTGATTGATAATGCCTGCGTAGCATCAGCGTCCCCATCACCAGCGTCACGTTGTCTGTTTCTGCTCCTACGAGTATATTATATGTCATCTTCCATGCTTGCTTAATCTACGGCGACTCTCCAATTCTCTTCCTGGCTCCAGGCATTGGCTGTCAATCACTCGCTAATTCCCTTAAAAACACAACTGCCTCATCTAACCCCAAGCCAAAACACTACCACCACCACCCAATTCAGCGCCGGCAATTCGAGAATCGATGGCGGAATTAGACGTAGACACAGCATCAGCATCGACCCTCGGGTCCAATACGGCGGACCGCGAAAAACCTGACGACAGTCCCAGCCCAGAAGGAGACGACGCTGGTTTGGACCTGCAAACCACCCGTTCAAACCGGAGTTCTATGAGGCAGGTGGGCCGAGTGGTGTCGCAGAACGGCTATGGCGTGTCGCATGAGCAGGACAACGAGAAGGCCTTGGGAGCAGGGCAGCCGGAAAAGGACCCGTACGAAGTTGGCTGGGATGGTGGCGACGACGACCCGTTGAATCCAAGAAGCTTCCACAAAGCGCGCAAGTGGTTGATTGTGTTTATCGTTGCGGCTGGAAGTCTTACCGTGTAAGTGGTTTTTTTCTCTGATTGGCTTGATAGATTAGACAAAAACGGCTTGGAAAAAAAAAGAAAGAATGGAAGAAGAAAAGCGAGACAAAAGCTGTGGTGGAACAGGAATGTGGCGTCGGCCGTAACAGCTGTCTCACTTGCGGCAAGAGATTTGACTGGCTAACATGAAAACCTCTTAGAACATGCGCCAGCTCAATATACACGATGACTTACGTGCAGATGGAGGCTGAATTCCACAATTCCCGCGAGGTTTCCATCCTGGGCCTCTCCTTCTTCATCCTTGGCATCGCCTTCGGCCCCATGTTTCTCGGCCCCCTCAGCGAGTTCTTCGGCCGCCGCCCCATCTACCTGGTCTCCTGGACCATGTACGTGATCTGGCTGATACCCCAGACGGTCGCCAAGAACGTGGCGACGATGATTGTCACCCGTTTCCTCGACGGCCTGGCGGGGAGCGCCTTTCTGACCGTCTCGGGCGGCACCGTGGGCGACATGTTTGCCAAAGACGAGCTGCAGCTGCCCATGGCCGCCTTTACCATTGCGCCGTTTATTGGGCCCAGCGTCGGGCCTATTTTGGGCGGCTTCATCAACCAGTTCACTTCCTGGCGGTGGACGTACTATGTGCTCATCATCTGGGCCGGCGTCATGTGGGTTGCTATAGTCTTGCTCGTGCCTGAGACATTCCGTAAGCTGGCCCCCCCTCCTTCAATAATCTTCTTCTTCTTCTTCTTCTTCTTCTTCCTCCCTGCTTTGCCTCTGTAAGATGATGCGATGGATAGAGGCAAAAATAACCACACAATGAAAACAAGCAGTACAGTGTTTCTAACGTGAGAGTTACTTGTGGCAACTATAGATGCGATATTGCTCAGAAACAAGGCCCGCCAAATCCGAAAGGAGACGGGCGACGACCGATGGCTTGCTCCTACAGAAAAAGTGCAAAAGTCGGTCGTCAAAGCCGTGCTCATCTCCCTGCAGCGCCCCTTTCAGCTGCTCATGTTCGAGCCCATATGCCTCTTCCTCGACATCTTCTGCGCCATCCTGCTTGGCATCCTGTATGTCTTCTTCGGGGCCTTCTCCATCGTCTTTGGCACTCACCATGGCCTGGAGCAATGGCAAGTCGGCCTGACCTTTGTGGGCCTCGGGCTGGGCATGATCATCGGCATGCTGACGGACCCGGTGTGGCACCGAATCCGCAACAGGCTGATTGAGAAGCTGTCGCAGGAGACTGGCGTGCCGGGCAGCAGCGAGCCCGAGTTTCGGCTGCCGCCAGCCATCTTGGGGTCCTTCCTGGTGTCTATTGGCATCTTCATGTTCGCGTGGACGTCGTACCCGTCTGTGCACTGGATCGTGCCCATCATTGGATCGGCCATATTTGGAGTAGGGTGAGTAGCAGCTGCTGCATGTTTGTTTTACGCCACGGTGACACAGCGTACGAATAGTGGCATTTTCTTTTTTTTACACTCCCTTGCTTTTAAACCCCCGTCTTGGCGGCAGTGCCCTCTTTGTTTCGTTTCCCTTTGGAGCAGTATTGTATTTTGCTTCTAATTGGCATGTATCTTGGTAGCTGACTGTAGGTGAATTACAGAAACATGCTCGTTTTCTCCGGCATTTTTACTTTCTTAGTAAGTCTTTTCCGCATGAAATGCGTCATGCTGTTTTGTTGCCTTTCCAATTGGAGATGGACTAACCATCTTTTTTTCAGGTCGACGCATATCCTGCGTATGCCGCCAGTGCCCTGGCTGCCAACACATTTGTGCGCTGTTCATTTGCAGGTAAGCCAAGATTAGATGAGCTGTCAACCCAATATAATCGAGGCTGCAGCGTGATGGCTAACTCATAGACCTGCAGGTGTGTTTCCTCTTTTCGGAGCACAAATGTACCATAGGCTCGGAGACCAGTGGGCTTCATCGTTGCTGGCGTTTCTGACCGTGGTCATGATACCGTTCCCGTATATCTTTTTCAAATATGGCAAGAAGATTAGGAGCAAGAGCCGGTATGCTAGGTCATAGGCGACGGAGCATTTACCTTGGCATTGCTATTTTAGAGAACATCTGGATAAGGGGTGTGTGGGAGTTATACGAATCGATACACCTTATTGGAGGGTAATACAAGCAAACTGGGAATAATTATTGGACATTTTCTTTGGGCGTATGGGATAAAAAGCGATATGGAAAGAGAGAAGAGAGAAGAGAGAAGAAGAAGAAGGAGAAGAGATGCCTTTTTGGGACTTTAGACTATCGGATAATACACCAGGCCTCGGCTGGAAACTCGAGGTTGCAGCATAGGATGAGCGAAACTGACGGATACGACTATAATAGACAATGAAACAGAGTACCAGCATGGAGCATTGTAATAAGAGACCCCCCCAAGAATGGAAGGATTTGCAACATGCATTATACCGAACTTCTTTGGACAGGGATGCGAGTCAACGGAACGGGCGTCTGCAGGGAGTCGTCTCTGCAGGCAGAGTGAAAGCAGAAGCCCAGGTGCTATTTGAGTAAACGCCGACAAATGAATTTGAAAAAAAAAAAAAAAAAAAAGAAAAAAAGGGGAGAGGGGTATATGTATGCAGAGACGGACGAGGCTTGCCAAGATATGCACCTCTGTCACCGGTTTTTGCGTGGCTGCTAGAGAGGAAGTGGTCAAGCTGAGACGTAGAGCTGGAAAGCTGGGAAACCCCTGCTTTAGAAGAGCACCAGACAGCATCAGCCCTTCTTCTTTTACTTTACGGAGAGATACGTGCAGCTCAGCTGTCTGAGTCAGATAGAAAATACTACAAGGATATGCTGCCTAACAAAAAAAAAAAAATTGTCAAAGGAGTCCATGTATGAAGTGATCACCAATACATTTTTTTTTTGGCCGTATTCGGTGGCTAGTCACTGATTTTCAGCGTCATGCCCTGATTTGACAGCCCAAGGCATGGCAGGATGCGAGCTGAAATTAAGGAACCAATAGAGCGGCACGGACCGGGGAGGGCCATTTTTTCCAACCCATGTGTTTTTATTTTGAGAGGGGTTTGGTGTTAACGCGAACACTTTCTTTTTAATGCGTGTGATACAGGGCAGCAGCTCATTCTCAATGGGGCGAGCGGTGGCCATGCGGTGGCATGTGAGACAGCGTGTCAAAAGAGCATGGACTGCCCTGCGGGAGGCGATCTTGCGTTTGTGCGAGTATATGAGTATGTACGTGTAAGTGGGAGTGAGAGAGGGGTGAGAGCGTGTGGAGGTCTAAAAGTGAGCTCGAGTGTGAGACAGACAGGCACAAAGCAGCTTTTTAATAGAGCCCTCGTGTTTAGTAGCCAGCAGTGTTTACAATTAATAATGGAAATGCAAATGGGTGTCTCCGGCATGCATAGAATAATGCCATTGTTTTTGTTTCTTTCTTGTCCATTCTCTAAAAAGTCTCCTTGATGGGGACGGCATTCTGGAGACGTTTAGACCTCGGGGCGGGCCAGAGTCGGAAGCTCGGTTATCGCTGATCGACTGGGGAGGAACATTTCCGAGGATTTTCGCCATAATTTTTTGGGCGTCTTTCTAGCTGCTCTTCCTTTCCATGTCTTTGCGAGGTTTGTCAAGTTAGGTACTTGTAGTGACTTGTACCGAGGTAAGGTACCTAGTACTCTTTGTAAGTGCCACCATCTTTTTCAAGCAATCAAACGTCAGGAACCCCTTTTGTCTCGCCATATTCTCCTCAATCCTGTTGGGCAGAGTTTTCTCTCTCCTGCGCATCGCCCATTGACACATGCAGCGAAGCTGCAAATAATCACCCCCCTAGCTTGGTCTGGATTCTTTAGCCGCATCCACTACCGACGGCCGGCGGTGGTTGGCGCTAGGCGGACTAGGGGTGGTAGCAGTGCTAATCTGAGCAATTGGATTGATGGATTTTCCATCCAGGTCGGTGATCGTCTTTGTTGGGGCTGTTGCTAGAGAACGTCGTCAGTGAGTGGGAGCTGCAGACGAGTTGCACAGAGGAAACGCAAAGATGCAGAGGAGAAATGAGGAGCAGGGAACATGGATTCGAATTGGCCTTTTGCTGGCACCCCATGACCACCGTCGCCGTGGGATGGACGCTGTCGACGGCCGCACACGCGACACACGCAGTCGCCTTGGTCCTAGTCGTCTTCGGCCTGCATATACAGCAAGGCAGGTACACAGATACACCTGCAGTACGGAGTATAGCACTTGTTGTACGGGTACACGGCGCAATGGCTGCATGGCTATTGTTGCGAGCTCAAGCCAAGGCTCCGCCAGACCGTGCCCACGCCAGACTAGAATCGCGGCAGTGATTCCGTTTGTTTGTGCGTTTGCAGTACCGAATATAGGTACTAACCTACCTACTAGCAGTACCTCGAGTACTCCATGATTCCGTGCCAGCGCCAGCGCTTTGCCGCGTACAAGTACATGTGCCCAGATCTCGCCGCTGGGCCGTGGCCAGTCAGCGTCGCCCTGATTGCCCAAAAACCCAGGCGCCAGCCCCCAGCGGCGCCGCCACCGGCCTAGCTCGGGCCAAGGCTTGGGGGAGCGAAAACCCCGCAATGGCTGCGTTAATACGGGGGATCCCCAGCGGTCCAGCCCACCAGCACTAGCACAACCCCAGCGGGCTCCAGCGGGCTCCAGCAGCCCTCAGCGCTCTCAGCGACGCGCAGCGCAGCGCAGTGCAGCGCAGCCGCTGGCCATTACGAAATCGATCCCACGAGCATCGCCGCGCTGGCTGAGCTTAAGTCGACGACTAGGTAAGGCACCGTCCCGGCAACTCTGACGGGACCTCTGACTCCTCCGCCCCTTGCGCCTTTTGCTTCTCTCGCGTCCATCTTCCTTTTTCCTCTCGCTCACCGGTCTGCCGTGCAGCAGCCGCATTTTGCTTCGCTCGCCCTTGCCGCGGAAAGGGGTCGCATAGCCCGGCTTGAGCACGTCGGGTCTCCACGCCGAGCCCCGTCACAAAAAGTTTTTGCCGCCGCCGCCGGAGTCGCTGGCTCCAACGTCCGCCAGAGCCCGTTGCTGCGCTGCTCGCATGCCTCGTTGCTGCGCGACCTCAACTGCGACCTCGACCTCGACTGCGACCTCGATTCCACGTCATCGCAGCTTCCGGTGCTCGGTTCCGATCCTCACAGTGCCGAGACGTCTCCAGCCTGGCCTGCGCATCGCTCACACGCCGCATGGTGGGCGTGGCCAAGCGTATGGGTAACGGGTGGCTGCAGCAAATCGCCTCTCCCTTGGACTCTTCCACCACATTATCCCGTCTCTATCCATAGACGCGGCGTCACCTCTTGCCCTCGCCCTCACTTCTGCCCCCGCGAAATCCTGGGCCGATCGATCACACCCCCCCAGCATCCGAATTGGAAGAGGACAAGACAGATCCTGCCCCCGGCTGCGCTTCCGCCTTGGAGTTCACTGGCCTCCATGCCGCCGGCGCCGCAGCTGTATTGAAATTCTGCCGCCCTGTCACACGACCGACGCCTCTTGTTGTGCGCCTGAGCTTCTGACGAAGCCTATTGGCCTTGTCGACCGTATCCACGTCTTTGAGAATACGAACTGGCCGTCCCCTCGACGTTTGCCAGCTTCCCACGCGATCAGCCCCCGGATCTTCCCTCCCGCGACCGGTCAGCGCATACCAGCTAGTGCAGTCTGAAGCTGCGCAGTCGAGCGCATATACACACGCAGATACCGACAAGTGTTCTACTCGCTGCTCTCTGCATCTATTCGTTGCGCGAGCGCCGATAAGGCAGGGGAGTCTTTGCCAATTATATCCCTGGCCAGCTTTAAGCCACTGTGGATCGCTTCTTGTTTTTTTTGTTCCTCTCTGAGTAGGAAAAAAGGTACAGCCGTGTTACTATCCTGATCCCTGTTCGCTCGTGCTACGAAAGCCGTGCGCTCTTGGTGTGGTTCATCAGCGCAAAGGTTTGGATGGATTGGGATCGCTGCCCTGATTTGCGAGAGCAATTGGCCTGCAGCTGCGCCGACTCAAATAGTCAGTTTCTGCTGTGCAAGCGCCAAGAACGGCCTTGCCATTATATATAAAGACCGTAGCCATAATGCCCGAAGACATGGAGGACAACGGAGCAGACGTCTCAGACCCTGTGTCCGAAAACGAAGAAGATTCGGAGACTTTTCTCAAGGACGACGACGAGAGCATGGCCGATCCCGCGGGAGCCAATGGCTCCTCCCATGACAAGAAGAAGTACGACCCTAAAGACCCTTCGAGGCCGAGGCGGAAGAAGGCAAGGAGAGCCTGTTTTGCTTGCCAGAGGGCGCATTTAACCTGCGGTGCGTTTGTTCCATAAAAATAAGAAGAAGAAGAAGAAGAAGAAGAAGAAGAAGAAGAAGAAGAAGAAGAAGAAGAAGAAGAAGAAGAAGAAGAAGGGCCCGTCTTCCTTCTCACACCCCATCCCCCGCGCTGCCCCTCTACCAGACGTTTGGTGCTGGTTTATCAAGTGCCTATCCCTAGTTTCATTGATATCTCCAGACTTTCCCTTCTTCTCTTTCTCCCTTTCTAGGTTTTCATTGGCTAGCCATAATAACTTGGACGCAACTTGCTGACTTTATATTGTTGACCAGGAGACGAACGGCCGTGTAAGAGATGCATCAAGCGTGGTCTTGCCGATGCATGCCAGGATGGCGTGCGGAAAAAGGCAAAGTATCTTCACGATGCTCCTCCAGAGGCTCTTCGACCTGTCTTGGGTCCAAATTTTAGCCCTCCTCTGTCTACAAAGACCAACGGCCACTCTGAGACTCTTATTGCGCCAGCCCCAGGCGATGGCTTCCTACCACAAAGAAACCCATCGTTTTCTGTCTATCCAAATGTTAGCCAGCCGCAAGTGGCCATTCCCGAAAACATTCATCTCAACCCTCAGGCTTCTCCCATCTCACCCTCCTTTCACGGCGCTTCCGCGGCGGCGCAGGCACATATAAGCGGTATGCTCCAAGGAGCTCCGCCCATGGATTTCAATGCGCTGTTCGATCCCAGTAACCCCGCCCTATATAATTTTGATCTTGAGGGTCTCAATTTTGGCAGTCAATATGCTGGCTGGGAATTTGGAATCCTCAACAAGATGACCCTCGGCGCAGAAACGCCACCGCGGGAGAATTCCATTTCACATACACCAAAGACGGAAGCAAACTACGCAGCAATGTTTGCAAATGGTAATTCGTCATATGATGCTGCCATGATTGGTGGCGGCGACTATGCCGGCCTCGATCTTGGCTCGAACATGTACACCCAGGGTAATCTCCAGCATGGCCTGCCTCACGCATTTGCCATCGCCGCCGGGCCAAATAGCCTGGCCAGCCCGAGTACCGACACGACTGCGAGCCCACAGGCCATCATGGATGGCTCTCCCAATCCAACAGCATTCCCAGGTTTGCCTACTATGCCTGGGCCTCAACGCCACAAACAGAAGCAAGACAAGATGCTCCAGTCTATTCTCGGAAAGAGACAACGGGACTCTGCGTCTATATATGCAAGCGTCAAGGAACCTTACCCATATGTTGCTGGATTCCACAACATGATATCAGTCATACGCAACCGGCTGCCCTTGGGTAAGCTGTTGAAGATTGCTCAGTCGTTGGGAGAGATTCGGCCCTCGTTCATCTCGTGTACCAAAGACTTGACCCGCGAAGATTTAATTTTTATGGAAAAATGCTTCCAACGGACGCTTGTCGAATTTGACGACTTTTTGCAGCACTGTTGCGCGCCGACCATTGTATGTCGACGCTCTGGCGAAGTTGCGGCTGTGAACAAAGAGTTTGCCGCCTTGACGGGATGGCCCAAAGATGTCCTCCTTGGCAAGGCGCCTAACCGTAACATCTATACGCGATCAACGGAAGATGGCACTGACGATGGCGAGAGCCTAGCCTCGTCCGGCCAAGTGACGCCTGCTGCGAAGAACCAGCCGATGCAGCAGAATAACAACTCGCGCCCTCAGCCTGTGTTTTTGGGTGAGCTACTAGATGATGATAGTCTAGTCGAGTTCTACCGCGACTTTGCTCAACTCGCATTCGAAGATAGCCGAGGCAAAGTCCAGCGTAGCGGTCGGTTGATTCAGTACCGAACACAAGAGATGCTGGAAGCAAAGGAGATGCTCGGACCGCAGAAACACCCTAGAACGGGTATTCTGAGCAGCCGAGTCACTATGATTGATAGCGAGCACGGTATTTCAAGGATTGAGAAGGATGGGAAGATCGACTGCACGTATTGCTGGACGATTAAGCGAGATGTATTTGACATTCCCATGATGATTATCATCAACGTGAGTTTTCGTCCCCTCCCCGGATTTCACATTGTCAGTATGTATGCTAATGACTGTGCAGTTTTTACCCCGTTATCACCCTAACCAGGAACCTCATCAGCTCGCTGTGTGAAGCCTCTTTTTGGGGCCACTTTCAACGGGCACATATTATACGTTACTTTATGCATGAAAGGTGTTGGCTTTTCATTATTTTTTTTTTACTTTTTGGTTATGAACGTTTACCATGAACATGGGCGGACTGGGTATGATATTATATCTGGGTCCTTTTTTTTTTCTCCTTTTTTTTATCAAGAAAACTGGTGGACTTTGGGTTAGAACTAGGATTGCTTTTTCTATTCTTTCTATTCTTATGGAAAGCACGAGACGTCTCGTGGCATGTTGTGCTTTCTCTCTCTCTCTCTCTCTCTCTCTCTCTCTCTCTCTCTCTGTTTCTCTGGCTGTTTTTTGGATTTGACATAATACGAGCCTTATGACCAGAGGGGGGTTAACTTGTAACTTGGATGATACCCGCATTGCGCGAACTTGCACACACTCACACACACTCACAAACTTACACTCACATTTCAATCATGCATGCACAAGCATGCTCGAACATACGTATATCTAGTATATAGGTGTGATGACGACTGGCCGCAGAGGGGGGGCATTGTTTTACGTTTACTCTTCTTATGGCTAGTACAACGTTTTATGGCTATTTATTGAATATTTTATCTCATCCAAGAATATTTTGCGGCGCTCTTCTCTCGCCCTGTCTATGTGATTTCCCTCTCTTCTCTCTTACATACACCCAAGTATGATAATTATGTAACCTTATAATTCTTTCAAAAAAATTTTTAACAAAAAAATGCAACAATAATTAGAGAGAGAGAGATAATAATAATAATAATAATAAAACATGATTTAATAGCTCCCAAACCACTCAAAAAGAAAAATCTATAAAGGCTTAACAAACCACTCCGCATCCTCCTTGCTCCCCTTATCCCACCCCCAAGCCTCCCTCGCAAGGCTCTTCTTGGCCACCTCGCAATCAAAGTTGATGTCCTCAATCAGCGCCTCCAGGCTCTTGTAGTCCTTCTCCTCGCGGATGAAGCCCAGGATCAGGAGGCGCATGTGGGCGTCGTAAAAGTCCTGGCCAAACTTGTGCAGGATGTGGACCTCTGCGCTGCGGACCGTGTTTTTGTAAAAGGGGTTGTAGCCGATGGACATGACCATGGGGAAGACGGTGAATGCGCCCTCCGCCGCGGTAGAGGATGGCTTGTCTGGGTGGGAGGCGGGCAGGGCGAGGGAGGCGAAGCCGAAGTAGACGCCCGAGGGGATGTTTGCGATCCAGGGGGTGAGGGCGTCGTCGACGGGGAGGTTGGCGGTTGGGATGCCGAGCTGTTGGTGGGGGGGGGGAAACGTTATATGAGAATCATGTGAAATGTGGGTGTAACGTTTGAGATGAGGAGGATGAAGAGTTGTTTTTTTATTATACTGATTGATGGATACGTACCTCCTTGGAACCGCGGCCGAAGCCAGAAATGACTTTGCCTTCCATCTTGTAAGGGTAAGGCTTTTCAGGGCCGGCTTCAGAGCCGATGATTTCGGGGCGGGCGGCCATGGTGATGAGTGTGTTGTAGTGATTGAGTTGAGTTTGAGGCTGAGTGAGTTGGAGTCGGAAATTATGAGAGGTGGTTTTTTTTTTTTTTTTTTTTTTTTTTTTTTGTTTTCGCAAGTTGAACAGCAGAGGCCAGAGATGCTCTCTCTCTTTCTTAATAGACGTGAATTACTAGTTCCCTGATTCTCCTGTATGCGCCGAATGAAATTGGAAAGAAATAGAAATAAAAGAAGAGAGAGAGAAGAAAAAGGCGCTGTTAAGAGTTGATGCTCGGTATGACTGTTAATTGCAACCTAGCATGAAATAGCCACTTGGAGCTAGCTCCCTAGTGGTATTAGTTGGAGGGGGATGTTTGCTGGTTTTTTTCTCTTTGCCTTATCAGCCGCGCGGGAGCCAGCTAAAAAGATCGCGTGCAGCGGGGGAGTAAAGAAGGATCTGGCGGGGCACCATAGGCTATAGAAGCCGAAAGAAGCAAAAACTAAGGCGCGCTTCGTTCTTCGTTCTTCGTTTTCAACGCCCTCTTTTTTTTTTTTTCTTCGCCCCTAACTAATGTTACTACTACTACCTACAACTGCCTAGGTAGGTGGTTGCTGACCCTGCGGCCTCTCGGTGCACTCGGAGTTCGGTCGCGGGGCAAGTCCGGATGCGGGTCGGCGGACTTTGTGCCGGCAGGGCTGGATTTCTTCAGTGTCCGGATGTTGCTGGAGAGAGATGGAGATTGGAGAGCCTTTCCCTTGCTAGTGGTTTTGTTGTGTTGTTATCTTCACCAAGAGTTGGATTCAATGTGGGCGACAGCCTTTTAAACATGGAAATAAGAGGTATCATTTGAATTTCAAAGCTACGTGTAAGCCAGCGGTTTGCTTACCAATATAACAACTTCAGCCATCTTCCGAAAAAAACTAGCTACACCCAAGATGAAAGGATTTTCAGCTCCCTTTGCAAACCATTAATCTGCTTCCCCCGTTGGTATATATCTGATTCATCACTCTCGTTTCCCTTGCTCTCCTTGTTCCTGGTCGTAATTCGCTGGCGCTTCGAAATTGCCAACTCCCAAGAATTGAGCTAAGCGATGGCCCCTCGTTTGGTCCACAAGCTTGGATATTGAAAAAGAAGGTTGTTTGGTATAAAATGAAAGTTGAAAGGGGGAAAAAAAAGAGCAGAGAAGGGTAATAAACACGTCCATGCATACGACACCAATCCGGCAGAGATACATGCATCCTCACATAAAGATGTTTACTTCTTCTCCTCGCTCTGCGCCCATTCCGTCCGGCCAAGCTTGACAATGTCGCTCTGGCCAAGTACCCAGTGCTTGCTTGGAGCTTTGCCTTCATCAGCCAGCTGTGTGGCCCGAATGGCGGCTCGCGCAATCACCTCGGCCTCTTGCCCAATCTTGTCCTGTAAGCCGAGGTAGCTCAAGCCGTGCACAAACCCCTTGAGGAGGCCCTCAACGAAGCGGCCCTGCTCGCGCTCGCCCAAGATGAAGCCCGGCCGCACGATGATGCCCTGGTCGAATTCGAGCTCCTTGATCGTCGTCTCGACGCCCTTCTTCATTTTGCTATAGGGCGACGTCGCCGCCAGGAGGCCATCGGAGCCGGCGCTGGAGATGAAGACAAAGGTCTTGACGCCGGCCTGCTTCGCGGCGCGCGCAACCTCGACGTTGAGATCGTGGTCAATTTTCCACTGGTTTTCGATGCCGCCGGCGGCCGCGCGGGTGGTGCCGATGGCGGAGAAGGTGACGTGCGGCGCGGGCGAGAGGCCGATGAGCGTGGCGGGCCACTTGTTGGTGTCGGCGTCGACGATGGAGTTGAGGTTGGGCGACTCGGCCTTTGGCGCGCGGCGGGCGATGGTGGTGACGGGCTTGAAGGGGCCGGTGGCGAGGAGGTTGGACAGGATGAAGGAGCCGACGAGGCCGGTCGAGCCAAAGACTGCGGCGGAGTTGGAGGCCATTGCTGCTGGTTTGAAGCCTTGTTTTTGCCTTTGGGATATGGTCCGCCTAGATGGGTTTGGTGTTGTGGTAGCAATTGCCGAGAGTTGACAGATGAAAGAAGCCGAGATGAAAACGATCAAAAGCTGCGGGATCGATAAAGTAGCTGGAAGGGGGGGTGAAGAAGAAAAAATATGAGCTCGACCGAGGTGGGAAGCGGAGTGGTATTATATGACCATTTCCGCCTCGGATGGTTGGATCCGACGGAATGGAGTTAATCACGACGTTGCGGCCCGAAACGCCCGAGGTCTGTCCAATGATTGGAATCAATGCAGGCAGTACGGACTCATCTTCATGCAACCTTGTACTGTCTTTTATCTGCGGAGACGTCCGAGTATGTCGTTCTATCATTTTTTGTGACGTGATTTGCCGTCTGGATGCACTGGATAGAGTTCGAAAAGGTGGAGAAAGTCCGCAGCAGCTATGGCCAGATTGTTGCCCTGAATAGGCAAAGTGCATAGCCTGGCTGTCCATAGCTGCCGGGGATAAGTTTCAATCTAACTGTACAGTATAGCGGATAGAGGCACTGCTGGCATGTGGGATTAGTTGCAGCTGCTAGGGGTCCGATACCCCTCCAACTGCTAAAGCTGTGCCCCTCCATCCCGGTTGCGGGCTTGCGACAGCATCTCTGCCTGCGCCGGCTCATTTTTTCCATTTCTTTATGCTGCGGACAGCCCATCCGCCTCTTGATGGCAGCATCTCTTAACCAATTGAACTCCGCAGCTGTGTGAATAGCGCCTCTTCAATACTCTACGCTGCCCTCCGCAACTCTTGCCCATCATGGCCACTCAGTACGAACGTATGTATATTTTACCCCATTGCCATATCCCACGATAGCCTCACCTCGGCGCCAAAGCTCACCATCCTCACCCACAGTTGAACACAATGTCAAATTCGCCGAGCCCCGTCGCCAAGGCCGCCGCGTCGACATGGCCTCCTTCTTCTCCCTCCTCAACCAGCTCGACGAACCGGGCAGCACCCAAAGCCCGCATCACAACCCGCACGCCACCCCAACGCCCGTCGACACGGCCGCGCTCTTTCGCCTCCTGCAGAGCCAGCTCCAGACGCTGCAGACGACAGCGCCGACAGAGGACAACCGCGATTTCCTCGAGCAGCTGATAGCCTCCCTGGAGGACGACATCCACGACCCCCCGACGAGGCTGCAGGGCGCGAGCCAGGAGTTTGTCGATATGCTGGAGCGAGTGAATCGCAAGAAGCTCGACAAGGACGACGACTGCGCCATCTGCAAGGTTCCTTACTTGGAGGATGAGTACTGCCTCGTCGTGGAGCTGCCGTGTCAAGGAAAGCACCGGTTCGATCTGGAGTGCGTCGGCCCGTGGCTGAGGAGCAAGGGGACATGTCCCATGTGTCGTGATGAGATGGGCAAGAGGAAGGAGATTCCGATTGTGGAGGACGACGAAGAAGAGGATGGCGATATGATGTATGCGTGATGATGGGACGGTGCAGTGTAAGATGATTTTTGGGCGCATAGGAGTTTTGGGTGCATTTAAGGAGGCCACGCTGTGTACGAAAGATGGCAAAGTGGAGATTTATCATGCTATATGGCTGCGTAAGATCTAGAAAGCGAAATGAAGAATTTACTCCATCTCCTGTTTGTTACATATTTTGTTGAACTTGAGATGCCTCTAAGCCTCGAGGCTCTTAATCACCTCCAAAGCCTTTTCCGCCCTCTTCTTTGCCTCGGCACCCGCTTCCACACTCAGCTCTTCAATCTTCTTCTTCCAGAACCTCCATCTCACCTCACTAAATCCCGAAGCCTCTCCTTTCAATAGCGAGCCGGTTCTCAAAGCTCGAACATCATCTTCGTCGAGTTGCGCTCCTTTGCGTCCCTCATCGTACAGCACCTTGCCGGCGTGAGTGATCCACTCCGATGTGGTGATTAGGTATGTGTCCTTGGCCTGCTGAGAAGACAGCGGCTCTTCCAGCCCCTGGCGAAGTTCCCACAGAGCAAAGTTCGTCCAAGACTGCACTGAAGAGCCGAGAAGGCGGGCGGCGAATGAGTTGAGCGACTTCCACTGGGCGATCGTAGTGGCATCTCCCAGGGAGTTGTCGAAAGTAGGGGTGGCTAAGAATTATTATTATTATTCCCGACTTGAACAACCTTTCCTCTTTTCTTCTCGTCGGGGGGAGAAGAAAAGAAAGAAGAGAAGCGGTTTTGAGCTCACCATTCCACGCCTCTCTCATGACGGCTCCAAAGAGCGGCATGTCGGTCCACAAGCTGTACGTCGATCCCCATACCTCAACGGTTGCGCTTTGCTTAGCCTTGAGCTTCTGAGTAATTTCAACCAGGCTCTGGGCCCGTGAGTCGTCTAACGGGATGCGCTTCGAGATTTCGATCAAGAGCGTCCATAATGTCCAGAGAAAGCCTTCTGGCTCGTCGCGATTGCTTATCTCGTCGATGCCATTGGCGACGGCCTCATTGGCGTCTGTGCCGCTGGTGGAGCTGCCAATGGCTTTGTCTAAGAGGCCGAACAAGGTGTTGAACTTTTCTTGGCCGTCGGGAGCGAAGTCGTAGGAGTCGACGAGGGAGCGGAAATCAATCAGAGATTCTGACATATTTGCGGACGTGGAATTTATTTGCGTGAATCACGGGTGAATATAGGAGAACGCAAGCAGGGAAATGATGCGGGAGGACTAATGATGGTGTAAGTGGAGGAAGACGGAGCGTCAAAGCGCTGCGACGTCTCGTTCCGCTTGCATGCAACTTGGCAATGCCTAATTCTGAGAGGTTGAGACTTAGGTCTTACTACCTACCCAAAAGAGCAGGAAACAGACGAATCTTTTGCGTTACATCCACGTGTTGGACTGCAGCCTGGCATAACCTCGCTTTTGCTGCATGATTTGCTGCATGAGAGGGGAGACAGAATAATGGACTGATGGCGCTGTGTGCGTGCGCTGTGCGTGGGACGCAGTACGCAGCCCCTCCCAATCCTCCCACATCCCTAGCCAATTCCACATCTATCTCCGGCTTTTGGTTTAACCAGCATTTTGCTTACCCTCTGTTCAACTTTAGGGCTTAAAATGTGTCTTGGAGTCGCAGCTTTTTCAATTTAGGTCGGATTGGAAAACAGCCCGGAGGCTCAGTAGTATATTGGTGATTGCATAGCAAGAGCGGACGGCGGCACCTGAAGCATGCGTGCGAAACTCTTGATATATGCAGAGTGCAATTCTTGAGCCTTTTCCATCATGGTGCCTTACAGAATTGTAAATGCTCACAAGGGCCACAAGGCTTTCATAATCTCAGCCGGATACGTGCAGCCTTGGTTGAAGTGAATGACATAGCTCTAGCTAGATACATGGATCCTCCTCTAGTATCTGCATGCAACTGATTTCATAGCCGGATGTCGTTGATCTGGTAGCTAGACGCAGTTCCTATCTGCCTCTTCTTCGCTTCTTCGCAGCGGCCCTAGCAATCGGGGTAGCTGTCCTCCCATTCCGCATTGATGTAACATCGACGTTTGAATGCGATAGCTGATTGCTTTCGAGCACTTCAGAAAGCCCTGTTTCTGCAAGAGTGCCCGGATTATACAACTCTGGCTGTATCTGATTGATAGCAGAGCAGATTTTCTCAAAGTGTATCGGTACCCATACATCATAGATATTTTTAGTAAATCGATATGCAGTCCACCTTTCTCTGCCATTGAGCTCGGTAATGTCAAATGTGCGAATTAGATACCGATAGTACTCTATTTTCGCCTTGGCCTCATCTATAACGGGATAGTGGCCGTAAATGCGCACCATTCGGTGATCGAGGGAGATGGAGAATGCCAGAATCTGAAGGTGCAATTCACGCTCGCGGTTCACAAGACGAAAGAGCTCGACAATCGCGCGCACCGCGAGCGTCATGTTGTGGGCATTCTGGCGGTCTGCATACTCAAGAGCTTCAGCACCACACTTAACTTCACATGTAAGAAAGGGAAAATGCATTTCAGATGTAGCCATTAAAAGACTCCGATCTCCAGCAATAAAGTCACCGATCATTGGGGCCATTTTATTTAGCTGTTCTTCCGTAAAGGCCTTGCGCTTGAAGCCAACTGAATAGTCGGGTTGTGGACGACTATGTATTGGCCGAGAATTGCTCCATACTTCATTAACGCTCTCAATCAGGCATTCAAGCGAGGGTGTGCGTGAAGCAAAAATCTCTGCAGAGGGGACGATTAATGGTAAGATGTCTCGCACTACTGTCGCCTCGTTTCTGCTGGCAACCCTCCGGCATGTTCTTTGGAATATGTCATCATCAAAAAGCGATTCGCGAGGTGGCTTCTGCTCATGATCAAGTAAAGCCATGCAAAGGTCTCGACTTTCATCAGCAATATCTAATTCCGACGTCTCCATGAAGCTTCCATGAAGCTGAAGGACTTGAACGAATTGCGGGTACGATACGAGATATTGTTCTGGCCTCCTGTATCAGAGCTTCCAGAGCCAGGTTCAGATCCCTTCCGACTCGCCACCGATTTCACCTTTGCGAGTATACGGTTCATTTTGTCGCCATTGAGATCTTGCTTGACGTATGCATATGGCCATACACTCTCTCGAATCCAATACGCGACAGGATCGCTCTCTTCCACTTCGCTGCCTGGGGGCGTGTTCCCTAGGGGTGTGTTTTCCGCCGAGGCCCTCGCTGGCTCGTTCGGAATATTCAAGTGAGATTGCTTCCCTGAGTCGGATCGATTAGCGAGATATCAAGCAAAGGGTAGCGACCATCAATACTTCGCTTATTTGGCGCTGGATGCTGGCTCTCGATGGCGCGTTTCCGCGCCCGAGTGAGGACCATGACAGCAACAGTTGAAAATAATGAGAAATATATAAGTCGAGAGAAAGATGGGTGCAGATGAGGTTAGGCATTAATGAATGCTGGGAATTGGGTCTGGCTGCGTATGGTGGTGTGGTGACGAGCGACCAACAGCAACGGGAAGCACGAAAGAGGGAGCTGCAGCATTTTTATAAGAGTGCAGCCCGCCAACAGCTCATTAAAAGCTCTCTACAGCTCCTACAGCTTCTGTTACCTCTGCCATCTTTACTACTCCCTCCTGCTGGCCCTGCTGCGTCTACTGCTTCGGCCACTGTTTATCATGTATTGATGTCTAACGTGTTCTTTAAGTTCAGCTACAGCAAAGGAGAGGGTGTTCTTCAGTAAAGTAACATGCATGCAGGCCGGATTATATTCCTATTCCTGTTGAAGTTTGTATCTTGTAACCTGTCTTGCACAGCAAGTCTCCATCCCTAGCAATGCTCACATACATTAGTAGGTAGCATGCAGCATTCCGGACCCACCACACCTCGGTCCAATGCAAGGGCGGGCCAGGATTAAAAAAAAGGAATCGTAAAACGAACATCCACATACAGAGTAGCAGTGGGAGCACCATCAGCGTGGATTTGTTGGGCGTAATTGTGTGTATATTTGCCGCTTTGAGTGTTCAAAAATACCCGCAGTCCCTATTTTTTTGGATACCCGCCTGGATGGATCCAACGCCGGCCCAATGATTGTCGGGACGGCTGATCAAGTGTTCAGCAGCGCATAAAATGTATGCAAGAAAACTGGGCCCTGCAGAAGTGAGTGGCCGACAACTTCACCAATACACCCAATGCCTGATCTCCTTGGTGTTTTTTATTGTTGATTGGACCAGAAGCGATACACATAAAACTGAAGCCATTCGCGGCACAATCTTACATGCCTTTATTCTCCAACCATAGACTCGTGCTTCAGCCTTGATTTGAGGCCAACACCGGTTGCCAGAAGGCTTTATATCTTTAATTTGTCTACCTTTATGCAAACAGCTCCTGACCTGAAAACACCACAAAGGCACCATTGTCCATGAACTAGCAGGTAACCCTTCCCAAAATTCGACTTATCGTACAGGACGCATTTAAACGGACCACTTTTGCAAGTTTTGTGGATTGTCTCTACCCCAACCTTTGGCGCTGAGCTTTTGAACGTTTTGCAGACATCCCGTGATCACTTGATATAAGCATTAAATGGAAAAGACCAACTTGGTAAACAGATTAAAATTCAAACCAGCTATAATATACTAAAAGAGTGTTCGTTATATACAGGTCATATATACGTAATATACGATGTATATACGGCGGTATAGAGATATAGATGTACAATTCTGAGCAGATCCATATTACTCTATCTCAAGATGAGCAAGTGCATCAGGTAATTGCGATATAGGATCCCATTTGTGCTTGGAAATCGCCTCAGAATTGGATCCCAACAACGGCAGCTCATTGATGGCCGAGCAAATCTTCTCGTAGTGGCCAGGCACCCATTTCTCATACACGTTCTTCACAAACCGGTATGCCGCCCATTTGCCCTCCTCATCCTCATGTTCAAACCTGTAGCTGTGGATCAGATGATGGTAGTACTTGGTTATCTCTCCATCAATTTCCGCATAATGACCATATATGCGCACCGATGTGCAGTCGTGAGAGAGAGAAAAGGCAATAATCTGCCGATGAAGTTCGTTCTGGCGGTTAACAAGACGAAACAGCTCCACCATGCTACGCACAGCAAGAGTCATGTTGTGGGCGTTCAAAAGGTCTGCCTCGTCTATAGAATCATCATTCATCTCGTACGTCAAGAAGGGAAAGCATATTTGGTCTGTGGCCATGAAGAAAGAACGATACTGAGCAGGATCTTCGCCAATGAACGGAAGAAGTCGGTTGAGCTGATCCTGGGAAAACTCGCATAGGGCAAATCCAACGGTCAAGTCAGGCTGCGGGCGAACTTCAGTCAAAGGAACCGAGTTGTTCCAGCCTCTATAAAAGCTTCTGCCCAGAATTTGAATCCCTTCATAGGGCATGAGGTGCGAGCTAAACAGTTGGGCGGAATCGAGCTCAGTTTTATCATCCTGTACGAGAGACTCGAAAAAGTCAACGCTGGTTTCGAGTCCATCAGGAAGTTCCTGATATTCCTCAAGCCACTTCTGGCAAAGCTCCGTGATCTTAGGGTCAGCACCCAAGATTGAATCGCCAATAAAGCTGCGCTCTTTATCGAGCATAGTCTCAAGATGTTCGTACAAGGCAAACTTTTCCTCATGCGGCCAACCATCACTCTCTAAATCTTCTCTATCTCCTAAATCATCTTCAATTTCCGACATCGAGGCATCTGCTAAATCTTCCGGGGAATCGCTCAACGCCAAGGATTCTGTCAAGCGCTTTTGTGCCAGTATATGTTCTCTACCATGCCTAGCGTATCCGAGAGGCCAGAATCCTTCTTTTGCCCAAAAAGCCACTGGGTTATTACAATCGGCGAACTTATTGGTAGCTTCAACAGCTGCATGTTCATCAGAGAGTTTGGATTCTCGCTGTCGCTTTGGAAAAGGTCCAGAATTGGGATTACCGATGCCTGTACGTTCGATATTTCGCTTTTGACCTTGGTTCTGAAGCGATTCACGCCTCTCATCAGAGGCTCTCTCGGCTCGGACTTGTTCCATTGAGACAAAAAAGGATAGTCTTTAAATTTATGCAATATGATATACCGTGAAATGAATAAAGTGATGGATTTCTGCACTGAGAAAAACAGGAGATTGCAGTAGATTATATGGTCAAGATTCGTCAGCCAAAGCCGAATAGAAATGCGTCCATCTGTTTGTTCGGCATACCATTGATACGATTGCAGTTTACCCAAATAAAAAGGGAACAACGGCATAAACGATGCGTATAAAATTGTCTTTGACTGTCCATAAAAGAATTGGCGGATTGCGACGGTTACTATAAATGGAACGACTATCCATGCTTCTTTGTATTTTGAGCTGGGAGTAAAATCAGTAGAAGACTAAAACAACTGTAAATGCGTGAGATGAGCCAGGGCTGGGGTGCTGGATAACAGTTTGCTTTTTCTATTTATCACTATCACATGGATTAATAACAGACAGAAAGAACAAAGTCCTCGGGCTCAGTATTATTAGATGGCGGCAAAATAGCATCCCTTTGTCCGGCATCTAAAAAGGCATGAGGAGGCAAAGGAGCATATTTGTAGCGCCAACCAGTCAACCACTGCAAAGAGCGGAGCTCATTTCAACCAAGCCAGCCCTTCGAATCAAAGCCTTTTGTTTCCATCTGCATGCAAGTGAATGATGTCAGGTGGCCCTGTAGGCGGCCAGCACTCACGGCGTGCATCAAGCCAATAAGCATCAAGCACATGAGGGAGGCCTACAACTTGTACACAAACGAAAACGACTCCGCAAACACACAGCCTCGTTCTTCTCTCGACCACAATTCACAGGCTCCGCCTCTATCCATTCACATTATTTGTGATAATCCTCCTGGTAGGTTGTATATCATTGTGCTAAACCTTCCTTTTCCATTTCAGACAAGCCAACACAAGTTAGTTCTTAAATTACTTGCAGAATCACTATATTCCTACGCTCTTTGTCGCCTTGATAAGCATCAACTCCCTTCTCAATCTGGAATTATTACCATGGAGACAGACGATTCATCTATGGAGAAGTACTTTGCTCTTCTCAAGCAACAAAAGTTACAGCTCAAAGAAGCTCAAGCCTACAAAGGACAGACGCCCCCGGCTTCAATAAAGCGCTCCCGGAGTGCCCTTCAGCAAGAGTTTTATCTCGCCGTATAGCGCCCCTTTAGTCCAACTTTCTTTGATAAAAATGCGCACATACTAATCTTTGTCAGGCATTGGGCGCACGCATGCGCAGCTTGTCTCACGAACATGTCGTCCGCAGTTGTTTCATAGGCGCAGCGTATCCGCCCTGTACTCTGCCTCTCTCCAGCCTCGTACCGATACATCTTCGCGATCTCACGCTCGAAACGCAGCATCGTGGTCGTGTCCTCATCCTCAGAGCTTTCTGTGAGCCAAACGTGATAGTGGCCATCCAGAATGCAGTCGAGGATGAGCGCGGAGACGTGGATCGCCTCGCCATCTATAACCTGCCCCCGACTGCTGAAGCCAACGCAGTTCTTCCTCAGGGTGCCATCGTGGCAATCAAAGAACCATACTACAAGCGCACCGCTGATGGTGGCCTCTTTGTGCGAGTCGATCATCCTACCGACTTTGTGCTGCTCAAGCCCGGCAATAGCATCATTCCCCGGGCTTTAGCACCCCGCACAAAGAAGTTGAAGCAGTCGGCGATTGGCCTGAAGGAGGAGGGCAATGCAAAATTCAAGAGAGGCGATTTCCAAGTGGCCGTTGAAATCTACTCCGATGCCCTGGAGGCTTGTGGCCTGGATGCAGGTGACGATGAACTTCGGCAAGATCTGCGCCGAAATCGTGCCGCTGCAAACTTGCGCCTTGGTCGCTTCGAGCTGGCTATCAAGGATGCACTGGCTTCCATGATCTCAACTGAAGATGCATCGGAAGCAGTCAAGAGGATAAACATCAAGGCCCTTTACCGAGCAGGTAAGGCCGCCTATGAGATGCAAGACTTTGCTCAAGCAAAACGATGCTTTGGCCAGGCACTTGAACTCGATGGAGCCCACAAAGAGTCTCGAGATGAATTTTTTCGGACTGTGAAGCGCATCTCGGAACAGGAGAACGGAGGCTATGATTTTTCGATGATGGCCAAGTCTGCTACCGCGCAGCATTACCAACTGGATCACGCTTCCTTTATGAGACGTGTCAAAGTTGGCCCGGCAGAGGGCCGTGGTCGTGGACTCTTTGCTACGGAGGTGCTGAAGCCAGGTGATATCGTTTTTGTAGAAAAAGCTTTCTACGTAGCACATCCGGACCAAGGGGACATATCGGTGCTTCTCAACGTCAACACCGATCGCGTCTCTCTCGGAACACATAGCCTACGGCTCCAGGGGATCGTTGAAAAGATAACCTGGAATCCAACGCTTGCCAATAAGTACACTGATCTTTTCGATGGCGGTAAGTTTGGCAACGACAAGGAATTTAAGGTGGTTGATGGAAGAGTTGCCGTGGATACGTTCCGGGTCCAATCTATTGCAGAGCTCAATGGCTTTGGTTGCCCCAGAGTCAAATCAGGAGACAAGGAGCAACGCGAAACAGAGAAGACAGATCTTGATCAAAGCACGGGTATCTGGCTGCAGGCATCGTACTCGAACCATTCGTGTCTCCCAAACGCGACCCGAGCCTTCATAGGCGACATGATGGTAGTCCGCGCCGCACGAGATATTCCAGCCGGGGGAGAAATCTTCATGGGATACGGCGCCCTAGAGAAGCCCTTTGCCGAGCGGCAGAAGAGATTAAAGAATAGCTATGGGTTTGAGTGCGATTGCGACCTCTGCCGCGCAGAGGCAAAGGTTCAAAAGGCCACCATGGACAAGCGCGCTCGACTCTGCAAGGAAATCGACTCATTCTTGTCCGCGAATGAAGTGACCAATCGCAACCAGTTTACCTTCTCGGCGGCAAAGAAGGCTAGGGCGAAGAAACTCCTGGGAGAAATCCGAGAGACGTACCCCAAGGCACACTTTGAGCGTCTTCCTCGGCCGGACTGTCTGCATATCAATTTTTGGGTGGCTAGAACATCTGGCGGGAACCCTCAACAAGCACTCGGCAAGTTCCTAGATGTTCTTCGCGATTCGGGCTATTTTGTTAGCATTCAAGGCACAAACGTGACGATTGATCGTAAGGCGGCGATTGGTTATAGTGCTGCAATCCACGCAGCAATGTACGCCTCCCAGTGCTTGATGGCCGTTGGCAACCACGGCGCCGCTTCTGCGCTCGAGGCTTTGGGTAGAGAGATTTTTACCGCCCAAACCGGCGCTGATGAAGGGTTCGAACTGGAGTTTATGCTCTGAGATTTGGCACCCTTAGACATTATGCTGTAGACTTTTGTTCGCTTAACTCATCAATGAGTAGGCAGGGCAGGACTGCTCCAGCGAGTCATTTTATTTGGCGAGACATTGAGAACTGAGCGAAGGGGAATGAAAAATGATATCTTGACTATAGGAAGCCAGCGCATACTCGAGGATTCTTAACTAGTAATAAGAACAATCACCTCTGAAATACCCGCCCTTGCCATTTCTGAGAGGAATCAGTGAGAAACTGGTGGCCAGAGTCATCTAGAAAGGCTCGCCTCAACCAAAACTTCCACCGGGTTTGATACTACATACAGACAGTAATGAGAATATCAAATGTAAGCAATAAGTTCTCAGTGATAATGTACCGCATCGAGTATCCTGATCAAGTACCCTAATTGCCTTAACGGCGGTGCTTAACTGCATGCGGATCTAGACGGAGCATCAACTTGATTCAATTATCTACATATGTACAGCAAGTAAATACACCGACATCGGCATCAACATACATTTAACCGGCATTTGATCTATGCAAGATTCATCCTCATTCCTCCGTTGGCGCAAACCACGCTTCCCGTTGTCCATCCACTCTCCTCCGTGCACAGCATGTCGATCGTCCCGGCGATCTCATCAACAAAGCCAGGCCGTCGTCCACCCATGCCTTCTCGCACCAGCTTGTCAAACTTGTCAGCGTCTTGCCCTGCCTGCTCCAGCACGTTGGCCTCGCCATTGTAGGCCGCCAGCGGTGCCACATCCACGAATGGCTGGTTGGTAGCCCAGAAACTCGGGCCTGCTTCAGCGTACATGTCGCCCCAAACAGGTCCCGGGTTGACGGAGTTGACCGTCGCTCGCTCCGAGAGCTCTCGGGCCCATGTCCGGGTCATGACTTCAAGGGCGCCTTTGCTGCCCGCATAGACGGACTGGCCGATGTAGCCAATGGAGGACGAGACGCTGGAGACGTTGACGATGCGGCCTGAGCGGTCTGTAGGCAGATATGGCGCCACAGCCTGAGTCAAGAGGAGCGGTGCCAGCACGTTGACGGCGTAAACTCGAGTGAACTCGGCTTCTGTGATGGCGCCCTTTTTGGGGTCGTTCATGTGCTGGTTTGATGAGACGCCGGCATTATTGATGAGGATGTCGACTTGGAATTTTCCTTGGGGGTTGTAGCTGTGGAAGAGGCTTTTCGCGGCCTCGAGAATGACGGATGCTGCGTTGGTGGCCTGGGTGAGATCCGTCTGGATAGACTGGCTGTGGACCTTGTGCTTTGACTTGATTTCCTCGACTATCTGCTGTGCCAGATCTTTGGATGATTCTGAAGTAAAAGTCACGAGAACATTGCTGCCCTTAGCGGCAAGCCGTTTAGCTACTCCAGCTCCAATGCCTTTGTGTATTGCGTGTCAGTAGACTAATAGTATATCCGGCAAGTCGTGTTAGTGGCGGCTAAAGACGAACCTCGTGAAGCACCGGTGACGATTGCGAGTTTGCCCTCATACGGTCGAGCCATGATGATGATTACAAATAGAGTAAAAAATATCTACACTTGTCTATTCAAGAAAAACAAGTAGCTGAAGAGGTGTATGAGATGTTTAAAAATGCATTGCATGCAAGTTCGAGATTAGGCTGCGCTTTTACCCAGGCCGAATATATGTCCAGAAAATCCCCCCACCAAAATGCCCCGCGGCGCGATGTTTCCACACGAACGGATTCCCCATAGAATGCTCCGCTGCGAATGTCGTCATTGGAGCGCATAGCATTGGTTTCTCGTTTTCTCTGAGGCAGTTATTCCACGATGGACAACTTTATCCGTCGGCAGCACAGCCGCCAATCAACGGCTTTTGGGCACTTGTGGAGGGTGGAGATGGATGCCGATTTCAGCGGAAGAACGAAAAAAGAGTTGCTTATTTTGTTTAAACTCAAAGTAATTTAGATTGATCAGGATCGACTACAGGTCGATCTAGATGGATGAACGGCCGCTAGGTAGATCTGGGTAGTCAGGGTCCTCTGGAGATATTAAAACAATCTATTTTGAGCAATGCTATCTAGCTCGATATCGATATCAATCTGTTAGAGTAAGATGCTTTACCTATAGGTTACGGCATTATCAGGTCGTGTCACGTTAGTAATAGCGATTGCCTTCATGCAGCTACCCCGCCAAATCTCTACAGGTATGAGACATTCTTCTGGTCTCCCTGCTTAGAGTTTGCATGTAATGTCCATTTCTTATCCGCACCTTGCGCTCTCGTTTTGCTGGTTTGCTTGGACCTGATGGCTTCGATATCCACCTACCGAGACGCCCTGGCTGAGCTGCGTCTCTGTCTCGATAAACCTGAGGAAAGCTTTCAAGTCAACGGACAGGCTATGTGTGGTAATCAGGACCTACATGAAGATCGCTAGGATACTCTTGCAGTGGGGTTTGTCGGCTTCTGGAATCTGCCTCCAGCGAGGCATCTGCTTCGCCCGTCCCCTCCAATGCCTTTAATACTTGTACAGAGTTCCGCTCGTCCTGTCTTGTTAGACCTCATTATTGTGTTGTACGATCTTAATCAAGCTAGGTATGTAAGAAACAATCATCCCATTCATCATTCGAAGTAAAGACAAGAAACAAGCCTTGTTTTCAAATAGAGCATGTGTTTAAATGATGAAAAACAGTCGCTTAGAACTCGATTCTTAAGCGCTTTGCGAAACAAGATGGCCTTTGTAATGGCCGCTGCCTGGGCTCAACACCCCTGCAACCATCATCCAGGCCCTCTCAAGAATGCCTTGTAAGCCTCACACGCCATTCTCGAGTTGCGAGCCACCCACACCACTGTCGCAATGGCATCTCGGCTGGGGCTGTACAATAAATACAAGAATAAAACACACTCGCATCCGCCAACAATTTTACGCTGTAGATGTCTAATCTCTACAATTTTTTTTTTTTTTGCTTTTTTATAAGTGCATCACACCAGCTATTTATATAAGAGAATAGACATCCATGGATTCTAAACGGCCGCGCGAAGACGATGGAGGCCCCGAACCAGTAAACGGAAATAAGCGCCAGAGAGCCAGCAGCCAAGGTTTAGACGAACTTTGCCAAGAATGCAAGCTTCTCGACATCAGCAACAGCTTCGTGAAAGCTTCCGATGCCTTCAAACGAGCCAGGAAGGGCATAGTCAAGCGCCCTTCCAAGCTATTCCACGGCCGCACGGGCGGTCCTCTATTCTATGGAGATGCGTTCTTTGCGCATTCGTTCGGAAAGCGCCTATCAAGAGATGCGGCATGCCCTCTCTGTCGTTTCTTCTGGTCGATGCGCATACAGGCGGACAAGCGCCATGAGAGTTATAAACTCCTTGCCTTTTGCAGCAGCGAAAGCTGGATGTTTGGTCTCTCGGGATTGAAGAATAGCCCTGCTTGGCATCATGCCCGAGATACGGTGTGGATGAGCGTCGTGCCGGATATACCGTCGATACCGCAGTCAGGCCATGATGAGCACTGGCTCGACGGAGACATTCCGGCTGTTGGGCCCATCTACCTCTTGCAGCCTCACAAGTCTCATGGAGATAAACCGGCACTACTGGAAGCAAGGCAGCTCAGTGGCGGAGTCGACTTTGCCGCTTTAAAAGAATGGTTCTCCTTTTGTCGGCAGTGGCACTTGAGATCGTGCTGTCGACCAACCAAGGGCGATACAATCACACAGGGATTTCGCGTAATCGATTGTGAAAAAGATCCCCCGGCCGTGGTCTCGATGTCTTGGGGAGTTGAATATGCAGCGCTTAGCTATGTTTGGGGCCAGCGACAAGAGGACTTGGTGGACTGGCCTGCAACTGTCCTTGATGCCGTTGATGTGTCTCGAAGGCTGGGGTTGCGGTATCTATGGGTTGATAGACTGTGTATCAATCAATCGGACCCGGTGGAGAAGGACTATCTCATCTCTCGAATGACTACGATTTACGAATATGCCGAGCTTACTATTGTTTCGGCATTTGGATCAGGGGCTAGCGATGGCCTTCCGGGTGTTCGGTCAACGCCTCGAAAGAAACAGCCAACCGTTCGATTAGAGAACGGCAGCTTACTAGTCTCTGCGCTTCGAGATCCTCGTCAAGAGATTCTGGCATCTGATTATTGGACAAGGGGGTGGACATACCAAGAAGGAGTCTTGTCAAATAGGCGCCTAGTGTTTACTGAGAATCAAGCCTACTGGGAGTGTCGGTGTATGGCAGCGCAGGAGTCTTTTCAGATACCTCTAGATCTGGTCCATAAAAACCACACTCCTGTGGAGAATAATACCGCCGGCTTGCGTGGAAGAGAAATTCCCCCTCCGATGCCACAGGGACAGCACATGGAGGACTACATGCTGGGTGGCATTTTTAAGAGCGAGTCATCTGGTGGAGACTATTCAGAAAAGTATTACAAAGACGTTATACAAACCGATGAACACAGACTGGAGTATGGCTTTCCCGTCCCAGATGAAGGATATATCAATTCCCAGCTACGAGCACTGGACGACCACATTCGCGCCTTTTCAGCAAGAAAACTAAGTCATGGAGGAGATTCACTAAAGGCCTTTCTTGGCATCATAGGCATGTTCAGAGACAAGAGGCTGCGTATATATCTTGGTATCCCAATGTGGATGGACGATATATTGGTCGACTTGACGGGTGCTTACATCACCTTCGCCCTGTCGGTCTGCTCATGGTATCACCGCAGCGGCGATGAACACCACATGTTTATCGCAGAGCCGTGCGAGCGGAGGACACATCTGCCATCTTGGACTTGGGCAGGATGGCAAGGCACCGTATCATGGCGAGCACCGCCGTCAGACGAGCATAGCGTCTTTATGGGAGACTTGATCACGGCCGAGCCACTTCAAGTTCATTTGGTGTGGGCCGCAGATCTATATCTAAGATCCGCTTGCGAGCCGGTATGCCTGCGACTACTGAATCTGTATTCAGCAGATGTGCTAGAGGCAAAAGTACCTACGCTGTTGGAGATACGCAAGCCACTAGTCTTGAAATACTCGATCCGGCATGAAATCAAGGGAAGCTGGGAATGGAGACGCTTAGCAGGCAGAGCAGGCGAGAAGCGCCGTTACCAAGCCGAGCGACAGGAGTGGGACAAGAAATGGTATCGCATCGCCGGCAGATTGGCATTTGTCAGTATGTCTATCTCTATTAGTGAGGAGGAGTGGACTCGGAAGCATTACACCGGCGAACTTGTCAGCGTGCTCATCTTTACGGCTCAGCGACCTCGCGCAAAGCATGGAAGGGCGAGATTCTTGACGCTGCAGAGGGTTGAGTCTGATTCGTTTGAGAGACGGTGGGAGAGAGTTGGAACTCTGCAGCTGATTATTCCGGAGATGGACCTGGATAGATGCTTCACAAATGAGGAGTTGCTAAGGAGGATTCCGGTGAAAGAGTGGGGAGGTGCAATTGTTGTTCAATAAAAGAAGCATACAGTTACGTTGAGTTAATAACTAACATGGTGAAGAGACCGTTTTGAGCGCGCAGCAGGTGCTTGATGTAGCCTGTAATTGAAAGGGATATTATCTCTTCCACCAAGTACACCGGGTATGTCATATGAAGAAAAATATAATTTGTTGTGAACAGGATATGAACTGGAAGCTTAGAATTTAAGAGACAAGGTAATACCAGTGAATGGTAAAAGCTTTAGAGGGGCAAGGTAGCAATGAGAATAAAGCAGACCATTATCATATATATTGTTTAATTAAATAGATTGAGGCACTGATCAAATCATTCACTCAATCATACTTTGGAAAATTAACAGCGGGAGTGTGATATAAGAGAGAAATCTTGCGCTGGAGAAGTGAGTGACTTATGCAATAGTGACCTAAAGGACAGGCAAAATTGCGAGGTGCTGCTTGTACCTCTGGCATGGTTGATTCTCTAAGTTAAGCAATGCTGAACGTGTGGCAGTGCGTTTTTTCCCCTTCCCTTTCCCCTTCTTTCTTCTTCCTCCTCCTCCTCCTTCTCCTCTCTCCTTCACATCTCCTAGAGACTCCAATTTCGACAATTCTTTTGTGTCAACACCTACTTTCTCGACCACTTCATTTTTAGCTCGAGGAGTTAATCTCTATCCAAGACGAGGCTTAAAAAACTCATTCTTGCTTTCTACTTTTGTTCACCTTCTTGCTCCTCTTTAGACGAGATGAATGAAGCAATTCTTGCCCGAAGTTTCCCCAGTGGGCTCATCGACCTAGAATGGAGACCGTTTGATATATTGGAATCGGCTCAGAAAAGAATCTTTCTACACCGCCAACGCGATCATTTGAAGCAACTCATAGCAGATGGCATCATCATCGTGAAAGAGGGTCACAGTCTCTACATCAACTACCAAGGACTCATCGCCGCTACAGAAGGCGGGCCACTGACAGAGGAAGAACTCAAAAACCCATCCCCTGAGATGACGCTTAGAGCTAGCAACAAGGATAAGACAGACCCAGAGGAATCCCCATTAGCCGCGCATATCATGGAAGATTTGGGGACCGCGCCGCCCCTGAAATGTCGCGCATGGCGGAATATATTCTATACGCTGAATAAAATGCCCTCAAGTCAACGGACCGCCAGAGCACTAGTTGATTTGCTGCAGCCGGCCATCCAGGAGGAAGAAGAGTCTTGGGCAAAGCTAGCTACTATGGGGGAGTCCTTTGACACCGAATCAATCTCATATCTTGATTTCGATAAAGTAAGAGATACCATCTACCATCTCGCAGGGGAGCCGCATGAATGGAATGATCCGACGGTCATCATGTCTGGCGAATGGCTTGACTTGTCAAACATGGTGAAAGCATTGAGCGACATGCATTGTCGGATCGTCATAACGGATATGAGGCACTCAACTTACTATGACGACACTCCAAATCGACTGAGAAAATATAAAACCCTGTGGAAACTCGTCATGAGAGAGTTGCGAAAGAGAAGAATGGGAATCCGGATGCAGGCATATGTAGATGAATTACTTGAGTCATCATCTTTTTACGAGTTCTCATGATTGATATGCTTCTTTTCAAAAGTCTGTGTTATGAGAGGCCATAGTTGCAACAACTGAAGGCGTCGTCACACCTTTCGATGACGATAACGCCGATGGCAGCGCAGGAACAAGCCAAAGCGATCATGAGATTTTCACATCGCGGCTAAATATTCGGAGCTGGGCGGACGGGCTTTTTTCTCTTTTACTAGTTTGCTGGTTTTATCTGGAAATGGCTGGAAGGCACAGTTTTCACTTGTTTTTCTCTCTCGTGGCAACATGCAGAGCCCATCTAGTCTACTATTTCTTTTCTTTCTCTTTCTCTTTTTTTCCCTTTCCGGGAAGCTGGCGCGATACTATTCCGCAAAGGTTTCGAGCTTTCCCACTGTGGGGTTTATAGATGGAGACAATGGATCGGGCCGCAACTTGCTAGGGCCAAAGTCGTCAACAAATTTACGTGCGCAAATCTGAATTTAATATAGCTTGCTATGGGATCTATTTCTTTCATATATGGATATACATATATATACTGAGGGAGCTTCTCTCCATGGAGTTACATAATCACCATGGCGGATATTAAACTCCGCGGATGGAGGAAACGGAGACATGGAAAGTCTTCCTTCAATTGAGAGCGTTCCCACATCCTCAGCCAGTGTGTCACCGTCGCCTCGCTTAACATGGATTATTGCCTTATCGTTCCATGTTTTAGCCAGCTTGTGCATGTATCATCATATCGTGTCTTCTCCCCACAGCTGATCCTGCAGAGATAGTCTGTTTCACTCGATGGGTCTCCTTATTGGCAGGCCCGCATCCGTCGTCGCCGGAGGGCCTGCCTGTGTGATTGTAGGAAACTCACACTGCTGTAACTCTCGATTTGCGACTCGCATCTTGCAGCTCATTGCTGATTAGATTTTTGTTGTCCTATTTAGTTGAGCATTTAGGAAACTAACCGGACTTAACATGGCAGAGTCTCTTCGTGTAAGTGGGTGCCGCAAAGCAACCATCAAATGTCACTTTCCCCACCGTCCGCTGCAACCAGACGCCTAACGCATATAGACAAAAGTACAGCTTCAAACGTTGCTCTCGACGTTGCTTTCAACGCTCGGACCTGAAAAGGTCTTCTTTCCAGGGTCCGACGGCTATACCTCTTCCAATGCTTCATACTATGCGCAGCAAGAGGCCCAGCTCCGACCCGAAGCCGTCATCTCCCCCACATGTGCACAAGACGTTGCTGAGACAGTCCGTCTTCTGGCCAGTGCTCAAGACCAGCATGGCAAGCCAGTCCGGCTTGCTATTCGATCCGGCGGCCATGCCGTCGACGCTGGGGCGGCAAACGTGGACCACGGCGTAACCATCGATCTGAGCCGCCTCAACACAATCGAAGTCAGCGAGGACCGAAAGACGGTATCCGTCGGCACCGGCACAAAATGGGGACAAGTCTACGATAAGCTAGACGCCATCAGCCTCTCCGTCGCCGGTGGCCGGTCCGCCCCGGTGGGCGTGGGCGGCTTGACTATCGGAGGTGGCATCTCGTACTTTTCACCTCGATTCGGATGGACCTGTGACACCGTTACCAGTTTCCAAGTTGTGTTGGCGGACGGATCCATCGTGAATGCCAACGAGACGGAGAACAAAGACATTCTCATCGCCCTGAGAGGCGGAGCCAACAATTTCGGCGTGGTAACACGCATTGACTTTGCTGCCTTCGAGCAGGGCCAACTCTGGGGCGGGTCTCTCTTCCACACCCTCGAGACCATTGACGACAATCTCAAGGCGTTTCAAGATTTCGCCTCAGCTGAAGATTATGACGAATACGCCAGTCTCATCACCAGCTTCGGCTATGCGGCCGGACGAGGCGCCGGCATCGTCAATAGCGTCGAGTATACCAAGCCCGCGGAGAGCCTGCCCGTCTTTGAGCCGTTCCTTCAGATTCCCAACGTGATGAGCACAATGCGGCTGGCTGGCATGGGGGAAATTTCCAGGGAGCAGGCGGCATTTTCTCCATATGGCCTGCGGTAAGTATGAACCATTGGATTGGACTATATACTTAGCCTTTGGGTGATGAAAATTTTCATGTAAGTCGAGCAATTGGCTAACATACCTTATGAATAATAGCCAATTTTCTCTTCATACCACTCACGGTTCCAACTTGGAGGTGCTAAAAACCGTCTACTCTTGCTGGAAGAAAAGCCTCTCCGTCGTCGAAGATGTTGCCAACATCATATGGTCCATCTCCCTCGAGCCTCTACCTCCAATATTCTACAAGAAAGCCGGCACAAACAACAGTCTAGGCCTCTCAGATAGGAACAAGCCCCTTGTCATTACTCTCTTGACGGCCATGTGGACAGACGAGGCAGATGATGCCAAGGTGGAGAAGACAGCTCGCAAGATGCTAGTCGACATTGAAGCAAAGGCAAAAGAGCTTGGGGAGTATGATCCGTTTGTGTACGCCAACTACGCAGCGCCATGGCAGGATCCGATTTCTAGCTATGGGAAAGAGAGCATAGAGAGGTTAAAGAAAGTTCGTGAGAGGGTTGATCCTAAGGGTGTGTTTACACATCGTGTTACGGGGGCGTTCAAGCTTCCGGCTTAAAGATAGAAATGATATAAATTAAAGATGTATGAGTAGTGGTAAACTTTATGATTAATGAATAGCGTGGCAGGGTTTTTTTTCTAAAACAATCAGCCGTCGGCCCAGAAGGAATATGTGCCTAACTCGCTCGGGTATTTAAAAATATCAGCATCACGGCTTCTCTGACTCTCTTACACAATTATACATCTTGGTTTTTCCTTCAAGATGCGGCATAACGTTTGGTCAGCTCAGCCAAGCCTTGCCCCATAGACATTGCGCCATCCTAAAACGAACAATGGTCAGAAATATACCGGCATTCACTACAATATCAAGAAAGTTTAGACTCACCAGTATCCTCCCTGGCAGCCATCGCGATCCAAACCAGACAGCAGTGCTGTTTGCCCCTCTCCATACCACGCCGTTGCGACCTTCTGCCACGATATCCGGAATCATGGCATCGACAACGTCCTGCACCGGTCCGCCTTTCGGACCCGCCTGGCCATTGGCCCACTGGGTGATTGTATCAAGAATGGTGGAGTAGTACGAAGCAGCGGGCAGCTCGGGCGTTGGCTCGTTGGCATGGAACGGCGTGGCCACGGTGCCCAGCATGATGGTCACGACGCTCACGCCAAAGGGAGAAAGCTCCAGCCGCAGGGTCTCGGAGATGGCATTAACGGCGGCCTTGGAAGAAGCGTATGTTCCTGCGCGAAGGGCTGAATTAGCCAAAACTTATGTTGTTTCCTCCCCTTCCCCCCCCCCCCCCCCTTTTTTTTTTTTGCTATATCGTCTTCGAGATATAAAGTGATGAGGTAGTATATGAAAATCAAGCCATGGAATGGAATCATAAGAAATCGAAGCGCTTACCGATCCAGGGAGTGTTAACAACGGCGCCCACAGAGCTCACATTCACAACCCGGCCTTTCCTCTTAATCAACAGCGCCGCAAACGCCTGCACAGTCCTCACCGTCCCCCAGACGTTTGCATTATACAGCTCCTGCGCCTTGTCAATGTCCACATCCAAAATGGGCATCGTGTAGCCGAATCCCGCATTGTTCACCAGCACGTCAAGCCCGTGCCCGGCGTCTTCAACCACCCTTGCAGCCTCCGCCACGGACGCCGTGGATGAGACGTCGAGGCAAAGGACCGACACGTTTGGCAGGCTGCTAAGCTCCGAGGGGATCTTGGATGTGTCCCGCGCGGTGGCAAAGACGTGGTGGCCCTGCTTGGCGAGGGTGAGGGCGAGGACGGCGCCAAGGCCCTGGGCAGAGCAGCCGGTGATGAGGATTGTGCGCTCTTTGGCCATTTTTTTTTTTTAAATTGAGGGTGGATGTTTATGACGATGGGATCTAATGATTTGGTAAGCTGATTAATTAACTAACAAGTTCCCAGCTGTGTATCTGTTGAATGGGAAGAGGGCGGAAACAGTTGCATGCATGCGTTTACACCAGAGGATTGACGTCTTGATCAACTGCGCAGCTACCATGCAGCCCAATCACTTCATCCGTTTGCTGCTGTATCATTAGATGCCTTGCTAGCTATCATCACTGGCTGAGTCTTCTTTTCTTAATCTATTGCGGAAGGCTTTGCGGAGAATGAGAGGGGTTTGACGGGGTTTAGGCTCGCGAAGGATTCAAAGGCTCAAGTTTTATAGCGTAGGATTTCCTAGCTACGTCGCTTAAGCACCCGCTGTCTAATATAGCGGCGCCAACGTACGTGTATGTTATACTGAAGACGATGGTCAAGTCTGTTATGAAAAGCCGATCAAAACGTTAGCTTGACAGGGGCATTTCTTGGTTTCAATATACATGCATGGGCATGCTTCACTTATACAGTATACTCCGTACTATATGTTCATGTATTAATTCATATCATTAGATCACAAATAGTGATAAATCACTGACAAAGTAGAGCTTTCTTTCATAGGTAAGCTACAAGTCTAAACCCTTCTTGTATTTGTCTCTCTCGCATCCTAGGCACACAGATCAACCTCCAGATAAGTAACGCCACGTCACTGATCCGAGCCAAATTAATACCAAAGAAATACATCTCAGACTATACAAGAACAAAGAGCAGTTCAAAAATTAGCTTCATCTTTCCTCCCATGTACCTTTTCAATTTTCAACAAGCAAAACCATACATTCGCTATTTCAAACAACCCTCTCCCCAAAATAAAACAATGCAACACACTCGTTTTCCAGCCCCTCATCACGCACTCTCCTCCGGCCACCGCACAATAAACCCCTTGACCGTCTTCTGAACGTCCAAATCACCCGGGTCGTTCTCGAAAAGCGGCTTCTCCAGCTTCTTCTCCAGCACCTGCTCCACCTCAAAGCCCGCCTCCCGCGCCACGTCGAAGAAGCCCATGTCCAGATCCTTCTTCCAGGGCCGGTACGAGGTGAAGAAGACGTATGCCGCGCTCTCCCGGGAGCGCCTCATCGTCTCCCTGATGGTCTTGACCAGGGCGCCATGCTCCGAGTGCCGGAAGAGCAAATCCGCGAGAATCAAAACGTCGAACCGCTCTTCTTCTTGATTCGAGCCGTTTTCTGATGAAAGACAAGCAAGGAGGGGCACGGCATCTCCGCCCCAGACAAACCCAACGGCATCAATAGTCTTCGCGATATGGCCCTTCGGCTCCGTAGTCTCATCACAGGCATCGATATTCTTCTGCATGTTCATGACAATATCCGGATCGGGGAAATCCGTCATGACGACCTTCTTGGCGCCATAGATGCCCGCCACAAGCGAAGGCAGTCCTGACGCCGCGCCGAGCTCCAGCACCGTCTTATGCTGCACCCGCGAAGGATCCTCCTCAAAGTAATCTGCTATAATCTTTGCGCCGTTCCATAAGTGATGAGCCTCTGTAGGGCTGTGGCCGACCAAGTTTAAGACAACCTGCTTGCCGCTTCCCAGGGTGAAAATTTGCTGCGTGGGAGGAGGCGTTGAGGGATAATAGTCTTCGGGGTCATCCATCAGACCACCAGTGCCATAGCTGTCGTCTTCTTCCATGATGGCTGCTAAGAGGATAAGATGAGAGAGAGCGAGTTCTAACAATATCCAGATTCAACTTCAAATTCTGCCGCTGCACTGTGAACAACCCGGAATATGCCTCTCCTTCCAAGGTGACTCTAGGACTCTGCTTATGCTCTTCAAAATAATCCAGGTATCAGATCTTAAAATCCACAGTTTGTGTAATGATTCGATTTATGCGACGATTGACTTATCGATTTCCAGATTTGCTAGACTAGATCCAAGCCCGTCACTCAATTTTTTTGGTGGTAGTGGGCCTCACAGTGTGAAACTCCATTTCGAGACTCATCAAGACTCAGGCCAACATTAGTGCGGTAATCGATGAGGATAAGATCGCGATAATGAAACAATGGACTCAAGAGGTTTTTCATGGTAATTAGTCGTTGGTGTTGCATCCATTGCGGTGCCATATCCAAATTAGATGAAACAGTAATGCAGAGAAAGCGTGTGTGCCAGAAATCAAGCAAATCAGTAGCAGCGCTTATCATCATGAGCCTCCAAATCGCTGTCTGGCCAACTCCCTCAACATACTCACCGTCCGATCCTCCCTCTCCTGCCACGCCCTCCTCTTCTCCTCAATCTCCTCCCTCTTTGCCCTCTCAATCTCCTCCCGCCGAATCTCCCTCTCCGACTTGCGCCGCTGCTCCTTCTCCTTGGCCTTCTTATACTCCTCCAAGCTGTCCCCTCCTCCCATCAGCTCGCTGTCGCGCACCTCTCCGCCGGGGCTCTTGTCCCGGAACTGCCGCATCTTGTCGTTGACCTCCTGTCGCTTTTCCAGCTTGCGCTCACGAGTGCCCGCCTCGGCGCGGGGGACCAGCTCTTCCAGGCGCTCCTTTTGGAGTTTGCGATCCGCTTTGCGCGCGGCGCGCAGCTCTTCCCGATCAGCCTCGCGAGACTCTTCAACAAGTTCGTCACGGAGAGCGAGATCTTGCTTGTTGGGAATCGCAGCACCGGCTCGGCGATCGCTCGGCGCTGCTCCGGGAAGAACAGGGCCATAATCCATCTCCTCATCCTCATCCTCGCTAGCATTGCGATCATGGTATCTTGCTTCAGGCGGCTCTTCATACGGTGATTCCGATTGCTGTCGACGGTGCTGCTGCTGCTGTTGTTGTTGTTGTTGCCTCTGCCGCGGCGGCGGACCACGCTCAAGTATACGCTGAAACATCTCCGGGTCATACCACCCTTCCGCCAGCTCACCCCGATTCCACTTGCCCACAAAGCTCTTCCACCGCCCCTTTATCTCCCGCTCGTCCATCTCTTCAATATCCTTCTGCTTCTGCAAATCCAAGTACTCGGCAAACAGCGGCTCAAAGCCCTTCAAGTCATCCTTGGAAAGGTGTCTCGCCCCATAGGGCAATTCTGCAGCCACGCGACTCGGCTGCTTCTCCACGCGACTTGACGATGAGCCATGATGATAATGACGATGTCTCTCAGATGAGCGTGGCCTTTTCGATTCCCTCTCTCTCCGTCCAGACGGCGACCCTCTCCTCTTGCGATCCTCCGGGTGTCTGTGCCCACTTCGGTCGGGCGATAGGGATCTGTCGTCACGACGGCGTCGCGAGCTGCCTTCTTGATGAGAAGAGCGTGCGTGCGAATCATGTCCGACGCGTGCTGAATGCCTGGGCTCTCTTGAAGACTGAGGCATCTTATGATTAAAAGCTTTGAAAAAAAAAATCGAAAGCGTACAAAACTCTTTACCGATCAAAACCAAGTCTCCGCTAAATGGCGATATAAGATGCGAATAACGATGTAAAAGTTACAATGAGGCCTAGTCATGTAGGACATCTCCTAGACACTTAGACACAGTGCGCCCCGCAATTTCGATATCTGATTCTCTCTATAGCCCCCCCCCCCTTTAACATACTACATACAGTGTTCTCGCAGTTCTATGCAGAAACAGGATATTCAACGTCACGCTGGGTATAAAGCCATTATGAAATAGTATAATTATATATGAGAGTAATCTCGCATGTATAGAGATGAGATATTCGAGCTAAGCGTTTGATCAACATCTGCCATGGCAGTCGCGCATCACTAAAGGTGCTTCTAAAGGCTGCCTTCTATGAATTATTCCACCATATCGGGTATCTATAAAGCAAAAGCAAAATTATAATCCGTCTGCAGAGTGGAAGTCCTCGGCAGAGCCTTTTATCCATATAATTCTTCCAACTAGTCGTCTTTCCGGTCCTGAAACGTTATGTATATCGTCTCTTATAACGTCGTTTTTGTTCCCTATACCATCACTTCGTATATCGTCGCCCTTTACACCGTCGTCTGCTATTATTGTCGTTTTCTTAGATTATAGATCTTGATTCTTTTTTTTTTATTTCAATGGCCTTGCTGGACAGTGACATGGATGGCACAGCCAATGCACTGGCAACCATCCCCGCAAGGACAGTTGGCCATCTCTCCTTCGCAAATGTCGCCAAACGGATAGCTGACAAAGAAAAAGTCATTTGCCGACAAGGTCAACTCTTCTCCGAGAGTCGAGGTGGCGTCTGATGGCGTCTGCGCCGTCGTGGGTGAGGCAGTCTCTTCCATCTTTGCCATGACGGGCGTCGAGCCGCCAATCGGTGATTGGTTCGAGGGCGTGGGCATCTCGTAGCTGCCGTTTATGCTTGGGGTACTGACACTATCGGAATGTCTGTGGCGCTTGGGCGAATCCTCCGTCATGCTATTCCAGGCAGATCGAACGTAGTTCTGCGTTGCTGTGTTATACGGGTGTGTGGCACAGCCAATACACTGGCAGCCATCCCCGCAGCTGCAGTGATGAGCTGTCCATGTCGAATCTGCTTCTGAGCTGCTGGTCTGCGGAAATTGCTGCGCTGGGGCGGATGCTGGGGCGGGTGCGCTGTACGGAATATTCTGTTGCACGTTTGTCGGTTGCTGCTGTCCAATGCTCAGTGCCGTCATCAGCTGTCTCCACTGATCTGGCTGGAGCGGTTGCATATAGGAGCCGTACTGTGGCGGATATGCGAATATGGCAGGCTGGGCAAAGTAGGGATACATGCCATTTGGCATACCAATCGGCATATTAGTAAACTGCGGCATCATCATGCCGTTGGCCTGAGGAGCCATTGCTGGCGTAGGCATGCGTTCTTGAGGCTTCGACTCCGATTTTTCTGCTCGGGATGAGCAGCAGCTCTTGGGCTGGTTTTCGACACCATTTGTTCCGTTCGCTTTAGGCGCATGCTGTTCATTCGGCTGCGCCAAGGTCGACTTCGCAGGGCCACAGCAACTCTTAGCTGCAACGACCGCGCCTTGTCCATTCACGAGAGGGTGGCCATTCGGTGCCATCGGTTTGGTCGCCATGTGGCCAGCCGTTGGATTTGCCGATGCCAGTTGCTGATATAGAGGAAACACGGTCGGGTTAGGGTTGAAGGCGTTGCCGTTGGGGAGAAAGCCCATCATTCCGTAGCTGGGGAAGGCAGTAATGGGCGTCGTAGGCATGGCGCCATTGGTCGGCGTTGTTGGTGATTTCAGTTCAGGGGAAGAGAGTATGTTCAACTGGTTCACATCCATTCTTTCGAGGTTGGCCGGATCGATCTGCTTTTTAGCCGGTCCATTCTTCGAATTGGCCTTTTGTACGCGGTATGCCGGTGCAGCAGAGGTTCCCTTTGGTGCCGGGCTCGGGGGCGTCACCATTCCATTAGACGCCTCCCGGTCCGCAGTCTCGGCCGCCTTGCGGCCAGCTGCCTCCTCCGCGGTGCCGCAGGGGCACTTGTGACTCTTGGGTATGGCAGCCATGAGGGCAGCACAGGTGCATGGCTTGGATGCGGGATGCGGACACGAGCTGAGTGGCCGTCCCGGCTTGCGCACGGGGACCATGAGCCGTTCATTGGCGTGAGTGCATTTGGTGGAGCGATGGCCTCGGATGCACGGCTCACTGTACAATGGTCAGCGACGAACAAAGAAGTAGAGCTCCAATGGTAATCAGTCGAAGCAAAGCACTTACCAGGCCATCTTGACGCCGTTTATCAGAGGCATGGTGGGAGTGATGCCGGAGTTGTGTGTAGAGAAGGATCAAAATCTCAGATCAAAGGTGCAAGTCAGCCAATGCCAAGCGCAGCACCCGGCGGCAGCGTATCCGATCGCACCCGGCGTCGGATAGAATCCCGTAGAGGTCGCAAACAGCGCGCTTCAGCGCTTCGAAATAATGACAGCAGTAATGATAACTGTAAGTCAATCGCAGAAGAGGAAAATTAAAGCAGCATGGAAATTTCGAATTGATTTGCAACAGTCGTAGGTCGAGAGAGGGGGGGGCTAATGCTCCGCCCGTCAAAAACAGGGTGTTTCAGCTCGACGTCGCGGTAGAGAAGGCTGAAACTGAAATACGACAATCCCCCTCCGGCGGTTGGTGCAGCAATTGGTGGGGAGGCAGAGAGAGATTCGATGCAAGGCCAAGGGGAGGAGAAGGATCCTTTTTCGATTTCAACCAACGACGGCCGTCGAGGCTGGGGGAGCAAAATATGCAGCACTTTTCGGCGATTTGAGGGGTGCAAAAGAGCGAGCAAAACCCGGGTGGTAAAATCCAAAGCTGGTTGCGGAGACCGTCGCTTCTAGCAATTCATCTTATGCGACTGGACTCTTGTCTCTGATGGCTTCGGCGAACATCCAATCGTTCAATCTTCAGAATCCGCAGACGAGGATGTAAAGAGCAAAGTTGAGAGACACCACCCCCCGTTAGTCGATCCCATGAAAAAAAAAAAAAGGGACCCTTCTACGGCGGCGTCAAAGCTGCGCAGAGGGCTTAGCGGGCCTTTAGGAACCTGTGACTTTTGTTTCATTTTCCCATTGCCGCGTGCGGGGGTTCGGCCATTGCAGGGGAGCCTAGCAGTTGCCCTACAGTGATAGCGGACGGCATTAGTGAGCAGCCACCGCTAGCGACCGAGGTTTGCAGAAGCCTGTGCGCGCTAACATGGGGAATGAAACATTCCAGCATCAAACGAAACATTTCACCATGCCAGCCTTGGCTCCGTGGCCACGAGGTTTTTTCTAAAACGAACAGGCTATTAGGGGCCAGACTGGAAAGGACTGCTTCCGGCGTCTTGCTATGCTGCACCAACACAGGCAGTGGATGCCATCATAAACTGCACAAAGCAAAAGCTTGGACATTGTCAAGCCACCCTCATATTCGCCTCACTCACAGCACCATCCACGCGCCGTAACCGCCAACAATGGCACCATCCTTATTGTGGCGCATCAATGTCTTGAGCCCCTCCCCAGCTATTTACTAATAACGGCATGGATTGAATAAGTAAACTAGGAGTGCTAGTTATGTATGCCGGAAAGCCAAAAGGAAATCTCCAGCTTGGCGGCTATTAGTATACTCATTAGTGTACCCGATAGCCACAGTATTAGTCAATGTCATCGCCGGCCCCAGGCCGTTCCGGATGGCGGAATCAATCAACACAGCAGTGCATGCATAGAGACAGCCCGTCAGTACCTTTGTAGCAGGTAATTGTATGTCATCCAAGGTCACATCCTGCAGCCAACAATCTCTCCCTCTCCCTACCTAAACAAGCAAGAAAAGGGCCGCTCGCCCTGCCCTCGCCGGCCCCAAAATACCACGCAGACGCTGCCGCCGTCGCCGAGGCCAGCCCCATCCAGTCCGCTCCCGAGTCCCGAGACGCTTCGGAGCCGTGCGACTCTGGATATTTGCCAAACAGCCGGAGGGGAGCGTCTACGAAGTACCTGCAGGGCATCGGCAGCCGTGGACAGGAGCAGAGGCACAGGCCGGGCGCTGACTGAATCGCTCATCTTGCCATCATCGATCCGCCCAGCAAAGCAAAGCTCAGACGGGAAGCATGAATCTCACCACCACACAGACGCTTTTTTATTTTTAATCCATGCCAACGTTCATCCGTCCCGCACCTTGATGAGCAAGTTTCTATTGGCTGCCCAGCTGCACCCGCCCCCGTCTAACACGGCCGGCCTGCCTACTACCTATATCTAGCAATGCCCAAAAACTCCGTGTGCTTTTCTCACCCTTGGCACGCGCGTGCTCTCCCTCTCCGTCGGGGAGATCATTCTCTGCCTTGTGCCCTCTCTATCATTATTACTAATGCTGAGTCGCGACGGCTATTCCATCATCTATCTTCATTCCCATGGATATTCATATACACTAGTACTCCATAGTTCTCAAGTCAAAGCTTCAAACGATTCCTAATGAGCTCTAGTATAAGGCAGTGAGCGGGTATCGATCGCCATTAGAAGCGCTCCATAGGCTATTCATCCAGAGGTGGAAAAAAAAAAAAAAAAAAAAAAAGAAGTATTATCAGTCATCATAGACACAATCATGAGGGGCTACAGTTACTAATTATTCCGCTGCTAATACCGCATTATGTCTTGCTCTCTACTTATGGTTATTAAAATGTTTCATATCATATTATTTCCTTACTCTGCATCATATGGGTACACCGTATGCAGTAGCAGTACCTAGTAGTGCCATATGTAAAATCATACTCCACGCCATCCCAAAAATTATAGCAAATACTGCTGCTCAGCAGCCCCAAACTAATTTCCATCTGAGTTGTCAGAATCGGCAAACATATCAGCCGCTCGCATTCGTCTCTTCGGCTGGCCACGGCCCGCTGGATGCGATTCTGCGTCGTTTGTTGTATCCGTAGTAGCTTGAACATCGTCTACCCCTTGTTGTCCGGCATTGCCATCCTTGACCTCATCTTCATCCTCATCCTCGTCCATAGGTTCGCCATCTACGTCATCATCATCTTCAATTGGCTCTCCATCCAGGTCGTCCTCTGCGAGAGGTTCGCCGTCGAGATCATCTTCTTCAATAGGCTCTCCCGTTGCTTCTTCCTCTTCCTGTAACGGCTCTCCGATTACATCGCCCTCCTTAGCCGAGGTATTATCGGCAGCAGCCTCAGACATTGCAGTTGTAGAATTGGCTTCGACGACTTTCCATTTTCCTTTCTTGGCAGATTCATCCACCTTGTCTTGTACCTTCAAAGATGGCGGGTTTTCAAACGCGCTCACAAACAGCGCATGGCTTTCTACCGGAAAGACGCACCACCCTTCCCACAGGTTCAGAACAAGAGTAACACTTCGCTTCCACTTTTCTGCACGCAGTCGACCCCAGCCCTGCTTTTCCGCCATCAACCCTAGGCGCTCAAACACCTTTCTGTTACGCAGTGCCGTCTCGAGGAGTTGCCGGTAACGCCACGCGTGTCGAACGCTACTCGTAGAGGACGATGACAAAATATCGCTGACAACATATAAGCCGACCAAGGTAGCCGCGCTAGCATCCGTATTTTCATTTGTCGTGCTTTCCTCTACTCCTGCTGCTTGTTGCTGTCCTTTACCATCCTTGCCCTTCTCAGCGTCGGTAATGGCCAAGGCTAGAGGCTGTTCAACATTTGAGACAATCAAGTCCACAACTTCGTCAGCGCCACGGCTAACGTGGGTGATGGCAAAGGCCGTTACCCGCGCGATATCCCCCTTGCGCACTTTTCCAATGGTAGTAGGCAAGCGAGATAGAAGATGTACTAGTTTGGCCTTTTCCAGTGGATTAAGAAACGCCTTGCCCTCATCACCAGCCGGACCACCCTCGCGATTCGCATCTCCATCAAAGTCTTCATCTTCTGAAGAATCATACTCCGAATCTGAAACGAACTCATCCAGCTTAGTAGTGTACTCGAAACGAAGACCTGTTTCGGGGGTTTTCCACGCATGGCCTCCTTCAAATAGCGGAATGAATTTGCCCTTTTTCCTCTGCTGTAAATGTGATCCAGTAATCACTCCCCAAAGCATCCATCGATACCAAATACCGCCTTGACTCCTTGCGTCCCATATCCAAGCCCATTTTTCTTCTCGTTGCACGGATGCCCGTGACATAAGTAAAGCTTCAAAATCGGGGCCATGCTCAAGGACACCTTCAATGACCTTGTTGATTAATCGAATCATTCGAATGTCTGAAGGCGGTTTGACCGGTACGTGTAATAGAGAGGACCGGTTTACAGAACCAGGCCCGTGAGAGTACGAAGTTGGTGGAGCAAATCCTCGCTGGAATCCATGGCGTGAATGCTCGCTATGCCCACCCGCAGACTCTTGTTCCACCGGTTTCGCTCCAAAAGGCTGGGATGCCGAAGAGGAAGAAGCCAGGCCCGATAACGCGGAGTTGCTGACAGCTGAGGAAAGATGGCGATGAAGAGATAAGTAGTAACCGTATCCCATGTACCTATTCTGCAATGTGCTTACTGCAGCATCCATATCAGTGGCAGGCGTCTCTTTAGACAATGTCACAATGGCAACCGTGCATTTCCTCTCGGTTCCCCCAGGGCCAGCTGGAGGCTGTATCTTAACATTCTCGACCGTAAGATTGGCAGGTAGTAGCGACTTAATCGTCGCAGGGGATATTCCCGGAGGAAGATTCGATAGCCGAAGAGTTGGCCTAGCTATAGCCTTCTCTTCGGCGCGGTCAACCATCTCCTCGTCGTCGCTCTGGTCCTCGAATTGTAGCGTCGCTCTACCCTCCGGCTCCTTGGAGAAATCCTTGAACGAGCGCTTCTTAGCAAACGGCATGGGCGGCATCCCCAAACTCCCCGGCCCGCTCTTCATTCCCGAAGATGTGCCAAAGTGTCGTCGCGAAGCTCCTCCAGGCCCAGAGGGCGGCGGACCGCCGAGGTTGCCAAATCCAGGTCGGCGGTTCTGCTGCGGCGCGGCGTTGCGTTCCGTGTCATCGTCGCCATCGTGATCGAAGCTCTTAATAAAATCTTCGTAAACGGCTGCGGTCTCTGCTGCTTCTCGTTTGCGCTTGGCTTCAGCTTCGGCCTTTTGCTTCTCGAACACGGACGGCTTGGTAGTTTTTTGGAATTTGGACTCCATTCGAGAGGCGTCGGCGGGATTCTTAGAGGATGACATGGCGCGTCGATATTACGAGGGCTTTGGGGAAGAATGTTAGTCCATCATGGCAGACATCAAGGTCGAATGAAAGCCTGGCTCAGCGGTGCGAGGCAGCTGAATGGTAGCAACCAGAGCGTAACATCAAAGTCGTGCAGGTGCGTGTTAGGCCAACGGCGTGCCATATCGGGCTATCGATAAGTCGAAGCACCCATCACTCTCATAAATAAGCCCCGATAATAGCATAATCTACTCTCGGCCAATCTGGGAGAAGCAAGCTTCGTGAATTACACACTCGGACACCAAAATTAACAAAAACCAAACAATTTCGTCTTCAGCACACACACACGCGCACACAATCTTGTTTACTAACCATCTCTTCTCTTCCTTACCCTACATACTCGCACAAAACACTCATCACTAACAGCAAAGCCCCGGACGTACCGGATGGCGTCACATCACATGGCTGGCTGCTCATCTACCCTTACTTAATTCCTCTCGCAATATCAACCCTGGACTTCCTCCCCTGCTCCCGTCCATCGTCACCAGCCCCTTGAACCTCCCGTCAATTTCTCTGCCCGCGTCCTCTGCTGCCTCCTTCTTCCACTTCCACTTCTCGCCAAGCCTTCCGCCTTTCCCTGCCATGCAGTCCAGCAGCTTCTCGCCCAGCACCGGCAAGAACTTGTATCCATGCCCGCTGTCGCCTGTCGCCACAAACAGCCCTTCCCAGCCCGGATGCCAGTCCGCCAGGAAGTCGCCGTCGCTGGTGTCCGAGTACCAGCATAGTCTCGTTTCCTTCCACGGCCGGTCTTCGAGGCCTTTGATGGGCGACAGGTCTCTCAGGGCCTGGCGCAGTGCCTGATCCGCATCCGGTGGCAGCACGTTGGCGCTACTGCTTCCCCCTTCACGCTTTGTTAGCGGCCTCGACACCACGATTGGCTTGCGCTCTTCCGAGGGCGAAGGCGGTAGCGCCCTTTCGACCAGCACTGGGTTGAGGTATCCAAACGAATGTCTCGCAACTTTCAAAACGCGAGTCTGCGGTGGAATGATGAAGAAGCCGGTGCTGAGGTTCAGTGCCACAGGCTGCTTGGCCAACACTTCAAATTCCTCCTGTGAGACATCGATATAGCCCAAGGGCTGTGCGGTGGCCTCTACTCGTCCTCTCAAGTCAATCAAGCTGCCAGTCCATGCGCCTGCAGCAACAAAGACAACCTCTGCCGTCACGACTTGACTGTCGCCCAGCCGTGCGCCAACAACTCTCTTGCCCTCGGTAACGAGTTCCTCTACTCGTCCATCCACAAACTTGACTCTGCCTGTGGCTTCGACCTGGCCATGCATCCATCTCATGCCTTCGCCGGCATTTGCCCATCCCGAGAGCCCGTTCACATACCCCCAATCACCAGGATGGCCTTCAACGCCTAAGAAGTCTTGCAGAGCTTTGGCAGTTTCCATATGTCGAACTTTATGGGCCAACCCGCTCTTCTTGGCAATATTCATTGCGTTCTCCCAGCTGGATTTGGTATATCCCATGCCCGACATCTTTGGCTCCGTCGATTCATTCGCTGCGAGGAACAATCCAGACTCGTTATATCGTCCTTGACCACCGAGTTCATCATCGCCCTGCTTGCGCCACTCCTCTTGCGCGAGGGCCGCCAGCTCAGCGTAATCTGGGTCTGCATAATCGGCTCGGATGATTCTCGATGAGTCTACGCTAGCAGCATCTCCTGGTGGGAAAGTGCCTCCACGTACATCGTCTACTATGGTGATGGTGGTCTTATCATAAGACGGCCTCTTGGTCAGCGCCCAGGCCGTGGATAGAGCATACACGCCGGAACCGACGATGAGGATAGATCGAGGAGGGGTATTCATGTTTGCCATTTGAGGGTTGAGCGGCCGGGATATGCGTGTCTGCGTTTGCGCAAGTTCAGCCCTTTCAACTCATATTTATTGCCAGTCACGCATACTATCGGCTACCTCGTCGTTGCTGGAAGTCTATACAACGCTTGTCTAATGAGGGGCTCAGCCGTGGGGACATCCGACGATCGGGAGCGGCTTACCAAGCCTGGCTACTGAGCAGTACATGCAACAGCCATCGGCGCACGAAGACGTACATCGACTCCCCACAAAAAAGGACAATGAAGAGAACTACATAGAATCACATCGACACACAAATGCGGGTGAGATCAGGCCACAGCCATTATTAGAGGACAGAATCAGGCATTCTTCTGATAATGCTAACTGCAAAAGACCATGGGCTTTTGTAACAGTTACGCCCTATGCTAAGGCCAAAAGGCGCATGTGCTAATCATATCTCGTCCCTCGCAGGGCGTAAGACGTCCTCATAAGTTGCCCAGCCTCCATGACGCGGTCATGGAAAACTGTTTATTTTCATCACCAGCCAGCCCAATCAACACCTTTGGCTGCTCCAACTGATCAGCAACGTTCTTTCGATCCACTTTCAACTTGACTTATTTCCCCTTGGAAAGCATTAAAAAGGGCCGTAAAAGACTGACATAGCAGTCTGATAACGAGCCACGAGCAATCTATGTTGTGTCGCGGGATGGGTAGTCTTTGTTCTTTTTTGCCGTGAACCAGATCCATCGTAAGAGAAAAAAAAACGCAAAAGAACCTCTTCCTGGCCTTCCACCCCTTTGCCAACGCCAATGCAATGCAAGCAGAAATCAAATGGTACAAGCGGGCACCCCACTGAGGAACTTGGCCGTGTCCTACCAAGCCCCAGGGGCAAACGACGTCCTATGGAGTAGTCGTGGTATCATGACCTATAAAAAGGTCTAGTCATATACGTCGGTTTTTTTAGGGTAATTAGATAAAGTAGTGGTACACGAGATATAAATCTCTTGACCATACCCAGAAGTGCATTTAGACTTTCCGGAAATCTAATGATACATGAGTTAGCAACCGCAATGTCATTGTATAGTACTGGTTGTAGCGTAAACAAACCTTGAAGCACAGGGTAGATCATCTCGAAGGCCTGGTAAATCTCTTCTCTCACTTTGGCACCTGTCAAGACAATCTTGCCAGATACGAATATGAGCAACACAATCTTAGGCTTGATCATGCGATAAATCAGACCGGGGAACAACTCAGGCTCGTAGGAGCTAAAGTTGTGGTGACGAGAAGCAAGACCTTCGAGACGGATCGGAAACTTGATGTCGCAGGAGCCGACAATGTTCTGGATCTTGAAATCCGTGAACTTGGCGTTGAAGCCGAGTTTCTGGATGATACGGGCATATTTGCGAGAGGCCAGCTTGGAATCGTCTTCAGACTTGGCGCCAGTAACAACCATCTTGCCGGACGCGAAGATGAGGGCCGTTGTCTTGGGCTCACGAATACGCATGATGACGGCGGCAAAACGCTGCACGTTGCTTGTTAGCACTGATACATGACCAGTAACCAATTCCCCCTTGAGTTGCCATTCAAGTATTCACCTTTGGGTTGTATTCGGCGTTTCTTGCGTGCAGAGCGATCGTCTTCAAGTCCAATCGACAGTCGAGGTTGACGGTAGCCACGATGTTCCTTTGATTGGGAGATAAGTCTCAAAGAGCACAGCTGAAGGCACTCAAGTGTATACATACTGCAGAGTGGGCGTAATGCCACTGGGGCCTTGGGAGGCTGCAGGCGTTGCGGCGGGAGTTGCAGGAGTCACCCCGTTCCCATTTGCAGCCTGCTGACCATTGGGAGCCATCCGCTGGCTGCCATCACCGTTTGTTAAGGGAGGTGTGAGCTCGTTTGATGCACCGGGGAACGACAGCGAGCCAGGAGCGGTAAAGGCCTTGGCCTGGGCGGCGTTGGCCGGGTGCGTTTGAATGCCCTCCATGATCGGGATTGTAGATCAGATAACCGAAGTCTGCGGCGAGGTAGAACTGAGCAGATCTGATCAGAAGAAACAATTAAGGTTAGCCACTTGCATATCCTGATGGCTAATGATGCATCGAGATAACCCAACGGATGGATAAGAGTGAAAAGCAGGGGTACTGAAACTGCTGATTGGCACAATAGCAAATTATTGTGCTGCACAGGCAGAATGGGGGGATGAAAAGAGGAAGTTGAATGGGCAGAAAAGAAATCGGGCTTTTGTTATGATGTGGCTGTTGCACTGCCAGTTGGCAACACGTGTTTGCCACAGCAGCGCGATGCGGTGAATTGGTATGGGAGAACTCAGAAAAGTTGCCACCTACCTAATGCGGGAGATGAACAAGTGAATGTCTCCCCTACAGAAATACTGCTCAAGCAGATATTGGAGTTCTTGCGAATGCTGGATGCAAACCGCAAAATGGGTAGAATGTGTGAGAGAATGGAGGTCGAGTCTATAAAAAAAGGCGTTCGTCCAACGGGGCAAAGACTCAAAAAGGCCTTTGTCTTCACTTCAAAGCAATTTTTTTGAGGGTTATTTCTTTTTTAAATTGCGTTCTACAGAACGAGGCAACGACTCGATGGGCGACGACGACGGGCAGTACTTTGTATCGCTTGAGAAGTCTTCGTCGGCGAGATCGATTGCACCCGTGAATTAATAAATGAGGGAGCGACGGCGTAAGGAACGTGTTCCAGTTCTCTGTTATTGCCTGATCGCAGGGACGTCGACGCCGAGCGACCTAAAAAAAAAAATAGAGCAGGCTTGCTTCTTTCTTCTTCTGCTCCGAATCTCCTGACGCTTCGATTAGGGAGAGGCTGTTCAAAGAACGGGTCTTGCAGATGCGGCGATGGGGCGCGGGCGTCTGAGGCGTCCGATGAAGGAAGAGAGCGTGAGTAGAGCGTAGAGGAAAAAAAAAAAAGTGACAAGCGTAGCCTTGGAGGTTGCAAAGTGGGGCGTGACGTCGTTGGAGGGGGAGAAAATATTAATGAGAGCGCCGAACGTATATGGGAGGTACGCAGGGCCGCCGGTCGGGACTTCCTCGCAAGAACAACAAAAAACAGCGGATGGGGGAGGGCTGGGTACTTATAATTCTCGCTCCGGAAGGCCCAGGCAGGGCTCCCAGGCAACAACACCACCTGTGGCGTCGCTTTTGGCAGACCCGAGCTCAGCGTAGCGTGTGCACTAGCCGCGGGTGCAGCCAATCAGCACCGCGCGCCACTGAGCTTTTATCTCCTTTGCCCACCACAGGCTCACAAGGCCCCCTGAAGTATCGCGGTAGCATGCAGAACCTCGCGGTACCAGCGCTGTGGCACCAGGAATAACGGGGGTACAGCGCAGGCGGCAGGGGGGCTGAGCTGGCGGTCACGGTGCTGCAGCAGACCCGGGGCTTTTCTGAGGCCCAGCAAACACACCTTTTTGAGCGCTCTCACTTCGCTTTCACTTCCCTTTCCTTTCTTCATTTCTTCCTCTTCCTTCTGGCTGCATCCCAACGTGCAGGCACAGCTGCAGTTTTCTGGCTGGTTCTTGACTTGCCCTCATTTCATTTGCTCGCCTGCAATCCACGACAGCGTCGGCGCTTCACCACCACTCGCGCAACCATGCGTGCCGCAGCTGCACGACCCGTGGACGAGAAGCCAGCTGCCCGCTGGTGAGAGAGACAGCTCAGAGTGAGCCATTCGGAGCCCCGTCCGCTGCTTCTGGCCGCTCAGTCTGTCGCAACGCCGCCCTTCCGCTAAGAACAGCGTCGATTTTTGCGCGGATGGCGAATATCGGGATGACGGGGAAATTCGCTTGCCTCTCCTGCTGTCTGTTGCTGGGGCGAGCGACCATCGAATCAGCCCCAGGCAGGTTGGACGGGGCTGGTGGTGGATCCCACGGTTGGTCGCGTCGCGCCCATTCGCCCCCTCTCCCCCCTTTTGATGAGCCCTATCCACCAACCACTCCCTGAAATTGCGTCTTCGCCGCCCCCCTCACCCGCTGAACCACGTCTTCCATCCAGCGGCCACCATGGAAACAACACGAGCTTTGAAACACGCGGCGCTCGGTTGCCCCTGGCTGCGAAGCCCAAGGACGGTCTGCACAGCTCGTGCGTCTCAGCATCGTCTCAGCGGCAAGCGAGGCGCCAGAGTGGTGCGCATCGTGCTTCTGTCGTGCCGCTGCTGTGTGTCTGGGTTTGTCTGGCCGATGGAACCGATTACGAGTCGCGTCGCACGCATCGCCGCACACAGCAGAATTTTCTGCCACAGCCGTGTGGGCAACGTCCGGTTTGGGAGGAGGCAAAAATGGCACAAGGCGCATCCTGGCGTTAGTGAGTCATTGACTCTGAACCAACCATCCCAGGAGCCGCATCCACTGCTGCTTGCGGCCTTGCGAGTGGCTCCTCGGCGCCAAGTACTGGGTACACGCGTGGCCGGCCGCTGGGCGCGCTTTTCAATCACCGCAATATGACTATGTGCCCTTGCCCAACAGCTCCAGGTGAGTGGCATCTGGCCGCCGACGCAATGCAGTGCATCCACAGAAAATGCCCACCAAACAAGTGAGAAAACATGGCTTCACAATCTTGTGGCTAATTAAGCGAGATAAAGCCCAGAGCCAGTGCTGCTGCATGTCTCAATCAATGCCAGATAAGCCGAGTCCCGCACGTTGCACCGGCGCAATCACGGGAGATTGGGACAGGCTGGCGATCGCCTTGTACCTGCTACCTGGCGAGCATGAGCCAAGATTTTGCTTCGGGCTCGCACAAAGTACCTCACTAACAATTTTCCAACCCGGTGACCCAAACAGGTTTTTTGCCTTGAAAATTTCCACGTTACACTTTTGCTCCCTAGCGCCGCATCGCTGCCAGAACTGGATACGTTGCCCGCCTTAGATCCAGAAAAAATTTGGCTCTCGCCAGCCCCGGCCGTTATTGGTGTAGCATCGATTTTGTCCCAGTAGTCGCATCAACCGCGGGAAAAAAAAAAAAAAATTAGTCCACACAGAAGAGCGTAGAAGGAAACCTGACATAAAAATTTTCCATCCATGGTGCTTGGTAGTATGCAGTAGTTCTGCTCGTATCGTTCCTCAGCGCAGCTTGGCCAGGCGACGATCAGCAACCGGGGGAGCTGAAAAGTCCAGCCCCTTGTAGCAGTAGCACTGCTGCCACCGTATTGCTTCTCTGCAGCAAGCATCTTTACCGAGTGCGAGCCCCGTGGCCTTTCTGGGAACATGCAGCACGAGGAATCTCAATGTTTCACTGCCAACGGCATTCTGTGCAGCTTTGAAATGCAACGGAAGAATGCACTGTGAATCCCTTTTGGAAAGCAGCGCATAAGAGTAGGTGGACGGGAGCAAACAAGGTGGCTTCTTACGTTTTTCTTTTCTTTTTTCGTTTCTCATCGCTGCAAGAAAAAATTTTACTTGGTGCTACCCTCTGTTGCATGGGCTGTGTCTGCATTGATCCTGCATTAATCCTTCACGTTTTGGTATCTGTCGCGTAAAAAAAGCATTCACCCTTTAATAAGAATTGCGCGCCGGTCAGAAGAAATCACCAACTCATCACATATAACATTTCCCAGAACATTCGGTGAGAGATCCATCATACATACATACATACATGCTCCAAGTATGTATGTACATGTCCATATCCATCACTTTCAGCGATTGTGGGCTCTTCCCAGCCTCGTACTGCACAGCTGTTGACGCCCTAGCCCGCGTTGAGGTACCCCCCCGGTGAGCGCTAACCTCCGGGGTACTTGACACATGCAAAAAGCGCAGCCAACTCCGAAAATAAGCGCTACTTGCTATCCGGGGCCCAGCCTAATGCAAAACCTAGAGTAGGGCCGCCGCTATTAAAGCCCACTAGTAAAAGCAGCAGCCCTCTTTTCTCTCTCTTTTGCTGTACAAGTAGTACAAGTAAGCGGTGTTGAGCGAGCGGGCTAAGCTTTGTTGAGATAAAACTTTTTTTTTTTTTTGTCTTGTTGTATTCCGAAATCCGAATTTGTATATACCCTGTGATCGCACGCCTCAGATAAGCCTACATACTACTACTACTGCTTGTAGCACTGTATAATAATGCGTGGGGATGTCAAAATATCAATGCCCAGCCTCCCGTTGTAAACTTAATTCTTTTTTTAGGCGGTGCTCCATCCAAAAAAAAACATTCAATACTTACATAACATACAATCATTCATACATATATCAATACAAAACTTTCAAAACAATAGCTTATGTGAATCTCAACATCACTGTTTGTTCCCCTCCATTCATGTCATGTAGTACTTGGGACCTTCGCCTCCCTGTGGTACTTGCCAGTTGATGTCCTGCTGAGGAGCTTTGATATCACATGTCTTGCAGTGAATGCAGCTGGTGTTTTGATGTCAGTCTCTTGATGAAAAGAAAAGAAGAAGAAAAGACGAAGAAGAAGGGAAATAGTTGGTGCTACTCACTTTTGTGCATTGATCTGGAATCGCACGCCGTGGGGTTTTGACTCGTCCTCAACATACTCATACACGCCAGCTGGGCAGAAACGGTTCTCCACGCCCTTAAAGGTCGGATAGGCCTTCTCCGTATGGGCGTCCCAGTCCTGAACCTGCAAGTGCACAGGCTGGTCCTCCTCGTGGTTGGTGCCGGTCCGCGAAACGCTCGTCAGGATATCGAAGCTGATCTTGCCGTCGGGCTTCTCGTACTCAATCTTGGGGTACTGGTCCGCAGGCTTGGTCGAGGCATAGTCCGGCTTGCCATGCTTCAGCGTCCATGGAACGCGACCCTTGAAGACGTACGCCTCCAGGCCAGAGTAAGCCACGCCGCCGTAGACGCCGAGCGGGTTGTGCCACGAGGGCCGCATGTTGCGCACCTCCTTGAGCTCCTTCCAGATGGCCGACTTGCGCAGCGAGTCTTCGTAGTCGTAGAGGAAGACGGTACCTTCGTTGGGCTCTTTCAGGGCGTTCCAAGCGGCCTCTGCGGCCAGCATGCCCGACTTCATGGCGTTGTGCGTACCCTTGACCTTGGGGACGTTGACGAAGCCGGCCGAGTCTCCGATGAGGGCACCGCCGGGGAAGGCAACCTTGGGTATGCTCTGGAAGCCGCCTTCGACGAGAGCTCGGGCACCATATGAAATGCATTTACCGCCCTCCAAGACGCTCTTGAAGAGAGGGTGCTGCTTCAGCTTCTGGAACTCCTGGTATGGCGACAGCCAAGGGTTCTCATAGTCCAGCGACACAACCAAGCCCAAGCTCACCAGATTCTCTCCAAAGTGGTACATAAAAGAACCGCCGTATACATCCTTCGGCAGGGGATAGCCCATGGAGTGGACAATCAAGCCCTTTTCAAACTTGGCAGGGTCAATCTCCCACACCTCCTTGACACCCAGGCCGTATGTCTGGTGCTGGCTGTCTCGTCGGAGATCGAACTTGTTGATGACCTTCTTGCTCAAGCTGCCATGGCAGCCCTCGCCAAACATTGTGACTCTCGCGTGGAACTCCATGCCGCGCTCAAAAGAATCCTTGGGCTTTCCATCTCGTCCAATTCCCAGGTCGTTTGTAGCAACACCCTTGACCGATCCATCTGCATTGTAGAGAACCTCTGAGGCAGCAAAGCCCGGGTACAGCTCAACACCAACCTCCTCCGCCCGCTCGCCGAGCCACTTGATAAACTGGTTCAAGCTGACAATGTAGTTGCCGTGGTTGTGCATCTGAGGCGGCGCAGGGATCGGGATCGCAGCCGTCTTGGTCAGGAAGCGCATCTTGTCCTTGCCAGCCGGCGTCGCATGCTCAAAGCGGTTGGGGTTCGATTCGTCGAGCCAGTCGGGGATAAGCTCATTGATGGCAGAAGGCTGGATGACGGCGCCAGACAGGATATGGGCGCCCACCTCGCCGGCCTTTTCCAGCACCAGCACTCGGAAATCCTCGTTGCCCGCCTCGTTGGCGAGCTGCTTCAGGCGAATGGCGGCACTGAGCCCCGCGGGGCCGGCGCCTATGATGCAGACGTCGACCTGGTCTGACTCACGCTCAATCGTCAAAGGGTCGAGAGAGTCCTCCTCGGCGGCCATGCGCAGCCGCAGAGACGTGCTGAAGGGCCTGACGGCAGCAATTGGCATGCCCATCGCCGGCCGGACCATCAGCGGAGTTCTCCGCGTCGCTGCTACGGCGCCGAGGAACCTTGCTGGCCGACATCTGGAGATCGCCCGGGTGCCGCGCAGGGCGCATCTTGATACGGGCGCGGGCGCCGACATTGTGTGCTGACCTTGCCTTCTGGAGTTCAGCCGCAGCTTCGGGGGAGAAAGGCCCAGGAGAGGGAGAAGCAATTGGCGAGAGCAGAAGGCTAGAGAGACGAAAAAGAAAAGCCGTGCCGTGGGCGCTGCGGCATCGACGTCAAGGACGGACCCGAGCTACTATTATTATTGTCTGCGCAGCGATTGGCTGCCAAGGTCCCCGGATTTCTATAGCCGATCGCAACCGGAGTCGCCTTGTACTTGCAGGTACCTGGTGCAGGAAGACCACACGCTCTGCAAGCATTGGCTAAGCTCGGCTCATAAAGTAGCTTCAAGGTTCCCTCTTCAAGCTCTCTATCCCAAGCCTCAAATAACCGCAGCAGAGAAACGCCAACGCTGTCTGTAATTCTGACAGTAGAATCTGGAGCTCTAAAGCTCCAAACTTTTTTTTTTTTTTTTTTTTTTTTTTTTTTTTGTTTTCATAAAGCTCGCCGATGCCGCAGACAGCTCATCCCTTTGTGGGTGTGCATTAAAGGCCGCCTTAGGCCATGGCTGCTTCGATATCGGCGGTATTCTACCTACCTACTATATGTACATATAAGCTGGAGCGGCTCTAGTCCCATAATCCTGCAGCTTCATACAAGCTTGACTGCTGTCTGAGGTAAAGCATGTAACTGCAGCGTCAGACGCAATACGTAGTAAGTTTACAAAACATCTGAGCATGTGCCATTTCTCTGTGAGAGATTCTTTTGCTTGCGTTGTCTGCCCCGTCATGCTCCGTACTACGGACTACCATTACCTAGGTACGCTTCGCCGAGTAGGCTATTCCACGGTAAGGCGGCCCGCTCTCTTAGCCGCGGTCCGTAATATGGCGATCTGTTATGTCTACCGAAACATTTTCTCCAAGCCGAAAGGCTGATTATCACGAGACATGGGGAATATGGAACGCTTAAAATCCTGTTTCAGCCTAGCCGATAAGGAAATCCGTACGCACTACAGTATATGTATATGCGCGGCCGAATGTAAAAACCAGCTCAGTCACACCAAGATGTAGGGTAGCGGTAGCCTAGGCGGTAGATTGAACCAAGCTCTGCGTATAACTGCGTCTAAGCAATAAGCACTCTTGCCTTGGAAGATTCGTTTTGTCGCATGCTACTCTCAAAGATCTAAGTGGAAAACCTGTTTTCATAGTCTTCTCGTGATGGGCCGCCTAGAAACAACAAGGCGCAAGACAAGGATCCCCGGTGCAAGCATCACATTACATCATAAGGGTATATGCTGACCTCCCTCCCTAGGTTCAGTGAACTTTGTCTAACGCTCATCAACCTTGAGACTGTTGTCAGCGTCACTTTGACGGTGTCTAATGACGTAGGGGCTCTAGCAGAAGACGTAGCTCCTATGGAAAGTCTCCAGATGTTGGGGTCAATTACGTCAAGAGCTGATAGATAATATGGAATTCTATTGTCATCTTACAGGGCCGCACGCAGAGCATAGAAGTGTCTCAAAGAATGAGTGTGTTCAAATTTAACATGATACTCCAACCCCTTGCATCCACCCCTACATATGTTTTGTATTCCCTGTCTATCCTGATAACCACGCTTTAACCTCTAACTCAAATCAAACCCAGCCCCTGACGATATCGCGTACAGTAGTTTCGTTCGTAAAGTTGATTCCGACTTGTAAACCGGTAGCTTCAGCAAGTTAACACACGTGCTTGTGCTCGGTAGTCGTTCTTGGTCCGAGCCCCCGTCTCGAATGGCAAATTTCGGATTCAGTTGTGAAAAGCCAAGGAGCGGTGCTCTTGGTGTTGAGCTGACATATTTGAGAACGTCGCGTCTCTGAGCGTCTGTGAAGCCGTTCATGACGTTCCAAAACATTTTAATTGTGGGATGCTCTTCTCCATCGTCACCTATAGCATAAAGACCGCTATAGATTGTATTTCGGCGTAAATCTTCGACATCAATTGCCATGGAGTCGCCGCCAACCAGGCGCTGTAGCTCAGATTGGTTAAACATGGACAGCCATGAGGGTCGAATAATTTCGCGAAGCCCGCGCAGAAAAGCCATGGTCTGGGGAGCCGGCTGCAGAACCAAGCGATGACGGGCTGCGTAGGATATGTAGAGCAGGCGATTGTCGTTTGTAACTGATACCTCATCACCGTTGGGCACCAATTTTCTGCTAACAGTCTTGACAGGCTCCCCTGGAGCTGATACCTGGTCTGTAATGGTAAAGTCGAATCCCAGGGCGGATACGTCTCCCGGGTAATTCTTGAGGTTGAGGAGGCCTTTGTATAGTTCCTCGTCCATGTCTTGGAGATCGTTGACACTACCTTTGTAGCTATTCTCCTCTTTTCGATTGGGCGATGGCCATTTTAGGAGGAAGAACCCAGCAAACGCAAGGTCAACAAGGATCCCTTCGTACATACACTTCCCTACAATACGGCCAAGGAATTCGTAACGCCTGAATAACTCAGATATTGTTTCTCTCCACTCGTGATCAGATTCGGTAAGCCCCTGCTGACGCAGTGACTCGCGAAGTATATCCAGAGCCATGGGATTGGGATAGAGTAGCCCCTTGTCACTGGATGTGAACATGCCCAGGCCTCCAAGCTGATTTCCGAAAGCCTCCGATGTAACACTGGTTAAAAATTCTTTGGTAACGCCACCACCATCTATACCCGCTTCAGGGGTGTCGAACTGGTCAACAAAGGTGATCTGAATGGGGTCTTTTAAGCCCTCCCCTAGCTGATAGAACTGCTCGAATGCATCTTCAAATAGCTGACCGCGACGGATTTTCGCATGGTGCCTTCCCAAGGGAGGCATCGGGAATACGTTATTACCGCTTCTGCGAAGTCTGTCAAGATTAATGAAGGACCTGAAAATCATGACTCGCGTCTCGAACGGAACAACAAATGGAATATGTTTGAGAATTTCCAATTTGGGCCCCATTTCTGCAAGTCTTCGTTCCCTTTGAGCGCGAATCTGGCGAGCTTTGAGCCTTTCCAATCTGACATGACGAGAAAGCCGCTGCGCAGCAAAAGTTGAATGCGATCCAAAACCATCATCAAACGAAGCTACAGCTTCATCTGCCTCTGAATCGCTGTCCTCAGCTTGCTCCTGGATCTGTCTCTCTTCTTCTGCTATAACGGCCCCAATAAAATCCTCCTTCTCCAGTTTGCTCGTCATGAGCCAGTGATCCGCTGACAGGAAATGCTTCCGCGAGTCTCTTTCGTAGAGCATTTTTAACGAAGTTGTGACGATTGCGCGAAGGCTCTCTAGATCGAGCTTTGTAGATACTTCCGAAGCTGGAGACTTGGTGGCGGCCTTAGGCTCATCTGAGACTGTCGACGAGTCCCCCCAGTAGGAGTTGAGTCGGGCTGTAGTTGAAGCCTCGAGAGCTGCCTGAGTTTGGGTAATTTCCTGAACATTGTAATGCAGAGCAAATGCCGTATTTTTGAGAAATATGATGAGCGCTTCAATGTCTTTTAGTGCTAGACTGCATGATCTTGTTCGTGATTGTGGCACATCGCTGCTTAAAACTTGAGGGTAAATGCCACTCAAGAAGTCTTCATCATCGCTGAGTCTGAGAATGAAGGTGTAAAGCTCTAAAAATAAGAGGATAATTCTCCATTCTTGTTCTTCCGTATGTGATGAAGAAGACCAAGATACAGTCTCATAGAAATATCGGTGGAGCACTCTTGCTGGCCGCTCAGACTCGGTTTTTAATTTTTGAAATATCGAGGTTTTGGTCATCATTTGCCAAAGGTATTTAACAATGGGGATGTTACCCCCTGCGGTAGGTATCTCCTCGAGGAACAACCTCATACGTGTGTCGTCCGCTCTTGTGGGGAAACTTTGCAGTAAAGCGAGAATATAGCCAGCGAGGAGTTCGCTTCCTTCCAGCTCTTGGTTTGAAGACTGTGCCAAGCTAGTAGAGAAGTCACGCAGCAGACTGGAAATGCCATTGCTGTCAACAAGCCGCAGCAGCTGTTGAGTAACGTATGATGACGACAAGAAGACAAGAGACTCGGTAGCTACCTCGTTGGGTTGATCAGGAGACGGCTGTGTGCTTATGCGAATGCTAATATCGGATGATAAAGCAGACAGTTGTGTAAAAATAGCTTTCAGACGGATCAAGTTCTGGTTAGAATCTTTCTGTACCCTGCTCAAGTCAATATAGTGGGCTAGGAGCCAGAAAAGACGATCCTTGTCTGGCAAAGCATCGGGTTTATAAGTATATAATCGTAATATTTCTGCCGCAAGCTTCTCCGTATTAATGATTTCGCCCATACGATCGATATTTTGCTCGAAGAATCGGAGATTCTTCGTGGTTAGAAATCGTAGCGCTAATGCGGAGTATGCTTCTGACTCTATTAGAGGCGTCGAATTAGCATCGTGCTATTCCTGCTAAAGTGAAACAGACTTGTAAACCAGTTTTGCATACCGTTTTCCGCGCCTGCATTTAAAGGTGCTGAGAGAGATTTGAGAGTCGCTTCTAGCCATTCTCGACTACGCTGTGATTGGCACAGCTTTGCCAATGCCGAATAGTACTCGTTAACAGATGCTAATATGATGAGGGGAAAGTTGACGGCCAGATGGTTGACGAGTGTAAGGATATGCTGAAGTTCCAATGACGTATCACTAAGAAGCCGAGTCAGCATGTGCCTAAGATTACGAGGTGCTGAAAACGTGTAGCAGCTTCCAGCAGCTCTGTCTTTCGCGGGTGAGCAGCTATTATATACATACTCTTTAGAAACTAAAACGTCTAACGCTTGCACAAGAACCACCATTAGTTTTTGGAGCCGTGATATATGATGGCTGGCGTCATAAAGCTGTTGGAGAGAGACATTGTTACAGTCGTCGATGAATAAAAACAGTCGTTGCATATCACCGGCACGAGCGGCAGAGAAAAAAGACAACAGGAGAGGAAAAGAAACGTATAGCCTCTGGGAAGCACCGGCATCGGAGAGAGATTGATAGGCAAGGTCGAAGTCATTCCTCCGCTGCTCCTTCAGGGTAGACCTTGATCTGTATCCTCTCCATGTTTTCTGTATCTGTGATGCGGCCTTCAAACGCCGCCTTTCCACCTGTCGCTTTTCTCTGTCGGCCTGAGCATCCGAAACGGTCTTTGTAGCATTCGAAGCGGCCGAGGGCGACCATGATGTGTTGGAGAACGGGTTGCTGGCCTGCCCGCTCAGGTTCACGTTTCTCGGCCGCCGGGAGCTGCCCGTGAAAGTAGAGAACATGGCGGCGGCTTTAGCTTTTCTAATAGCTACACGCAGACATCAAGGAGACGGATCGACAAACATGCTATGCAGCACCTGCGTACGATATTCTGTTGTTTTGCGGTTGCTGCGGCGATTCTAGAAGATTCAGCACCGAAGCTGTCCGTCCGTCATCAGTCATCAACAGGCTCCCCTTCGCATAGCATCATCGCTGGTGGGGCAAAAGTGCTCGGGGGCTAGTGTCGCGTGCTGATAAGATAAGAGGTTTCAGCAATCGGTCACCGCCTTTGAACATCCCACCAACACAGTGCGCGGACGCGGGGCAACCACTGTTACCCTTGTTTCCTTTGTGTGCTTTTGAGAACTCTGTTTTTTTCTTTGGGGGCGCTGCGTGGCACTGGAAGGCGAAGTCCTTGTTCAAATTTCGACGTGGCTTCAAGTGGCACCACGTAGCTCCCGCTAGGGACAAAGCAAGAAACGAGGCTTCTGGCGCCTCCGTAAAATTTTTTGAAGAAAGAGCAGACTTTGCATCACACCCTCTTTGTTCGATAGGCCGGCTATTAGTTCAGAGACTTGGCTGAGGCGGGGTTGGCAGTTTAGCACTAACAAAGAGAAGCACAAACAAAGGGATTCTTTGTTATCAGCTACTTTGCCATGCAGACCAACAGGTACCTCCCCTTACTCAGGCGGATTCTAGTGCCTTGATTGGCAGTGCTCTGCACTGTGCAGCCATGCGATACCCTAATACATCCAGTAGGAAGTCGCAACTCGCCGCTAAGGAGGCACGGAAGGTCACTCCACCGCTAGACAGGTTTAGCAGCCCAGGAAAAAAAAAATGTCAAGCGGCTTTGAAAATTCTCTTTTTTTCTTCCTCCACACAACGTCCACCTTTATCCAAACAACCCAAAACCCATAAAACCGAGATAGTTCAGAGGTACGGTCTTCGTACTTAATCTCTGTTCTTGCTCTTTTCTTCAATCAAGAAAACCAAAAAAAATTGAAAAACCCCAAAAAACCCTACCCACCCACCTTCAAGTCCCGCGCGACGTCGTCGACAACGGTCACCGCAAAAAAACAAAAATTCAATCTTTGAGACAACTCACCCCAGTTGCCTCTATCACCAAGTCGCTCTGCCTGCAGATTGTTCATTCTGACTCGCTGAGCACTACTCATTTTCTCATTCTCCTTTTCTGAATCAGTGAGTGCTGCTGACGCGGAGTATCATGGCCGCCATCTGGCGGGGACACGATATCTCTTTCCCTGCGTCTTTCTGTTGCTGACCTTGTTGTTCTACAGTCTTGTTCGATACCCGTGATTTAGTCAACCGTCGCAATGGCCGCCAACACCACCTCGGGCGCTGTTGACCAGCTCGCCAACGAACTCAACAACACATCCCTCAATGGCAGCGGCGATGTCAAGGCTCCTGCCGTGGACACTGGTGTGAGCGCTGGTGCTGAGGACGCCTCTGCTCCTACCCCCACTGCCGCCCCCCACCCCCAGAACTCTGCCTCGCTCTACGTCGGAGAGCTCGACCCCTCCGTCACCGAGGCCATGCTCTTCGAGCTCTTCTCCCAGATTGGTGCCGTGGCTTCCATCCGTGTCTGCCGTGACGCTGTCACTCGCCGCTCTCTGGGTTATGCCTACGTCAACTACAACTCTACCCCTGATGGCGAGAAGGCTCTGGAGGAGCTCAACTACACTCTGATCAAGGGCCGTCCTTGCCGTATCATGTGGTCTCAGCGCGACCCTGCTCTGCGCAAGACCGGCCAGGGCAACGTGTTCATCAAGAACTTGGACGTTGCTATTGATAACAAGGCTCTCCACGACACCTTTGCTGCCTTTGGCAACATTCTCAGCTGCAAGGTTGCCCAGGATGAAACCGGCGCCTCCAAGGGTTACGGTTTCGTTCACTACGAGACTGATGAGGCTGCTGCTCAGGCCATCAAGCACGTCAACGGCATGCTGCTCAACGAGAAGAAGGTTTACGTCGGCTACCACATCCCCAAGAAGGACCGCCAGAGCAAGTTTGAGGAGATGAAGGCCAACTTCACCAACGTCTACGTGAAGAACATCAGCGCTGACGTGACCGATAATGAGTTCCGTGAGCTGTTTGAGAAGTACGGTGATGTCACCTCATCTTCTCTGGCCCGTGATCAGGAGGGCAAGTCTCGTGGATTCGGATTTGTTAACTTCACCACTCACGAGGCTGCTTTCAAGGCTGTCGAGGAGCTGAACGGAAAGGATTTCCGTGGCCAGGAGCTCTACGTTGGCCGTGCCCAGAAGAAGCATGAGCGTGAAGAGGAGCTGCGAAAGTCTTATGAGGCTGCGCGCCTTGAGAAGGCCAGCAAGTACCAGGGCGTCAACCTGTACATCAAGAACCTTGATGATGACGTTGATGACGAGAAGCTTCGCCAGATGTTCGCCGAATTTGGCCCCATCACTTCTGCCAAGGTCATGAGAGACACCCCTCAGGAGGGCGAGGAGGAGGTCAAGGACCAGGAGAAGGACAAGGAAAACAAGAAGGAGTCCGAGAACGAGGCCGAATCGGCCGAAAGCGCCGAGAAGAAGGCTGAGAAGAAGGTTGACAAGAAGCTTGGTAAGAGCAAGGGTTTCGGTTTCGTCTGCTTTAGCAACCCTGATGATGCCACCAAGGCTGTTGCCGAGATGAACCAGCGAATGATCAACAACAAGCCTCTCTATGTTGCTCTTGCCCAGCGCAAGGATGTTCGTAAGAGCCAGCTTGAGGCCAGCATCCAGGCTCGCAACGAACTGCGAATGCGGCAGGCCGCCGCGGCAGCTGGTATGCCGCAGCAGTACATGCAGCCCCCCGTTTTCTATGCTCCTGGCCAGCAGCCAGGCTTCATCCCCCAGGGTGGTCGTGGCATGCCTTTCCCCCAGCCTGGAATGCCTCTTCCTCAGGGTGGCCGTCCTGGCCAGTTCCCCGGATACCCTCAGCAGGGTGGCCGTAACGTTCCTCAGGGTATCCCCCCCAACATGTACGGCCTCCCTGGCCAGTTCCCTCCTCAGTTTGGCCAGCCTGGAACTCCTCAGTTCATGGCTGCTATGCAGCAGGCTCAGCAGGCTGCTCTTGCTGGCGGCCGTGGAGGCGCTCCTCAGGGTGGCCGTGGCAACGTCGCCGGCATGCCCCCCAACGTTCAGGGCGGAATGCCCGGCTACCCCCCCAACAACCGCCAGGGTATGGGACGTAACAACAACGCTGGCCGCAACGGCAACTTCAACAACCAGGCTCCTCGCGACAACGCTGCCAATGCCAACGCCGCCAACGCTCCCTCTATGCTCCAGTCTCAACTTGCTGCGGCTCAGCCTGCCCAGCAGAAGCAGATTCTTGGTGAACTGATCTTCCCCAAGATCCAGGCCATCAACTCTGAGCTTGCCGGCAAGATCACCGGTATGCTCCTGGAAATGGACAACTCTGAGCTTGTCAACCTGTAAGTTACCTCACTCTCCTGATGATCAACTTTGGATATTAACCCTGTTTCTTTTAGCATTGAGGACGAGGCTGCTCTGAAGGCCAAGGTTGACGAGGCGCTGGCCGTCTACGATGAGTACGTCAAGTCTCAGGGTACCGCCCCTGAGAAGAAGGAGGAGGAAACCAAGGCTTAAGCAAAGCCAAAATTTCCAACTTTGACACGCAGTATCTTTTCCTTTGTCGTTTAAAAAATATTTGACTACGGTGAGAGATGGAACTCGCATGACACCGAATGATACGTGAGATGCAATATGATATGCCACGTTTGCCTACGTCTATTGCATCATGTAAGGATAGAATTATTTGCTATATTTTCTCAAGGATGAACAAAAGTTGTGTGGTTTGGGAGGTGGTATTTTCGGATGCGAGATGTCGCCTCGCCTAGGCTGGGACGAGAAAGAAACATCGTCGCCGGTAAAAATTCAGGCTCACTGGGATGGCGTTGCGGGTTGCAGGTTTTATGAAGGCTGCCTCTGGGCTATACCCCCATGAACATGGTCCACTTTCACTCTCAAAAAAGTACGGATGCAGAGGCTTGAAATCGGATAGGATTTTAGGGAATTTTCTAATAGATAACATGTTCTTAAACTGATGGGTGTGCTATACGTGATGTGATGAATATGATGTGTGACTGAGTTAATGTATAGTCTAGTCTCTATATTCAAGTCACTTGGGCTATCTAGAGCTGCTTTGCAGTGGTTTGGAACTCCCAAGTATACAAGATACGACGTTGTGAATGAAATAGCTGCGATAAATTGACACTGCCAAACCTAGGAGGTAGTAATTACATACCCAACCATGCCCAGCGCCCAACCAAGGCTGTCACTTTTCATTTGAAGGAAAGTTAGTCCTTTGCACCAAAAAAAGTTGATCAAAACGCCCCTCTCCTTTGCGAAGAAAAACAAGACCGCCATTGACCGAACACTGAAACACTGCCCCAGTTACATAGATAAGATACACAGGATAACCACACATGCCGAGTACATTTTTGAGATATACTACAAGATGTGAGAACAGGAGATTTGGAAAGGAAAGAACACCAGTAGAAGAAACTAGAGTGACGTGAAGGAGAGTATAA